AAAAAGGAAGTATTTTTTTTATCTTAATAAAAAATGGAAAATAGTGTGGTGATTTATTTATTTTTGCATTTAAGCAAGTTGCATGTGCTTACACACATGGGCACACATGCACTCTCGCACACGTGATGTTTATGCAAGGCATTTGTCGTGTGATGACAAACATATTATTTCCCCCTGATAAACTGATCAAAGTGTGTTTTTTTGTGGTCAGCTGCACAGAATGTCTTAGCTTGCACATCGGTTTAGTTTTGTGGTATTTATTCAAAGCATTAGCAGACCCTCAGTTGTTTTCCTTTCAGCATGTGTTGTGCTGACCTGATTTATATTGTATGTGTTTGTGCCAACAATGACCTTTTGCAAAAAAAAGGAAGAAGAAAAAAAACAGGCCTACACAGAGGCAGGAGAAAACTGAGAGATGCAATTTAGTCAATACCAGCCTGCACACAAACAAACAACAACAACTGATAGCAGGATCACTTTCAGAATACAATACTCATTCTAGATATTCTATTTCATTATAGTTTTAAAATATTTTTATTTGAAAGGCTCTATAATGGCAGGAAGTGCAATTTTGTACTGTTTGCTGGTATTTTAATGTGAAACTTCTGTCTTTGTTCATTCAAGTGACATCAGATATGGATACTTAAAGCTATAATTCATCCAAAACTCAATATTCTGTCATCGTCTACTCAGCCTTAATTTGTTCCAAACCAATTTAGTTCTTCTGTTGAACACAAAATAAATTATTTTGACGAGGGTTGCAAACCTGCTGCAACTATTAACTTCCATAGTATTTGTTTTTCCTACAATGGATGTCAATGGTTTCAGGTTTTCAGCTTTCAGTCTTGTAAATATTATCTTTTATGTTCTACAGATAAAAGAAATGAATAATTCACACTTATTCAAAGATCTGTCATTATGTTCTCGTCCTCATGTCATTCAAACAGTTTTAGTTTCTGTTGACCTCCTTTTTGTCCAACTGTTTATCATAAACATTCTTCTAAATCTCTTGTTTGGCGAATGATCACAATGCAACCAAATCCAGAAAAAAGAAAAAAAAACATTTTGGAAAAATGTGATAAAATCTAAATCAGAGAAGTGCTGTAATTATTCATCAGGCAAAAATATAAATGTAAGTCTTTCTGCTTTTGCTTCTATTTTTCATGAGCTGAATTCAAAGATCTAAACTCTTTCTATGTACACAAAAGTTGTTCATATATTTTGCTATATCTGTATTAGTGAGCCTTCTGCTTTGCAGACATAATTATCCACCTCACAGATGTAACATATTAAGATTGTGATAAGGCAGCATGATTATTACACAGATGTACTAATAATTTAATAATCCTAAACAAGTGTAACTAGTCAGACTATGTTCACACGTACATGGGTATTTAGATAAACTGGGTTTTCCCTGCTTTAATTTTTTTCTTCAAATAATCTTTGTCCAGATGACAATGCAACTACACACTGTGATGCATGGACACGTCAAACCAACAGGAGGCGATAATGACACTTTTATGTTGCATTTATACCAAATTAGGAATTTTTATTTGATTTATTAATTTTCAAACAGAAATATCATACATAAAAATACATTTCAACATAGTCGAAAATGGAGTGGGATGAAGCACAAGCTTATTATGAATCTGAGATTTAAAAACAATTAAAACAAAAAAAAACTGATTAAAATGTGTTAAACAATTTATAAAGTAATGAAAGTATTTATTCAGTAAAGGCAAATGTGTTTGCTATGCTTTGGCCAAGAATGTGTGTAATTTTGCTTCATTTGCGTCTTTAGTGTTTGGTGTGAACCCAGCCATCTTGACCAATCATGAAGTAGAAAACTGATGTCATGAGGCAAAAACTCCAGTTGTAGTGTCCACACAACGACACACAGTAGTTAAAAAATATCTTACTGTCTTAAAGTATCGGTCTCAGCAACCTGACATTGCATTTTCTTGTGGACAAACAGTAAAACAGTGTGGAAAAAGTGTGGTTTAGAAAATACCCGTGTTTGTGTGGACAGGGCCTCAGACTGCACAAATATGATCCCCATTTCTCAGTCATATGCAATGCAATCTGCTGGGGCACTGTGGATTGATGAGTTGTAGACCGGGGGGTGGGGGTTTGGGGTTTGGGGGTGGTGGTTATGAGTGATTGCAGACTGAATGACAATGAAAAGGCAGAATGAAGTTGAAATTCTGACTGCATGAATGTCTACCGGAGCTGCTGCCCATGAATTGAATTCTTCTTCCTTAACTATAAGCCATGTCAAAAGCATGTCAGATAATTTGGCAGTCATTCAACTGGAGTTACAACTGCAGATCATGTGTAACCACACCAGCTCATTACCTCCACATTTGAGATTTAGGCAACTACGTAAATAAATAACCACAATTGTGCTGCATTTTTGCATTACGGTTGTAATTATTGATTTACAGTGTGCTGTGAAAATTTACAGTCTTACTGGCAAACTAAATTGGCAGTTACTTTAAACTTTATTTTTTTACAGTGCAGTTATGTAAACCTTATTCAGGTATTCTTTGTAAAACATAATGGAGATGCATTTTCTGATGTGTCACAAAAAGATTTTTTAAAATGTTTTAAAACACCTTAAAAAGCAGGTCATCTTTTTTTAAAATATATTTTTAATCAGTAACCTTGCAGAAACCCTGTGTAAAAATGTACAAATAATGCCACACTAGCCTTCATGTCAGTGTTCTCATCAGTCATCATGCAAGTCAATATTTGACTTTGACATTAAAATGTAAAAAAAAAAAACTGTGGGGAGGTAAGCGTGATCGAACACCCAATAAGGGGGGAGAGCATGCTAGGAGCCCGGTGGCTAATCAGCAGGTCAATCATAAATGATAAATAACACCTGTCTTTCTAGTGATTGGGCCGGAGAGACTCCCTTCTTAAGGAGAGCGGGAGGAGCAGTCGGGAGAGGGGAGAGCACACACACACACACACAAACCCTGCTACATGTGTGGTGGCATTGAAAATTAATAAACAGTTTGCTTACCTGATTCACCGACCCCAAAACAAAATAATTTGTCGCTAAATTCAGCACCACGGAGAGGGACAGTATTTTGCAAATGCAGCAAAATCTTCAAGTTCAAATTATTGAAATCATCAATAAATGGAGTCATCATTTATCAAATCAGTTTGAGTTCCTATTTTTGTGCTAAACGCAAGAAGTTCTTTTGGAAAATGTTGGAAAACCTATAACTATTGACATCTATAGTTTTTGTTTTTGTTTTTATACAAATGAATGATGACCGGTTTCTTCAAAATGTCATATTTTGCAAGAAAAAATAAACTCTTAAAGGTTTGGAACGACTCGAGAGTGAGTATAAATACATAAATACATATCGCCTCATATGTATTTTTCACATGTGACTTCTATATTGGTTTAGATTCATTATATTGGTTTCTATATTGGTGTAAAGATTACTTCATTGTTTTAAGTCTCATATAAGCAATCTCCTACCTGTATATACCTGTATATGTTTATACAACAGTTCTGTCTGGTTCTTGAATCTGATTGGCTGATAGCCGTGTGATATTCCGCCTGTAACAGCACTTATACAGCCTCTTAACTCTTCACCCTTGTGTATTACTCCGCTCACATACAGCAACAAGCAGAGGACACTCTACAGTTTGAAATATATATCTGTTGTTGGTCAACAATGTACTTTTGAGGCTTTAACAGTCAAGAATGTAGTTGTTTAGATTGCAACTATGCAGTTTATTTATAAGGATAGTGCTTATTTTAAGATATGTGTAATTTCTGAGAGACAGTGTGTCGGCTGCTATTCAAACAGAGTTCAAACACAACTCATTCGGGAATTGTTTATAATTATGGAGAAAGCAAAAAATGAGTGTGCAGACTCATCTGATACACAGAGCTGTCTCCAAAACCTTGCTAAGATGAATGTTGGTGTGTCTGACGCCGGACTATTCTACTGTTCTGTGATGAGGTTTTATTTGGAAACGGTTGGTCATTGAAGGTAAGTATGCTTTTTATGTTGCTTTTGAGGTGGAATAACAGTTAGATAGATGTTTGTAGTATGAGTAGGTTTAAGGGTTGTTCAAAGGGCAGGGTTAGAAACAACAGTGTTTTTAACATCAGCCTGTCATTGAGCAGTCCAAAGAAGGTTGATGTTGTTCATTCACAAGATGGCAACAGATGTTGCTTAAGCTCTTAGAGGAGAAAAAATACAGTGTAATTTTAAACTACAGCTAATGAAATCATTATAAAACTGGTAAATTTCTTTCTAAGTCCATCTCTCTCTGTTTTTTATGTTGTAGAGCTGTATTTATACCATAGTGTATTGAGTGAGATGGGACTTTTTGAGTTACAGTACTTTTTGGTTGGCAATCTGTTTGTTTCTAACAAGTCTCCTGTTTTTGTTACTGCAGACTAGTTCAGTAAAAAGAAAGAAAGAAGAAAAGCCTGCATGTGTTTAGCGTTTTTCCTTATCACAAACACAACAGTAATCTGGTAGTGATTGCATTGCTTTGGCTTTTTCAGGGGTTATTTATTGTGATCTCAAGATGGCAACAGTAAAATATTGGGAAATCTTTGGCATTTCAGGCCGTTCAGCCTTATAATCTTAAAATGTGAACAAGATCATCTGTTTTGTTATCACTTTAGACATTACACTAGAGAATCATTCAAATCTAACTCTTTCTTCATGTTGTCCCAGTACAAATGGATTAAGTTAACTTAATTGTTTTAACAAATTTAAGTGAATTGAACATAAAACAATTAAGTTGTCTCAAACAAAACTTAACAATTCGATGTTGGTTCAACTCGTATTAAATAAGTAGTTTGAACAAGCAGTATAAGTCATTTTTTTTTAGTGTAACACATTTGAGGGCAGGGATTTGTGCTGGCAGAGTCACATGATGAGTCACGTACTGTACGTCAGAGAGTAAATGAATGCACTCAGCACAACATGCAGCCAGAAGAATCAAAGACCCAGAAAGAGCATAAAATGAATCACATCATCTACGTGATCATCTTTCTCTTTCATCCTCAAGTCTGTAAGTACAACATACCCAATTCAATCAGTCACTTAGTATTGTTATGGTTAAAAGCGACTTTACAGTATTTGTTTTTCCAGCAGGCAAAAATAATTGCACTGTTGATCAAGTGGATGAAGTGTTAACCACTCAAGAAGGGCACATTGTGTTGTTACCTTGTCTTCTGTTAGAAGATCACTTTCATCGAGTGATATGGTATAAGCAAGTTCTTGGAGAGAAACCTGTCGTAATAGTGTCATCATATCACCACTCTCAACCCAATGAGTTTTCCTCTGACTTTAAAGAAACTCAGCGTTTTCATGCGGTGCGAAAAGCAGACAGTTTCAACCTAACCATCCGTAGGACACTGAAATCGGATTCAGGCACGTATTTTTGTGGCAGTGCCTTTGCCAATGTTGTTTCCTTTGGGACTGGAACAATTCTGTTGGTTAAAGGTGAGTATTTTACTTTTGTTTTTATTTATTGTAACCCTAAAATCTGATTCAGGAATGTATTTCTGTGCCAGTGTCTTTGCAAATGTTCTTTCTTTTGGAACTGGAACAATTCTGTAAGTTAAACTGAAAGTTTTTTTGAACTTTTATTTGCATTTATTTTAACAAATTTTAACACAAAAAAGAGGTAAAAAAAAAAATATTCTCAGAGCAAACAGGTAACTAGAGACATTAGATAAGCTCTTGCATACTTCTTATACAGTTATTAAATGTGAAGCTTAACTGTTTTTAAGATGGATGATTCCATTTATTGTCCCTTTCATTTTTCTTTTGTACAGGTGCAGACCTTAAACCTGCTGTTATACAACACCCAGTACATGCTTTTATTAAGCCAGAAAGCAATGTGACTCTGCGGTGCTCAGTTGAAGGGAAAACGTGTGATAAAGGAGTTCAATCTGTTTACTGGTTCAGACAGAGTTTAAACACAACTCATCAGGGAATTGTTTATACTCATGGAAAAAGCAAAAATGAGTGTGCAGACTCATCTGATACACAGAGCTGTCTCCAGAACCTTGCTAAGATGAGTGTTGATGTGTCTGAAGCTGGACTATACTACTGTTCTGTGGTGACTTGTGATGAGGTTTTATTTGGAAATGGCACAACGTTGGTCATTAAAGGTAAGTAAGCTGTTTTAGTGGCTTTCGAGATGGAATAACAGATACATGTTTTGTGGTATGAGTATGTTTAAGGGTTGTTTAAAGTGCAGGATTAGAAATAGTGTCAATGTACAACAACAATGTTATTAATATTATAGACGCATCAATAATGATGTACTGAATATATCCAAGTATGTATATAGAGTTGAAACCAGAAGTGTACATACACTCTAAAAAAAGGAACATAACTATTTAAAAAAAAATGTCTGATGGTAAATCATAATAAACGTTTACAATTATACACTTTAATATTTACTTTTGCTAAATGCCAGAATAATGAAACATTTTTTTTTTTTTTAATTTTATTAAAATCTAGACAGTCAAAAGTTTACACACATTTTCTTGGTATTTTTTTAGCTTTGCTTTTAAACTGTATAACTTTAGTCAAATGTTTAGGGTATCCTTCCTCAAGCTTCTCACAATAGTCTGAAGGAATTTTGGCCCATTCCTCCTGACAGAATTGGTGTAACTGAGTCAGATTTGTCGTCTCAGTGGACTTTTTATCAGTTTATTCACAACAACTTGCATTTGTATAATGTTATTATTTTTTATTAGTATTATTTATTATATGCATAATTATATTTGTTTGAATAAAAACAGGTTTAGATTAGTCCACCTTTCGGGTTTTGCAGACATATGTTTGTATAACTCACCACACTTCGTTATTATTGTTCATTTATTCATTTGCTGGAAATTAGAACAGAAATTAGAAATAGTTTTGAAACAAATCTTTGCTCTTAATGAACGAAATTGAATATGTAGGCTAATGGATGTCTTTAGTTAAGTGCGTACAACACCGTTTCCTCTCCACGAAAGTAAAGGAGTAAATAGAGTAAAAGTAAAGTAAAGAGAAAGAGGCCGAATAGAGTAGGCTCGTTCTTTATCCTCACGCTGCAGATGGTCGGTTTAATTGTTTTCTCGCCAGTGAAGCATTCAGTTTATCCACTCCGCCATGTAAATAGCAAATGCATCATGGCTCTACCCAACTGACACTTGAAGAGAATGGGAGATGAGAAACTGTTGAAAGAATAAGCACAACTCTGTTAGACCATGCGCCGGGGCGCAGAGCGTATTTTACCATTTTACCATCGGACACACCCTTAATGCTTTTGTGCCATGCACTTTAAACTTTGCGCCTATCGTTAAAATAGAGCCCAATGCCTTTGTTTATTTTGTGAAACAGGTGTTATTTGGCTATCAAAAAGACATTAAAAATCGAATAATTAACAGCATAGAAACAATAAATACTTTGCTCTTTATAATCATACCAATGTATAGATTTGACTTGTGGTAGTGTATTATTTTATTCTGGGAATTACTTTTAATTCTGACTAATGCTATTTACCCCCCTCTAAATAAATACAGATGACTAATTAATTAAAGTTGCTTTTTTCTTCTTCTCCTAGATGGATTTATTAGTGAAAGTATACAGAAATGTATTTTAATTGGCCTCACAGTGCTGTCTGCAGTCAGTCTTACCATCAATATTTTGCTCTCTTTACCATTGAGAAGAAACGGTAATTATTTTATTGCAATCTATCAGTTTAACCTTAATATTAATAATAATAGTAAACATTTTCTTCTGTTTATTATTATTAATATTATAGATCTATTCTTAAAAATAGTGAATATTGATTACATAACTCATATGTAACCCATTTTATACTTACTTCAAACAGGTGGAAAGCCTCAGCAAATGCAGACTAATGATGATATTACAAGAGTGCAGGTTTGGAGAATCAAATCAGCAAATAGGAGTTAACATAACATGTCATTTAATGTGAATTTACAAACACATTACCTAATTCTTTCTTCTAGTTTCAGAACGCTGATGATGTTAATTATGCGGCCCTGAACCTTTCCTCAAAAAGAGGTCAGAGAAAGATGACCCTAGAGAAGACACCAACACAGACCAATGCTGCAAGATGAGATTTGAAACATTTTAATGCTAATTGTCAGAAGATCACAGACAGCAGTGATACTTTATCAATATTGTAAGTTTGTGTGATAAAATGTGGTATAAAGCAGGTGGGGTATCTGCACTTTTTTCTCTGAGTATTAACATCTAACACTTGTGGCAAACTCATAGTTGGAAGGAAAGTAATGTGCAAAATTATATAAAAGCATAACCACATCCTGTATGTGTGTATATAACAATGGCTGAAAAGTAGGGTGTTTATTCACTTCTGTCAGCTTTACTAATAGGATTTAGGTCAGCATTTTAAATGGGTTATTCATTGTATATGTGTCTCTGGACCACAAACCTAAGTTGCACAGGTATGTTTATAAAATACATTGTGTGGGTCGATTATCAATCTATTATGCCAAAAATGCTGAATATTAAGTAAAAATCATGTTATATTTAGTAAATTTCTATTTAATTTTTGATTACTATTATTGATTGCTGAGAGATTCATAGGACAACTTCAAAGATGATTTTTAATATGAATATTTTTGAATAATATGATTTTTTTTAACCCTCAAGCTCTAATTAGGTCTTGTATATCAGCTTTCAGAAGGTGTAAAAATCTCAATTGTACACTTATTATTGACACTTATAACTGGTCTTGTGCTCACATGTGTTACTTCTGCTACATAAGAATAGATTGAATCATGTATTTCCCACAATCCAATTATCATATTTAACATCTCAGTTTTACTAATTATTCCACCAAACTTCCAACAATTAATCTGTTTTACTTTTGTTCCTATTTTGAGTGAAATTTATATTGAATGAAGCAAACTTCAGAGCAGACTTTCAGAGATTTGAAATTGCCTTTCTTTCAGGTAATTTTTTTTAATTTACTAGTTGAAAACTGGATATCATATCATTTGCTGAAGCATGTAATAATGACAACCTAAAAATAAAGTACTAGTCTCTCTCTCTCTCTTTCAAAAAGGATAAAAGATATGTGGTAATAGATACAGATTTGTGCTTTTAAGTAAAATGTATAGACATATGCTTTTAAGATACTTATATTTACTGTTTACCCACTCTTTAACTAAAATTCAGAATTAAACCTTTTAAAAATATTTTTGTACCTTTTTTTCTGAGTTTTTGACATGAAATATAGGAAAATAAAGATTTTTTGTATAAAGATTTACAGTAACCTTTTAAAAGCTATACTTTTAGGTACAACAGGCAACTGAAAGTAACAAGTAATTTAATTTATGGTTCTATTATACAACATTCACAGGTAAATTGTAACTGTGGGAGTTGGGGTACAACGGAGGTGTGGGTCCAAATACAGTGTATTCACAACTTGATCAGGCAGGCAATGGTCAAAACAGGAGCAAACGGTATCATGAGGGTAATCCAAAAGTGCATGGTCACAGGCAAAGAGGTCAGTGCAGGCGACAAACAGCATGAACAATAAACAAGGCATGGCAAGGCTAGACAAAAAATAATGCTTGGTAATGTTGGTTAGCAAGACTCAGCAAAGTGTGTGTGTGTGTGAGGTAAATATAAAGAATTATGAGTTACCAGCTGTGTGTGTAATCGGGGAATCAGGAACTGGTGTGTATGTGAGGTCATGATGGTATTTGTAGTCCAGTTAAGTGACAGATGTGTAATTCATGGTCATGATCATGACATTTAATGTACAAAAGTGTACCTTAAAAGAAAAAAGATCACCCCGGTGAAAGCTCGTTGCTTTACATTTACATGAAGTCATTTAGCCTACGCTTTTGTCCAATGTGACTTACAATAGAGGAGGTGTTCAGCGATTCTACAAGAAGAGACAATACAAACAAGAAGTGTTAATTATACAAAGAAACTGCTCAGATTTGAGAGAGGGAGAGAGAAAGTGCTTTGATAGGTGTTTTTTTTATGATTTACTGGGGTTCAGTTGTTTTCGGAAGAGGTGGGTTTTAGTTGTCATTTGAGGGATACCAGTGTATCCGGAGTCCAAGTGCGAATGGAAAGATCATTCCACCAGTGGTTTTGGAAAGTTAGCTACAGCCTCTCTGCGATGGCACCACATGGTGGTGCTCACACACTGACTGGAGGCAACTGTAGACCTTCAGGAGCAGATAAAGGTAAGATGGTGCAATGCTTTCATTTGAACACAGCAGTTTTTTTGAATTATTATACTTATTATTCATTTAAATGGTAAAATCTCTTTAATTATGCTAGCAGAAGCTATGGAAGTATACCTCAAAGAAAGGTGTCAATAGTGTTGTGCATGTGATTAGTTATTAATTGTTATTTGGTCATTATGCCGTGCATCTCTCTCACTTTATTTTGACAAAACATTTTTTTAATGTATACTAAAAACCCGTATACATTGACTTCCATAAAAACAATTATTATCTTGTTAAAGGTTACAGGTTTCCAGCAATCTTCAAAATATCTTTCTTTTGTGTTCAACAACAACAAAAACACTCATAGAGGTTGTTGCAACATAGGCTCATTCTAAAAAATGCAGCCCTATATATAGTTGAAGTCAGAATTATTAGCCTCATTAATTGTCTCAATAAAAAAAAAAACTGCTTTTATTTTTGCTGAAATAAAACAAATATTTCTTCAGAAGAAAAAAATATTATCAGACATACTGTTAAAATTTCCTTGCTCTGTTAAACATCATTTGGGAAAAAAAAAAACATCAAAAGGAGGGCTAATAATTATGACTTCAACTGTACATTTTTGGAGATTGAGAATTATGTAGCCAGAAGTATGTCTGCATTTTGTCTTTAAAACAAGCGCTATGAGGAGGTTTGATGCTGTCACTTTTTGTGCTTTCCAGCTGGCCGATTACCTCCATGTGGACGTCTTTTCCGCTGTTACCAGTTTGTCCAGTAGCTCGCCATGTCGGCAGACTTGAGATGCTCTTGACCACAACAACGAGGTTTGAGTCCAGCGACGAATGGTTCCAGAAAGCAGGCAAGACAAAAACTGAAGCCAAAAATAAACAAGTAAATAACATGGTGAGAATATGGTAAAATCTAATAATGTGGCAAAAATCAGGCGATAGCATTTCTTTTTCTGAATTGCTTTTTAAAACTGTCGGTTGGGTTTAGGGAAGTGGGTGCACGGGTCAATCGGTGCTTTTGAAAACACTATTGGGTGAGTCAGTCTATCAATCATTCAGTCAGTCAGTCGACAGCAGCCTCTAGTGGTTTTACGCGAGAACAGCAGGCGTGAATGGCACTCGCGAGAGAAATTTGAGATCTCAAAAAGCGTAGACAGCAGCCTCTGGTGGATTCACAAAAACAAAAACTGCAAAAAACTTAGCTCCTGGGACATATTTGGCGCTCTCCAGAAATTCATAGCGGTAGGTTTTCAGAGTGAGTCTGGTGTTTAGAGCCACTTAAGGTTGAGCGAGGACAATTTTTTTTTGAGGGAACTGTCACTTCAGGTTTATCTTGAAAGTGACATGTGAAATCTGATTAACATCTCAAAAAGTTTCACCACAAACCTCAAGACTTATGCTAACCCTGTTTAGTGCTGTTGCAAGATCTAATAGGTTGACCAAAACTACAAAGAACATAACATGAGAGTGTCTGCAGTAACCATGGCCTACTTAACACCTACTCAAACCTTTTACCTTCCTGTGTGGCTCAAGCTCTACAAATGTCCTGTTTCTCAAGATTGAGGTAATAACAAAACATGAGCTCCATTAGGACCATCTCTTCATCTATACAAAGTCCAACAGAGAAATAAGAGTGGATGGAATATAATGCAAAGCGAACAAGCTGTATCAGACTAAAGCATAGGGCTGAACATTTGAATTACATCACATCCTGTTGAGTGAGTGACTGGAAGAAGCTGCACAGTGTAGAGCAGAAACTGTTGAAGTGAACATCAGCGCATCAGATTTGTTGCTCATAAGCGTAAATCGAAAGCATAGTTTAATTTATGCAAAATAGTTTTGTCTTAAACAGAATAAATGAATTTGGTATTGATTATTTATAGCAGAGTGAAAGTTGTTGTGATTGGTTGTTTACATTCTTTTCTCTCTTACATACAGTGGTGTGAAAAAGCGTTTGTCCTCTTATTAATTTCTTATTTTTTTTGCAAGTTTGTTACACTTTAATGTTTCAGATCATCAAACATTTTTAATATTTGTCAAAGTAAACACATCATGCAGCAAAACTAAATCCAAATCTACATACTGTAGCCTTACATATTGTGTATGTTGTTGCTGCTGGTGTGTGTGTTTCAATTTTATTTTAGAAATTCAAATGTTAGAAAAGAAGTCTCACAAAAAAAATGCTTAAATAAGTAAAGACGTAAAAGTGGATCAGTACCCTTGCTCTCATTTTAAATGAACGTGCATCATGGTTGGAGTTGTTTCCAGCCGCAAGACCCATTTATATTTCTTTCGCTCACTGCATTTAAACCACAACAAAATACACACGTCACCCTTTATTTTCACATCCCTTTCCTTTACCAAAAACACAAATAGCCCACCCTCTTAAAAAGAAACCGTTATTACCAGAAGTCTTTGAGGTCTTAAAAATGTATTTGATTCCTTTGTGTCTCCAAATTGTTTATACAATATATATTGTATGTTACTAAAAGTTACAAAATGTATACATACTGTACATACACTAACTGGCCACTTTATTAGGCACACCTTACTAGTACCAGGTTGGACGCCCTTTTGCCTTCAGAACTGCCTTAATCCTTCATTGCATAGATTTAACAAGGTACTGGAAATATTCCTAAGAGGTCTATTACATTGAGATCTGGTGACTGTGGAGGCCATTTGAGTACAGTAATCTCATTGCATGTTCAAAAAACCAGTCTCACATGATTCGCACTTTATGACACTGCCGCTCACTGGATATTTTCTCTTTTTTGGACAATTCTCTGTAAACCCTAGAGATAATTGTGCGTGAAAATCCCAGTAGATCAGCAGTTTCTGAATCATTCAGACCAGCTCGTCTGGCACCAACAACCAGGCCATGTTCAAAGTCACTTAAATCCCCTTTCTTCCCCATTTTGATGCTCAGTTTGAACTGCAGCAGATCGTCTTGACCATGTCTACATGCCTAAATGCATTGAGTTGCTTCCATGTGATTGGCTGATTATAAATTTGCGTTAATGAGCAGTTGGACAGGTGTACCTAATAAAGTGGCCGGTGACTGTATAGTTATAGTAACTATATCTATATCTATGTTTAAATGTACATGCATCTCTACTTAAGAATGAAGAATGTGCTGCAAGTTATTATTATTATTATTATTATTATTATTATTATTATTAATAATAATAATTATTATTATTGTTTTATTACATGAAGGTGTTTAATGCATCAACATATATATTTAATAATATTTCTTTCCTTTTTAAATATATTATACAAGTGTTTTATTGTTTTTAAAGTGTTAAGAAATATTACAATAAACTACAATATTATAAATAATACATATTACAATAATAAATATTACAACATATATAATCCTTTCTATTTATATTTAACAAACTGAATTGTGTTCAATTTATTAATAATGTTGTTTCATTTGATGTTATTTAGCACTAAAGTGTAAAATGGAGCTGACAGATCAGATCACCATCTTCTTCTCAGCTTCGAGGTCAGAGTGCAGGCCGGCGTGTTTGTGGTTTAAAAGTAAGAACAGAATGGAAAGATCAAGACACACTTTAGACACACTTTAGCTGGGCTCAATTTTAGTGGTGTAAAGTTTCCACAGTGCATCTGATGTTGCTAAAAAAAAGGTGTCAGAAGCAGTCTCATGCACTTACAAGTGCTTAGCTTATTTACTGCCACCATACACTATGTGAAACTTAACTAAACTACAAAGACTTCTTTTAAATTCAGGTGTTACATTTGTTCTCATAACTGCACTGCATGTTAAATAAAGCTTCATCATTTCCAGAAATGCAAAGTTAACTCTTATAAACATGTTAAATTGATTATTTTCTGATGTGCATGTTTATAAGATTTAAGTTTAAATGATAGATTTATTGTGTAAAGGCAAACATTTAGATTTTTCCTTGATGTTAGATTATGGTTTATAGGCCAAAATACAGACATGCATAAAAAATGCATTGAGCACCACAAAGACACCGTGCTTTTAAATGTATAATCTGTTATTTATAGTGATATAAGGTTTGGTAGGTTACATGAATTACAAGAAAGTACTGAAAAACAGACACAAAAATGACACACTTCACTTTTAAGTAAATGTATTCATCAGATACGTAATCTAAAAGACTGAAATCTAGGCACTCATTTAACATAAACATAAAAATGTGGTACATTTAAAAATACACAAATGATTTATAATTTACATTGCTTGCAGAATGAATCGATGGAATAGATTTTCATTTTGTCATTAATTTTCCTTCAGCTTAGTCCCTCATTTATCAGGGGTCGCCACAGCGGAATGAACCACCAGGAATGAATTTTTATTAGGAAATAAAACAAATTGCAACACTGGCTCTTGAATTAGCATGTAAATGAATGATAATCACCTAATTTATTTGCGGAAGAACACAAATTATGATGCATCAAAATATGATTTTACTTTTATATCCAAGGATGTCCAAGGGTTTTGTCATTTCAGGACCATGGACAGGGATATTTGTCAAAGGTTTATTCAGTTTCAATCAAAATCAGCCTGTTAGCACTGCATGGTGTGTGTGTGTGTGTGTGTGTGTGTGTGTGTGTGTGTGTGTGTGTGTGTGTGTGTGTTTGTGTGTGAGAAGTGACCACAAAACTAGTCATAAGTGTCTTTAAAAAAAAAAAAAAAAAAAAACAGATCACCTGGCAGCTGAATAAATAAGGTTTCCATATGGTTGTAGGACAATATGCAAAACAAGCTCATTCTTAAAATGTAGCCCTATATACATTTCTGGAGATTGCAAATAATGTAGCCAGAAGTACGTATCGCTGAATTTTGTCTTTATAATAAACACTACAGGGCAGTATGATGCCGTTCCTTTTCACGCTTACCAGCTGACCTCCGTATGGATGTCTTTCTTGCTGTCACCAGTATGTCCAGTAGCTTGCCATGTACAATGGTGGACTTGAAGCTCATTGTCGAGGTCAACTCCTCTCTGCGTCTCGAGTCTGCTAAAAAACGGTTCCAGAAAGCAGGAAAGACAAAAACAGAAGCCAAAAATAAAATAAACAAGTAAATAACAGGGTGAGAATGTGGTAAAATCTAAAAAATGTGGTAAAAATCAGACGAGGGCTTTTCTTTTTCTGGATTGCTTTTTAAAACTGTCGGTTAGGTTTAGGGAAGTGGGTGTGTGCCTGTGCCGGTCAGTTGGTGCTTTTGAAAACACTATTGGTTGGGTTCAGGGAAGGAGGCTTGGCCTTAGGTGGATTTACATGAGAACAGCAGGTGCAAGTGGCACTCATGAGAGAAATTTAAGATCTGTAGCCTCTGGGGGAGTCACGAAAATAAAAACTGCGAAAAAACCTACCTCCTGGTAAGTTACCTACCTACTGTAAATCGATAAGTTTTCAGAATGAGATACAAGTATTTGAATCTGACCCTTCAAAAAATCTACATTTTGAGAAAATCATTTAGAAAAGTTCTTAGCATTGCATATTACTAATTTAAAAACTGAGAATATATTTTTTATGGATCACATTTATATATTAAAGTAAATTTTTGATTAGTAATATGCATTGAGCAACTTATTTATATATTATAAAGTTGCTCAATGCATATTACTAATCAAAAATTAAGTCTCCAACTTCAGTTTCAGGTCCAGGCTCAGACATACCATACTAAATATATTTAATATAATGAAATGTAGAATCAAAATTAAATATAGAATCTTTCTCTGTCCAATTAAAACAATTAATTTGTTATATTTTAATGTATGAACGTACTTTAATGAATTTAAATTTAATTTAAATTTAATTTAAAGGTTCACTGTCCAAACTGCATGCAACGTCTGCTAATATTTTCTTATTTTTCCACAGAATTCTTTTAAGCTGTGGTTGAAACTGTGTCAACTCCAGGAAATGAACAATGATTTGCTCACTGAAAAAATCATGTGACCTTATAAACTAAGTGCAGGTAACGGTCAATTCTGTGTGAGCTTTTTTTTTTTCTCAGCCTCAGCACAGAATGATCTGAATGAAGAAAAGATGAACAAACGACTCTGTGTGATCATCTTCCTCTTGTGTGAAGTCTGTAAGTACCATTTCAGTAATGTTTACATGAATTAAAATAATAACGTTAATGCTTTTTCTGAAGATCGTCATAATGTTAGCTTTGTTTGTATTTTTTTTAACAGCTGAGACAGTGTATGGAAACATCATACAGCCTGATACAGTTGTGTCATTTCAGGAAGGAGAGACAGCAGTTTTGCGCTGTTTTATCACAAATTCACAAATGAGCATGACACTGTGGTACAAGCAAGTCACAGGAGAAGAGCCACGTCTCATTGCTTCCTCTATCCTACGTTCATCAGAAATCCAATTTCACAATGAATTTGACAGCAGTCATTTTGAAGTGTTGAGAGACACTGGTGGTTTTAATCTGAAGATTGTGAACGCTGTACAGTCAGATTCAGGAACATATTATTGTGCTACATCTTTTTCCAATGTCATTGAGTTTGGAAATGGCACTCGTCTGGTTGTTAAAGGTGAGTCAGCGCATTTCATCTTCATGCTAATAGCATAGTTCACCCAAAAATGAAAATTCTGCCGTTGTTTACTCACCCTTGACTTGTAACAAATCATTTTGTTTTTTTGTTCTGTTAAACACAAAAGAAGACATTTTGAAGAATGTTGGAAACCTGTAACCACTTACTTCCTAGGAAAAAACAAATATTAATGAAGTCAATTGTTATAGATTTTCAGCATTCTTCAAAATATCTTCCTTTGTGTTCAACAGAACTAAAATAACTGAAACTTATTTTAATAATAGAAACACTGTTTTTTTGGGGTAAAATATCTCTTTTAAAAGTTTCTAATGATTCTAAAACTGTTCATAATATCATCTGTTCCAGGAACAAATCTCAACAAACCCACTTATCTACAGTTGCATGAGCTTGAACAAGTTGAGTCGGCAAAAAACCCTCTTCTCTGTTCAGTCCAAAACCAGCTAGTGAGAAATGAACATCGTCTCTACTGGTTCAGTCATGGGTCAGAAGAATCTCCTCCAGGGTTTATTCATATTTATGGAAACTCAAGTAAATCATGTGTCGGGAGCTCTAAATCTGACTGTCTTTCACCGACCTGCATGTACAATCTCCCAATGAAAAGATCAAGGTCATCAGAAATGGAAATGCATTATTGTGCACTGGCCACATGTGGACAGGCTTTATTTGGAAATGTTTCTAAACTCAATTTAGGTGAGTGTGAGTTCATTTGGAAAATGTTTTTATTTTCAAAATCTTTGAAGATTGAAGACCTTGAGAAGTTATGGAAGAGTTGCGTTGCAGTTGATGAAAAATTGATTAGCCCTCCAGACAGAGCAATGTTTTATTCTTTTTCATCCCAGGAGATGTTTAACAGAGCAGAAAACATTTCACATTATTTCATATTATATAATTCTTCTGGAGAAAGTATTTCTTTAAGTATGGCTGGGATGATTTTTTTTTTAAACTAAGCTAAAGTCAATATTATTAGTCCCCTATACAGTATATATATTTTTCTTATTTGGCAACAGAACAAACCACTTTTGTCCAATGACTTGCCTAAGTAACCCATTGTATCTTAACTAAACCTAACCTAGTTAAGCCTTTAAATTGCGTGTTTAAATGATTACAAATATCCTGCATAATACCTAGAAATATATTATGTACTGTCACTATGGGAAAGGCTAACTAAAATAGTGATTAAAAATAACATATTAATATATCATATTTAAAAATGTGCTGAAAAAATCTCGCTGTTAAACAGCACTTGGGAATTTTTTAAAAATAATTAAAATTTCACAAGAATGATATTAGTTTGAAACACTGAAACTGATTATATTGTAGTCAGTTTGAACTTTATTTATGTGAGTTTCTAGTTTTTTTCTGAGCATTTTTATTTAGGCTTTTTAATAGAATCCACTAGTTTGCCCATTTTTTTTTTTGCAAGATAATTTTGGCAAATAAAAGCCATGATGGTGTTCCTCTACACAATACACCATGCTTTTGTCATATTTTGTAGATTGAATCAACCTTTTCCAGTTCAAAAAAATAAATGAAAAGTTTAGATGCAAAAAAAAAAACAAAAAAAAAACAAGAGCCGTCTGGAATTTTCATCTAAAGTGAGCATTTTTCTTAGCCTTCTATGTTTATGTTCAGTTATGTCACTTTGAGGGCAATGAAAATACCATAATCTTTGTCATAAAATAAAAAATACAAAATAATCATAAATAAAATAATAAGGAACCTGACAAGCAAATCATTTTAGAAGAAAATTTCAGATGAAACTTAAAGATTTCAAAAACTGTGCATACCTATCCTAACGTCTGTTCTACTGTAAATAATAAAATAATATGCAAAAAGACAAACAGAAAATATTACATATGTTTGTTTGCATGTTTCAGATGCTGTTGGGAGCCCGAAAATATTGTTCATTCAAATTGGCCTCGGTGTGTTACTGGCAATAAGTCTTGCAATCAATATTCTGCTTTGCTGTCAGAGGAAAAATGGTAAGCATTTCTGCTAATGTATCCTGTAATCTCAAAAACATAATTACACGTGTAAGCATCGTCTTATCATAATGCATTTTTATTTCATTGTTATTATTTTTCTTATTATTTTTATTTATTTATTTTTTACAACAGGGAGAAAATCTCAAATACAGACTGCTGATGAAGATTTGTCAATAAATCCGGTAGGATGTTATAAATGAAAACAAATTAGAAGTCACTAATAATCTATCGATAATGAACATTGTAATAAACATTTTCTTTTCTTCTACTTTTTTTATTCAGTTTAGTGAAGTGACCTACGCTACTGTAAACACCTCCAGCAAACACTCAAGAGTGAAGAGAGAGAGCAAACAAGAGGACACGCTGTATTCTGGTTTAGCATGTCAACAACACAGCTGAAAACTACTTATTTTAGATACATACTGTATATAATTAGCTCTCTAATCAACTCCAATTGTGACTTGTTCTTATACATCTTTATTACATGTACAATGCTTTTTTGTCAAGCCAAAAGTTCCTTGTAATTGTATGTCATTTTGTGAGGGCAAAGATGTAGATTTGCTTTTGATATTGCTGTGTAACAGCTACCAATAAGTGCTTTTCTCAGTGGAGCAGTGTGCCTGTTCTTATTTTATTTATTCATTAATTTTCCTGCGGCGCAGTCCCTTTATTTATCAGGGGTCGCAACAGTGAATGATCCACCAACTTATCCAGGGTATGTTTTATGCAGCAGATGCCCTTCCAGCCACAACCCAGTACTATGTACACTATGGCCAATTTAGTTCATTCAATTCACCTATACCGCATATCTTCGGACTGTGGAGCACCGGTAGGAAACTCACGCGAACGGGGAGAACATGCAAACTCCACACAGAAATGCTAACTGACCCAACTAGGACTCAAACCTTCTTGCTGTGAAGCGACAGTGCTAACCGCTGAGCCACCGTGTCGCCGTTTTCATTTTATAATAATTTAAAATGTAAACATTTTTGTTTTACTTTAAGTAGCTTGTTAGTTCAAGTGTCAAAACAATAACTTTTTTGAGCCAATGCATTACATTTTTACGTTTCTGCATAAAATGTATTATCCAACTGAAAATCACATAGGGAGACCTCATGGGTTCACCACTAGCTGGGCCACCCAATAGGCTCCAAATAAGATGTCCATTTTAAGCCAATGACCACTCTGTACCTCTGTAGTTCATGTAAAATTCATGTGGGCCCCATATTATGTGCTTGCTGTGTGGGGTGGGGACAGATCCTATCCGCAAAGTATATAGGTTTTCACGCTTTACACACATAAATTCACATAAATTATTTTCTTCTCAATAGTTAAAGAAAAAGAATCTGTTGAAATAAAAAAAAGATAAAATATATATACTATTACGTACTTTTATGGTATTCAGGAGCCATGTGCCATCTTTGACAGGTGCTTTCCTTCTCTCTTTGTTTTAAAAGCATCATAAGCATCTGCTAAATGACTAAATGTAAATGCTTATTAACACTTGCATATGAAATAAAAAAGTGAAGAGAAAAACAATTGTCAAGTAAAGACCCAGGGTTTGGGGATGCCATACAACAAAGCATTAGCGATTACATTCAGAAAAAATAGACAAAACAAGTAAAAAAATAATACATTAAGTATAAATTTACATGTACAGATGAATAAAAATAGACCCACATTAAAAATGACCTTAAATACACTAATCAAATGAGAAAATTTTTATTTAAAACATGCGATTTGTTTCGGGTTGCCAAGTAAGTGAATGTTTTTTATACTGTAAAATGTACATAAGAATGATTTCCACGAATAAATAAATTGGTATAAAAAAGTACAAATAATTAACGAGGTTACTGTTTTATATGCAATGTATAATTCATTCATAAGTAACGTATTCCCAGCTTATTTTCCTGTTTATCGACGCCCATTGTCACTAACCAATTAAAAACTGCACTGTTCTAGTTAGCTACACTACATTTTTTACAGTCATTGGCTACACACTACAGACTGAGGCGAACTTGAGAATTGAGACTATACTAATTTATGTGACATAGGGGAGACATATTAACGGTTTTTACAAACAAGGTATTTTACTAAACAGACTTAACAAATTAACAGAAATATAACAAGCACAAAGTGATAATTATTAAAGCTAACCAATTGTAATAATCCTGACAAATAAAAATAACTCCGAAATAATATTTAATCCATTCGTCCTCCCCTACTTTTGAGATGGTATCAGCCGGCTGAAGCGGGAAGAATAAAAGTCTTTTCCGCCCTTTTCCAAACTGTTTACCAGTCGAGACCGCGAAAATGGAGGACACCAGACCACTCATTACTCACCTCTCAGAAACCTCGTTCCAAACAAGGATTTAAAAGCAGTAGACCTACCACAAAACGTGTAAGTGTGCATTCCAAACGAAGTTTAAGAAAAACTTACTGTATAAATAAAACTTTAAGTGTATCAAGCAAAAGTCCAGTGGAATATGTGGTCTCTCTCCCCACGACATTAAACTAAAACCGAATTACACGTTTGCTAATGTAACATAAAGAGCTGGGCTTTTATTGCTGTAACCCACTAAACAGCAAATAAATAACGTTAGATGTTAAGTGAGGTCTACAAGTTATTAATGTTGAAAGACTGAACAATGCTCGTCCATTTAGAAGTTAATGCACACTCCAGTGTTTGGAACTGTGATCAAAAGATAACTTTGTTATCATTTTTAATATTATTGTTATTTTTGAAAACTCAACATAACCTATAATGTTAAATGCAAGGGAGATATTTTCACATACTTAATTGACCTTTTAAGGCCTACAACAAACGCCTTGTTGGGAATACCAATATAGACATATACAAACTAATATAGGCTATACAAATCTAAATAACCAAATAATAAAACAACACATGTAATGTTTAGTCTAAAATAACAGAAATAAATCAATACCAACTATAATTTGATGACGCCTATTTAGGGACACATTGTCTGTTTTCTGTCTGGATGGTAATGTTAATTGCTGTTCCCTCACAACAAATTCACATTGAGGTAAAGCTGGTTTTATTTTCCCACATTCAGACTTTATCCTTAAGAATATTTCAGAAAACAGTTGTTTTCAAATTCTGAACATGAAAATCATATTAGTAACGTTAGCCAATGACTATCAAAGTAGCATTGTTTACAGTCAATTAAATAGTGCTAATGTTGTTTTTAAGTCACACTTGAATGCGATTTCAGTCAAAATATTGAAATTAGGTTGGTAAACACTATAGGGACCCTTAAAATGAGTTAATGTGTGGATATAACCAACTTTGGATATAACCTGCCCTTTTGGGAAACAAACAGCAGAAACAACAAAAGTGCAAATATAAGAGCACATTAGAATTAGGTTGTGGTTGAGATCAAATCAAATACAGTCTAAAATAACAGCAATAAACTTATATCAACTGATATATAATGTAGTGTATTTAGGGCCACAGCAGCTTATCTCAGGTCTTTGTCAGGATGTTGAGTGCTCCCCACCCCAACGCAATATCTATTGAAAAGACCCTAAATGTCGTGGGGTGATGCTCTCATTCACCTTAACTCAGTTTAGTCAATCTTACCATGGCAAATCCCTCAATGATTTCTTACTCTTCATGAAGTGGTGATGCTTCAGTTGGTGGGTGACTGTGAGCTGGGGTCCAGTTCAGCATTTCACTGGACGGAAGTGTTGTGTTTAAAATCACACATTGCATAGGTTTTGTTTTATTTCGACCATTAAAGAAAGTACATTTTATATAGCAATAATTACACTTGGGCATACTGCATCTGCCATCATTTTACTGTCATTTGATCCACAGCATCTGTTACAAAACATTGAGATAAATCCTTAAAATATATTAAAAACCACAAAACAAAGATAAAACAGAAAAACACATTTTTTGCAAAGCTACTACATGCTGGCTTTACTTTTTAAGTTTTTTGAATTTCTTTACATTATAATTTTTGTTTTAAATATACCTAGTTTGCAAAATACTTTGTTGTTCCTTATACTCATTTTATACTTGATTTCCAGAGGTTGCCAGAACCTGACGTCCTCTTCTCTTCCTCGTCTTTTTTTATCAAGCCGTCCTGCTCCTTCCTCCCAGTTGGACAATGTGCAGTGGTGCAATGCTGAATATACCAAAAGCATCTGCCTACAGTATAGGCAACAAGGTATATAAACATTTTAAATTCACTAAATCCACCAACACATGAGATAATGCGTCAGTTTAGTTCAGTTTAATACAGTGCTGCCAAAAAAGGCAAAACTGAGTGTGGCTTAATAATTGTTTTATTGGTATGAGCCACAGTTGTAATCAAAATCAGATAAACTTCACAGCCATAAGTAAACAGACAGGTATTAAGAATCACTGGTGTTATTAAGCTCTGTCTGCAACTGCCTATTAACTTTAAAAAAGTGCCGGGCACACATGTACTCAAATAAAATGTGTGCCAATTTCATTCAAATAATGGTTTGTCAAGTAAATTGCTTTAGTTTTTTTTTCATTAAACATATAAACTATGCTTATTTGCTTATTGGCTGCAGTTTACAAAAACTACAAAATGTTTGAAAGTTTTCATTTTAAATGTGTAAGTGTTTTTTTTTGTAAACACTTAAATAGACACCTAAACACTCATCTTTTCTCTGAGAAAAACTTATAAAAGATAGTTACTTTTCAATCAAACCAAGTCTGCAGTTTGGCTTTCGTACTTTTAAAAATAGTAATATTAGTAGTAATAATAATAACAAAAAATAAGTTAATAAAACTAATTATTAAACACTGTGATAAGAAACACTTTTTAATAATAATAGGCTGTATTTAGTTGGCTTCATTGTAATGTTGATTAATGTTATTTGACAAAATGACTCACGAGACCAAAAGAGATGAAAGTTATGCTTATAACTCAACAGGTGCCTTGTAAGGTGGTGTATATGAGAGGATGTGCTTAGCATTTGTCATGTTAAGATGGTCACACAACAGAAGCACCACTCGGCGACGTGCCGCGTAGCGCCTCGCAGCCACATGCATTTTAGAATTCTAAACATAGGTTTCTATCAGGGTACACACACCGGCGCCGCAAAGACTCAGGACACTGTTTTTATTTCTGCCACACCACAGAGTGCCATCTGATTAGTTTTATTTTAAGAAGCATGTGAATGTGCATGTCTGGTGTGCGATACTTTAAACTGTCATGTGCAAGTGGTGTCGCGGCGCATCCGGTGTGTGACGCCCTTTAGGCGACATGCGTGGAGACATTTGTAAAAATGTAAAAATAACATACAGTAAGCACTAACAAGGTTTCTTAGAAAGATTGTTATTATTATTAGGACCCAACATATTCATTATTAGGGACAGTAATTTTCTTTGGGTAGGGAAAAATAATCATGTTAGTTAAGGCATGGAGTAAAAGTACACATAGCAAGTGGTCTAAATATCAACAGGATATTTAACCATCACATGTATGCACAAATAATATAATTAAGTAATTCACATCAATTTATACAATACATTTTCACAGAAAGACTATAGCTTTATAAGAGCTCCAGAAAACCAATCATATCAGCTTCTGCATCATATCACCTATTTGTATTTAAACTCTCAGAAATAACAAAACAAAATCTGTCATTAACCCACGGTTCCTGTTTAAACTGTAAATATTTAAAACCTTTTAGGTGTAAAATATGAGCCTTCAGGGGACAATATGGACCTTTTAGGTATTGGTAAATAACTTTTAGGTACCAATATGGATCCTTTAGGTACTAACATGTACCCATTGTACAAAAAAGTACAACAGTGTACATTTTGAAAGGGTATTGTTACTGTTTCATAGATTTATCTCTAAAAGTATTCATTTTTTTTCTTTTCCCCCATTTTCTATTTGTCTCAGACATTTGGTGGCAATAGAGACTTCAAGCTGAATTCTGCATTCAACATATCTGAAGAATTAAAGAAGTTAAACAGAAGTTAAAATAAAAACAATGGACTGTAATAATTTCCACCATTAATTTCCCTGAAACCACAGTATGTCTTAAGAAATGAATGCACATTAAAATACACACAAATTCACATGATCTTCATATATATTTATTCACATATATAACTGGTATATAAGATGGTGCAATTGAACAATACTGTACACATGTGATCCAAAAAGAGATGTTAAATGAGGTTGCACACAAGAGTCTAACAGCATACAGTACATGCATTATTCAGTCGCATAAAACCACACATATCTTTAGCAAATTATAATAGTACAAATACAGTAAAATCAAAATAATACAGTAATATACAAAAACATTCTAATTTGGCCAGCTATATAGCTATCATCTTACAATATTTTTTTTGGTTGACATTTTAAGATAACAAACACTTGAATAACCCTTTCCTTTAAATATCTTGATTGTTACAGATGGATTAAAGGAAACTGAGTAGCACTAACTGAAATTATTCAAATTAAGTCCATTGAATATTTCAATAATGCAGATGTGAAATGTTACTTTTGTGATCTGACCATTGCATACAAATATTGGTCTTGAGAGTCACTTACTGCAACTCTTCTAGAATTCTGGCTAAAATTAATGGGTGTGTAGTTTAGGCTGTCTTCATTCTGATATCAAGAGAAAAATAAAAATGTTATATTATAAGGCTTTCAAACACATCAGAACTTCTAATATGAAATAAATTTTAGGAAGTCATGTACTTACTTGAGTTCTTTGAGCTGCAAGCACTTTGGAAAATGAAATGTATATATTGTTATTCTAAATAAAAAATGTGGTATCTGACAATTTATGAGAATACAATAATACAAGATGAATTATAATCTAAAAATCTTACTTTTACACTGACTCCTGAGTTTTACTCCCAGAAAAACAACAAGGGCCAAAAATATAACATTTGAAATTCCAAGAGCAAGAAGACCAGGATATAAATCACCACTTTCTGTAACAAGATTGAACATGTGACATTTTTGCATTAAGATTAGGTTATATTAAGTAATTTGTTTCAAATGTGACAATTTTTTTTATTTAACATGCTTCAAATATGAATGATAGATGTATATAACATACATTTCCGTATAGGAATGAACAAACTAAGCCTTTCATCATTTAACCTAAATGTTTGTATTTTGCCTTAATCTTACCTTTAATATTCAGTTGAGTTCCTCTTCCAAACAGTATTTCTCCACATGAGGCCACAGCACAGTAGTAAATGCCAGAATCAGAGCGACTGATGTTGTTCTTGTGGAAACTGTAGACACAGCTCTGCGTTTGAGACTCAGTGCTGTTCTTACAGCGGCCATTTCTCTCTCCTTTGGTGTAAAGCACTCCTTCAGAGTCTCCTGAGCTTTGCTTAAACCAGTAGACGCTGTGATCTCCTGCACAGCTTTCAGTGAAGATGCTGCACTGCAAATTCACTGAATCTCCTGGATCAACAGAGTCTATTGAAGACTGATGAAGAGTTGTGTTTCTGTCTGTGGCTGCATCTTTAAAAGCACAGTCAGATAGTCAGGATTTAAACAATTAGCCAACACAAACTAAATAGAGCTAATATAATAAACACAACTTACCTCTGACAATTAATCTAGTTCCTGAACCCATTCCAATGGCTTGATATGATGAAACTACACAGTAATATGTTGCAGAGTCTGAAGGCTTTGTCTTTAAAATGGTCAGATTAAAATAACCTTCTCTTATGATAACATTTACATTGTTCATTTTCTCAGAGTTGTTATTCCAAATGGGACTTTTTGTAAAAAACAGATTAAACACAATCTGTAAAGTTTTTCCATCAGCCGTGTGTTTAAACCATGCTGTTGACAATTGCATATTAGGTGAAAATGTGCAGGTGAGGTTCACATCCTCTCCAGCTTGAACAATTTTTACATTATTCTCCTGGACAACGTCCACATCAGAGGAGCAAACTGCAAAAATAAACCCCAAACAAAATATTTATAACTGAAATTAGTGTTTAAAAATTGTTAGATTGTTAAATGAGCACTTTAATATTTAAAAAGATGTAGTCATATTTACATATTGTTGAGGAAAGCAAAAGGATAAAGTAATATCTCATGATCATCTGTCCTCCACAATTATCCTTCTACTTAGAATTTTCCCTAAAAAGTGAACAAATGAGCAGGTTGTAAAAACATTTGCCCATACGAGAAAATACGAGTAGATGAATGTTACCATGTGTCCAACGGCTTCTGCTACAGACAACTGAGGTTTACATACACCTTCAGCTCAACTTCATGTCTTCATTCTACTTCCCACATCAAAATGACCAGAAAAAAATCTAGCCCAAGTGTCTTTCCATTACTCTCATAACTCTCATGTAGACAGAAATTGAAAAACACTATCAGTGGAAATAGTCTACCATAAGCTTAAAACGGGTCACTCTCAAAATTACTGTCCAAAATAGAAGAAAATATAGTATGTAGTTCGTCATAAGGAACAAAAGTAGAATATAGGTTTCAAATAGCATAAAAACAATAAAACAAACCTTTTAAGGCCTCTGTTTTTAAACTTCTTACAGGTTCGAAGATGTCAAGAAATGAAACTTTTAAACCACCAGTTTCAATCATGGGGTTGGCAAATGACGTGTGTCTTACATCAGAGCCAACGAGAGATAATATAAGATAAGCTTACTGGCATATCACAAAAGTCTTCAGCAAATACTGAATGCAAAAGCTGCTTCAAAAACCAGCTGCAGTAATGGAATGACATTTTTGCACATTCAACTTATACATCTTACCTTTTTTCCCCAACTTTTTTCTAAAGTTTTCTTAAAGTAATGGCCCATTTAGTTATACTAACATGAATTAACATTTAGTGATACGTTTATTAGGGTATTTATTAATAGTTAATATTAGTTAAGTTAAATAAGTTAGTTCAAAATTGGTTAGTTTAAATTGGTTAGTTAAGTTAAATAACATTATGTTAGTTCATGTTATCTCACGGTGCATTGATGTTAACAAGCACAACTTTGGATTTTAATAATGCATTAGTTATTGTTGAACTGCGATTAATAAATGCTTTACATTTAATTTATTATTCATACTTAATTTTAATAAATACATTAACCAACATGAACTAAAGTACCATTATTCTAAATTTTTTTCCTGAATAAGCAATTATAAATTAGTCTCCGCTGCTTTTATTTTTTATCAGGATCATCTCTTAACTACAAAACAAATTAAATGCATAATGTGGCAGTTTGTTTGACAGGAGGAGGAAGTCAAACCAACAGATCTTATTTGAATGCTTTTCAACCACTAGGTGCCAGTAGAGACTATGGGTTGAATTTTGGATAAATAAAAAACTTAAGGTGAACTATAGGAAGCATTTTTCCAGGAAACTTTACTTTATACAACCACAAGAATTTATAATTTCAATTAAAATAATGAAAACAATGCAATGCAATTTCCATCGTTGGTTTATTTCAGACCTCATTATTAGTCCTCAATCGCAAACTCCACTATAACATTCATATACAAACAGCTGAACAAATGTGTGTACAGTTTATTCACTAGGAGACATGTTGTAAAAAGAAAAAAACATAGTTATGATATTCAAGTTTCCCCATGAAGTGAGCAACAAAGTATAGACTTATCTACAAATATATCATTATACATTCAAGACCAGACTAATTCTAATCTCATTCCTAACATATTCATATATACAAAATAGAACTGAAACATAGAACGACATTAAAATATGGACAGTTTTCATTTTGCAATAATATTTAATGATTTTTTAAAAATTTCAGATGAAGAGAAATCATTAAATTGAATAGAAATTATGTAATTATTCTCGGTATATAGATCAGTGTGTATACAATCAACAGTAAACACATCTTTAATGCCAGTAAGTTTTTGTTAAATGTGTGAAAACCCTTAATGTTGCATCTTTGCTAGATGTGAGCCATCTGTTAGAATTTTTTTCTTTGACTCTGAACAATGCATTATTCATAAACAGAGAAGGACATGCAGCAATGAAAAAATCATACAGAAACAATTATAGACTAAACAGAGTTCCACGTGGCTCTTTATTTGAGCAAAAAAAGTGAAGCCAGTCTGGATTCATGGGCTGAAGATTAATTACATGCATCTATGAGATCACAGAGCACACATCATTATGTATTTAACTCTGATTCAGTGATAATGCTAAATTACAAATCAGCTCTTAAATTGTTTTACTGGGTGTATGGAAAAATTTCATACTTTCATACAAATATTTTTCCATATTTCTAAACATCCTTAAGATCAAGATTTGCTTTAGATGCAAAAATGAAGAAATTTAAGAAAAGAATTTAACTTAATTTTTTAAAAATCTCGTTATTAAAGGGATTTCCATGTTGTGATGCTTACGCTTTTTACCATTTATTTGATCTTAAAAAGGTCTTTATACATTTACCTCCATAAAGCCTGCAGAAGCCAATGTGTTTCTGTAGTGGAATTTTGATTATGTAAATATATCAAATTGCTTACCTTTTATTGTCACAAAAATACAACAGTTCTTATTTTCACCAATATTTTAATCAAATATTAAAATAATACTGAATGACTGATTAAATGTTTTTTTAAACTCTACCTCTAATATTCAGTTGTTCCTCTTTTAAGCAGTATTTGTCCATATGCGGCCACAGCACAGTAGTAAATGCCAGTATCAGATTGACTGATGTTGTTCTTGTGGAGACTGTAGACACAGCTCTGTGTTTGGAACTTAGTGCTGTTACAGCAGCCATTTCTCTCTCCTTTTGTGTAAAGCACTCCTTTAGAGTCTCCTAAGCTTTGCTTAAATCATTAGACGCTGTGATGTCCTGCACAGCTCTCAGTGAAGATGCTGCATTGCAAATTCACTGAATCTCCTGGATCAACAGTGTCTATCAAAGACTGATGAAGAGTTGCGTTTCTGTCTGCAGCTGTGTCTTCACAAGCATAGTCAAGGAATTGATTAGCCAACATAAACCAAATACTGCACAATAATATATATATATATATATATATATATATATATATATATATATATATATATATATATATTAGGGGTGTAACGATTTATCGTTGTGCGATTTATTGCGATGCAAAAATGTCACAATATGCATCGTGGCGTTATGACGATTTGATTACGATATGACGTTCATTTTCTCTTATTAGTTGAGCTGTTTGCACGTGAGCTACGTTCTACCTGCTGTCGCACGTGAGTTCAGATTGCAGCAGCAGTAATGTTAGCAGACCAAGATGAGTGGAGTTGAAATAGAGGATGGCCCATCCTCTCAAAATCAGACGTCTGGCAACATTTCGGTTGTACAGTCATTGCTTTAGACTCGTCCGCTTTTTGACACGCATACTGGGTCAAACATCCTAAGTTTTAAAGTCTTCACAGTGATTTACATACTTTGCACAGCGACAGGGATACCTCCTAATGGTGTTGAAAGAGTCACATACTGTATTTATAAGGTACAATTCACCCTAAAATATCATTCTGTCTTCATATAATGTTCCCGCCGCAAAATCACACATGACGTGAGCTGACCGTGAGCTGTTACTACAGAGGGCGGACTGATAGACGCGCGTATGGCAAGCCATTTTAGCATTTAAACCTTTGTTCTGACTATCTATAAATATATTTAGAGATATCTCTAAATCTAATTATATTTTGACTAGTCATAATTATAATTCGACTAGTCAGAATGACAATTAGAGATATCTGCAATTACAATTGTACTAGTACGAAATCAGATTGGAGATATCTGCAAATATATTATGACTAGTCATATTCCTCCATTGACTTCCATTGAAAAATATTTGCAGATATCTCTAAATGAGTTTTGACTAGTCACAATTGTAATTAGAGATATCTCTAATTAAATATGAATTAAATACCTGGAAATGTGGATTTTTTTTTTGCACACACAAAAAACCCAAGTGACCAAGCAAAGCCTTAAGCTCTTACTGTTAAATTCAATTGAATAGAAAGCTTATTTTTTTTGCACCTTTACTTAAATTGTTCCTTAATTTTGCCTGTTTAATTTATTTTCTTAAAGAAGGTTCAGTTTAACAAGTTGAAACAAAAGAAATACATAAAAAATAGTTTACTTGGTAAAATTTGCATTTCAGTTTAATTTTCAATTTTTATTCCAAATATCGTGATACATATCGAATCGTGAACATTATATCGTGATACACATCGTATCGTGAGCTGAGTGTATCGTTACACCCCTAATATATATATATATATATATATATATATATATATATATATATATATATATATAAATATATATACATATAAATATACATATTGCGATCGTTATTTTTGATAATATTACATGACTCTGTAAACATTTATTATTACCATTTCTTGATTATCCCCATACAGTTTAATATAGTGCTTGAATCCGAAAGCTTTATCAGGTGACGTCACACTTAACAAGCAGATATCTATTATTTTATAGCACTATTTGCATGCTTTATAATGATTTGTATATGCATTGCTCATACCATAAACAGTCACAGTTATAATAAAATCATTAAATTCTATTTCTTCTAGGGATGTCCCGATACAACATTTTAACTTCCGATACGATACTGATATTGCAGCCTTCAGTACGAACCAATATAAATCCAATATCAGCACAAATTATGAATACTTTACTTTTACCTATTTCGTTGAGTGGAATGTATGAACGGCTAGATCAAACTGAGAGCAAAAGTCAGCAAAAGTAAGTATGGAAAAAAACAACCAACTTATTAATATTGGTTGCATAAATGTGAACCTTTTACATAAGAGTAAATAAAAAAAGAATTAAAGAATAAATATTAAGACCCTGAAAAATATCTTAATTTAATTACAAAAATAATTTTTTTAATGTGCAAAATACTAATTAAAGGTCACTTCAGTTGACTGTACACGCTGTGTCATGGCGCCGTGCGGCGCTTCTGGTGTGCGATCTGCTTGACTGCCTGACTAGGTTTCAATCATGGTAATGACGGACTGAACACAGACTGGACAGCCCAATTTAACCCAATGCATGAAGTTGTGGTCCTGCATCGCAGAGCTGGTGCAAATACAACAAATACAAGCATTTAAGTGTCTTAACTTGTGCATTTTTCTTTTGTTATTACCTTTGCATCAAACGCGCTTTGGTCCACTCTCTCACACAACTCCAGCACTGCCTGACAAGGGGATTTACATTCAGACTAATGCAACAAGTAAAATCCTACATGACTTCACGCTTTACTAAGTCACGTCTGTGTGGATTGTCAAGACATTCCTTTATCAAGTCGATAAACTCGATCTCTCAACATGTATGAAGGACGTAAAAACCTGCCATGTGAAAAACTGCACCGATCTTAGTTTGAACCAAGCTGATCTTAGTTTGGTTTGAACAAGAGCAGAGGTGAGCAGCTGTAGCAGTGAACGTGAAAGTACCCGCCCTATGATGTCATTTAGCAGACCTAGTTGAAACCCAGACAGGCAGTCAGGCAGCATAATACAGAGAGTGGTGCAAAGTGCATGAAATGATCAGTATTTAAAAGGGGGAAAAAAGAAAAATAAATTAAATATATTATTTTATATTAGACACTAGACAGACATCTGGTGGATGTATTTGCTCCTGCTATACGTCCACAACTTCACGCATTGGGTTACAGTTTCCATGTTCAGTCCTTTACTTCCACTGTATCATTTTAAGAAAAAGGCTGCAGCGTTACAACCTGTCATTCAATCAGAAGGAGACAAAGTCGAAGCCGAGCTGACAGCCAATCTTTCCTATGCTTAGCAAAACTTGCAAAAAAAATACCTCTGCATTCCTGCAACTGCAATATTTACACATAATTTTTTATTCAAGTCTTCTGCAATGATATGTAACTCGTGAATTTGTTTTACAATTTTTTACACCTTGTTGGCCAATTTATATATGGCGTGGCTATTAAAAATACAATGTTCCTTAACCAGATGGTTTTTCAAGTTACTTATAAAGAGAATGTTACTTCAGTCATGTTGTTGTAATGTTTTAAGTTGACTAGTCACACAGTAAAAAAAATCGATATCGTTAATCGGTCAAACTTTATAAAAAACCTAGAATTTTTTTTTTTTCCATATCGCCCAGTCCTAGTGTACAGTATATTGTGCATATTCTAAAATTAATATCAGAGGCAATGGTAAAAAATACAATCAATATAAGCTATTAACTAAAAAAACACATTAAATAAATAACTGAACAATAAACACCCAGAAGCATGAGAGGGGAGAACATTAAAGTAACAAACCTTTTGACTCACTCACTCATTTAGTCTCAACCAGACTAAAGTATTTTTGTTAAAGACCAAATAAATTCATGCTCATATTTTTCCATTAACAATATAATATCCAGGTGCCACAGTTTAAATATTTGGGTTAAAATAATAAATACAAGGCATTGGAATTTCAATTAATAATTTGTCAGAATCCCAAGTATTAGTCCTAAAGAAATGCAATTTGTCAATGCAAATGAACATTCACACAAACACATTTGAAAAGATAAACATGTTTATTTTTTTCAGAGGACACAATTAAATCCTACAGCACAAGTGATCCATAAAGAGATTGTAAAACGGAGCATATTGTAATATGAAATTTAAAAGTTCCACATAATACAAAAAGAGAGTCATTCATACGTTTTTCCACAAACGCACAAACCTTATTCTTATTTTCAACACAACAACTTCATAACAATAAAAAATGCATTACAAAGCCAGAATAACACAGTAACACATACAGTAGATGTGGCCAGTTATTTATTTAAATTATATATTTTGATGACATTGTAAGGTCAGAAAATTTTTTATGCTTTTTAACCCTTTCCTTTAAATACTGGGCATAATCAATTTAGTAGGTCTGTAATTGATTCTTACAAATCAAATGTATGGAACCAAATAAGTTTTCTTAAGATAAAAATACAAAGATTTTAACTGCATAGAAGCAAAATGTTGAATGTCACTGAAGTGATCTGACCTGTGCGTACAGAGATTGCTCTTGAGTAATTTGTGCTCTTGCTCTTTTGGTGTTCAGAGGTTTCTGTCTAAAAGTAATGGCTGCGTAATTCAGGCTGTCTTGGTTCTAATATTAAGAGGGAACAAAAAAGAAAATAATATATGGGTTATACATTAAAATAATATATATATATATATATGATTTTTAAATATCATAAGTTACAACAAATTAAATTGATAAAACAACTTTGTACTTACTAAACTTTCCTGAGCTGCTAGAAAAAACAAAACAAAAAAACATTGTTATTATAAATAGCGGACATGGTATTGTAAATGTTACTTCGTATTGCAACAAATATGTTGTACTCAGTCTTACTTTTTCTCTGACCCCTGAAGAGTTTGAATCCCAGAAAAACAGCAAGGGCCAAAAATATAATATTTAAAACTCCAAAAAGTGCAAGAAGACCAGGATATAAATGACCACTTTCTGTAACAATAGAGTTGTTTATATCAAGTACTCTTTGTTTAAAGTTTTCAATTTTAGATAACATGCTTCAGATATTAACAAAATGTTTTGCATATTTTTTTACATTAAATTCAGTATCTTGCACTCTAGTGTATGAATCAAAGTTTTTCAGTCAAAGTAAAAAAATTTAACCCATATATTTGTGTTTTGCCTTTAACTTGCCTCTAATATTCAGCTGAGTTCCTCTTCCAAGTAGTATTTCTCCACATGAGGCCACAGCACAGTAGTAAATGCCAGAATCAGAGCGACTGATGTTGTTCTTGTGGAGACTGTAGACACAGCTCTGTGTTTGAGACTCAGTGCTGTCCTTACAGCGGCCATTTCTCTCTCCTTTGGTGTAAAGCACTCCTTCAGAGTCTCCTGAGCTTTGCTTGAACCAGTAGACGCTGTGATCTCCTGCACAGCTCTCAGTAAAGATGCTGCACTGCAAATTCACTGAATCTCCTGGATCAACAGTGTCTATCAAAGACTGATGAAGAGTTGTGTTTCTGTCCTTGGCTGAGTCTTCATAAGTACAGAAATAGCACAATAAATCAGCCACTACACACAAACACAAAAAGTAAATATAAAAAATAAAAGCCTTACCTCTGACAAATAATCGAGTTCCTGAACCCATTCCAATGTTGTAAGCAGTTGAGATTACACAGTAATATGTTGCAGAGTCTGACGGCTTTGTCTTTAAAATGGTCAGATTAAAATAACCATCTTCTTTCATGATATTAAAACCATTCTCAGAGTTGTTATTCCAATTGGGTATTTGATCTAGATATAAAGACACAATTTGTAGGGATTTTCCATCAGCTGTTTGTTTAAACCATGCTTTTGTCGCCTGCAGAAGCCTTGAAAATGTACAAGGAAGGTTCACATCCTCTCCCGCTGCAGCTATTTTTACATTATTCTCCTGAACAACTTCCACACCAAAGGAGCAAACTGCAAAATAAAGCACAAAAATATCTTTAGAACTGGAAGTGTTACAAATAAATTATGTTGATCAATTAGTAAGGCAGAGCAATGATTACATATTGTTGAGGACAGCAAAATGAAGTAATATCTCATAATTCGCCGTCCAAAATTATCTTTTTGCTTCGAATTCTCTGCAAAAAGCAAACATATGAGCATGTTATTAATTTATATGCACATGCTGAATAATAAGAGTAAAAAATTAATGTGTCCTCACCATGTGTCCATCAGCCTCTTCTTCAGACAACTGAGGCTCTTATGCACTTTCACCTTAACTTTTATGTTTTCACACCACATACCACAGCAGAATCACTAGAAAAAAAATCTAACTCAATCATCTTTCCATTACCATTAAAAAGCTGGCATTTCTCAAAATCTATTTTAATTAACATGTTTTAATATTACAAATTTCTTTGTGGTTTACCATTGGAAAAAAAGCAGGAAATAAGTTGTTCCAAAGAAGTATTTAAAGACAAACCTTAGAAGGGGCCCAAATTTCCTGTTTTAGAAGATGGGCATTCAAGATGTGAAGTGCGATGACTAACAACTAGCTCATTTATTTAGAAAGCAGGATGTATTCCACCATATTGTTTATTGCATAAACCATTGCTCATTCTTTAGTAATGTATGTGAAATTTAAACTGAATGCTTTCGGCCTGTTAAAACATCCACAATAGGGATCTTGACTGAAGATTAAGTGAACAAAACTGCCCCAAGTCTTAAAACACTTACCCCTCACTTACCCCTAATCTACAGGTAAGACCTTAGGCTTATCCCCGACTTAATGACATTTTAAAGCTGTATTAACTGAACATAACTTGTGTGGGCACATCCTAAAGTATGTCAGTGTTGTTTTTTTGTCTTAAGATGTATACCAGTAATGTGCTTTTATAAAGCATTTTTATAAAAGCTGTTTAAATATCTTTATTTACAAAAGACCTAGTCCAGGTTTAAGATGAGCCACTCTCTGTGAAACTGTGCCTGTATAATTGTCTCACGTTGGATAATCCAAACTTCTACACACACTTGCAGTCTTTATAACCACTTGAACGCTTCTTTAAATATACTATAACAAACACATTATATTAGCAAGTAGTTAAGTGTAAAGATTGCATACTCACTATGTAGATATGACATTCATGTGTCCTTGATGTTTAATGTTGCTTTGTTTGTTTGTCTGTGGCAGTTGTCTATATGCTTTGTTTGTTTGTTTTTTTTTGTGGTTAATGTTTTTCATCGTTAAATTCATGCCACCCACTCCCCACTGAACACTAGGTCACTGTGTTTTTTTCTCATATAGAGAGAATAGTTTTTCTACGCCCACTCACCTGTGTACACACTTCATAAATGCATATATTAGATGTGCATTTTTTAATAATATATTTAATTTTGTTTATACCTTGTCTGGTGCAAATTCACAAAACTAGAGCAAGTGTTGGTTACAGTGTCAGAGAAGAAAGTGCTTACTACGGGTAGTTTGTCAAGCCCACTGGCCTATGAGAGGCGCACTCGGTTTGGGGTTGTCGTGTTGTTAGAGAAGAGGGGGGTCCTGTTTTTGTTTATAGGGGTTCTGGTAATTGTGTAGTTTTTTTCTTTTCAGTTTCCCGTAGGGTTGGGTACCGATGTAATCTCTTTGCACCGGACTGAATTAGTATATGAGTTTCAGTGCCTAATTTTGGTGCCACTTTGCTGCAACAAAGACATAAGAAGCATCAATGTTTAAGCACACATATGTATGCATTGTCACACCATCTCTAAACAAGTTCTAAACAACTTTGAGGGATGCGGACACCATTGTCGATGTTAGGTGTTTGATGTTGTTGCTTAATGTATAGAAGGCAAAGCGCACAAAATGACACAAAACCCTTCAGATTCATTAACATGCATGATCGCATTCATCAAATATACTTAAAGCAGATGAACTTTACAATAGTTGCGTGTAAGGGGGGAAACACGTTAAACCTTATGAAACATTTGAGGACACATGGAATCAAAGGCATGCACTGTCTTTAAGAGCCAGTTATCTAGCACTTTCAGCGACTATGTTTACATCTAATTATCTAATCTAATTATTTGCCTTAATCTGAATAAGGTAATGTAGTGTTGGGCGTTTCATTTTTTATGTTTTGACTTTAACTGCATTTCGGCACTTTCACTTTCATTTAGGAATATTTCATTTATGCCCTGTGACAAGCTGAGATATTAGATGCGAGTATGGAGTAAGGACTGGGGGAAGAGTGTTGTTTTAATGGAACTTGATACCGCATGCCGGATGGAAAGAAACTTTAGCATTTTGTGTTGTGAGTGTCTGTGGTCTTTCACCTACTCAATAGGTGCAGAGAATAGTGTCAAACAGCCGTTTGTGTATGAAGTATCCTCTCGCCAAATGTGGCAAAGTCCTACACTATGGTAATAGTTTGATAAAGGTGTTTTTATGTTTGAAAAAAATATCCGTCTAAAACAGCGATACTCCACAATTAATTCAATTGTTTAGATCACTTATAACTAGTCGAGTTAAGGTAATCAAAAGCAGCTTTTTGCATGGTGGTCTTTTAACCAGAGTATTATTTTAATCATATTAAATCTGGAGTATTGGTGTCCATGTAAATGTACTTGGTCATGACTTAAGCCCCAACCCCAGAAAAAGTAGTTCACTGATTTTGATGACAGCCTTTCCACAGGTTAGTAGTAAGCTAATGTAATGGTAATTGCATAATGCAAATCTTGCATTCATGCTAATGAAAAAATTATCAAAAGAAATATATGAATGCAATTCAAATATATATATAAAAAATAGTCAAAAAAATAATAAACACATTTCAACACATTTCTAAACATAATAGTTTAAATAACTCATTTCTAATTACTGATTTAGTTTATCTCTGCCATGATGACAGTAAATAATATTTTACTAGATAATTTTCAAGACACTTCTATACAGCTTAAAGTGACATTCAAATGCTTAACTAGGTTAATTAGGTTTACTATGCAGGTTAGGGTAATTAGGCAAGTTATTGTATAACAGTGGTTTGTTTTGTAGATTATCAAGAAAAAATATAGCTTAAAGGGGCTAATAATTTTGTCCCTAAAATGGTGTTTAAAAAATTTTAAACTGCTTTTATTCTAGCTGAAATAAAACAAATAAGCCTTTCTCCAGAAGAAAAAATATCAGACATTCTGTGGAAATTTTCTTGCTCTGTTAAACATTATTTGGAATATATTTTAAAAAGAAGAAAAAAATTAGAAGGTGGCTAATAATTCTGACTTTGTGTGTGTGTGTGTGTGTGTGTGTGTGTGTGTGTGTGTGTGTGTGTGTGTGTGTGTGTGTGTGTGTGTGTGTGTGTGTGTGTGTGTGTGTGTGTGTGTGTGTGTGTGTGAGATAGAGAGAGAGAGAGAGAGATGCAGACGGGCACGCACTAATGGCTCATCTGCGTGAACAGATGCGCAGAACTCCGAATCTACATTTGCTGACAGAGAGTCTGACCTGCTTATCGAAATTATGGGAGATGTCGGTCCGACTCTATTTAATTCAATGAACAGTTTTTAGTTTTATGCTTTACCCAGAATATAAAAATACATATAAACACATTTAGATCATTTACTTCAATCATTACTATTGGACTGTGAAGAGACTTTCAACCAGCACAACAAAAAATACTTCTGAAGACAATCACCTACTGCACCTTTGATTATTCATGAGAGCACATGCTTTCCGAAGGCAAGGCAGACCTGCCAGCAAACTGAGACAAGGACCCGTGGCCATGGCACACAGTATTTAGCCGTTCATGAAGGCTTGTATGTGTTTGTGTCCATGATCCACGGGATTTGTTGCATGTTTTTTCCCCGCGATCATGTCAGGGCCGATCATACAGCAAAGCTGTTTGTGTGCTGCAAGCATTTTTGTCGGGAGAGCAGTACGAGAATGGGAGAATGGCAGATGTTGTCTTTTATCATGAGTTTGTTCACATTCAGACACATCACCGTGCTGCTGTGTTCGCTTAAATTCTCCAGATTACCAGCAGGTCTAATGGTTAAAATAGACCGGGCAGGAGACGACACTGAGTTTGCATTCAGACCTCTGATTCAGAGTCAGACCCGGGGATTGAGGAAAAAGTCCTCATTTATAGTGTTTATATGAACACGATTATCTTTATAATTATATAAATTGAGGTTATCTGTATATGAAATTACGAATAACAAATGTAGCAGGGCATTAAATTACTGTTCATTTCTTTGCATTTTAACTTTGTAAACTAAAAACTCATGCGTCTTCTCACAGTTTGTGTCTCATTTTGTGAGCAAACTGATAACAGTTCGCTCTTCTCCTTCTTCCCTGCTGTCCACGCCCACTTCTGCTCTTTGCTCGCTGAGCATTTTTTTTAATCGTTAGACATTAACTGCAGTTCACTCTCATTCAACAACATTGTTCATGCCCCGGCGAACGGAAAGAAAAATCTTTGCATTTTGGGACTCTGGTGGTCCTTTAAGGTAATCAAAAATCGATGCTTAGATGGTAGACCCAATCAGTATTATCTTAATCATAAATTCTGAGTATTGGTGCCTATGTAAATGTACTCAATGAAAGTGCCAGATGATGTCCCAAGCTGTCAGAGACAGCCCATTTCTCTTCCTTTAAGTTGCTTTCATGCGCCCTCAAATGTTTCATTAAGTTTGACATGTTTCCCCCCCCGCACGCAACTTTTATTTCCATTTTCCATATTTGCAATGCCTATTGACCTTATTCTAAAATGCGGAAGTGCGCCTGTTTTCGCGATTGTCTTAGAACTTCCGTTTCAGTCACCTATGGGAGAAATGACAAGGAATAATAAACGGCAAAAAACGGTCAAACTACTTGCTCTACAAACAAATGTTTGCATGACTATACAGACCAAGTAGAATAATATATCAGGAAATATCAGTTTGCAACATCAAAAAGCGAAACGAGCAGTTTTTAATGTCTAAAAATGAATGGAAGTGAATGAGACCGGAAGTCTCGTGCCAAAAAGGTTCAAATGGCAGCGCCCGCTCGTCTGCGGAGAATAAGGTCAATATTTTTGATTTTTTTTGTAGTCCACTTAGAATCCAACATGGAAATCATTTATGTTTGTTATTGGCATTGATTGTTTTGAAATTCAAATGGCACTTACATGCCTGTGTTTTTAGTCCTGTAATATATATGGCGTTTCGTGATTTAATCATGATTAATTACAAAAAAGTGTGATTAATAAAAAATATATATATATTATTTGACAGCCCTACTCTATCTTCTTTTCATTTTAAAATCATTATCAGCTAAATAAACACCAGCTTAAGTAATACAGAGACTGTAATTTACTTCAAAAGTAGGAAGGGTGGTCAAACCATGGACTCTAAAAAAGGTGGATGACATGCTTACATTTTCTTCTGCTACTGTAGTAAAAAGTGAAACCAAAATTCCCCAACCAGGACTCTATCATCATTTGCATTTAAAACCCAAGTCAGCACAGTAGTGATCACGAGTAGGGAGTGTGTCTAAACCTACAGTATATATCTGAACCTATACAAATATACAATGAATGCACCATATGCTGTTTTATGACATCGTATAACTACTGTAAAAGCTGACTTACTAGAAAAATTAACACCGGTGTTAAGAAATTAAAATTAGGAAACTAAAATTACAGAAACTATTTCTTAGAAATATTAATTAAAGTGTTATTCAATAGCTTTTTTTCTGATGTGCCAAATGTTCACAGTACACAGTTTATGACCTCTGTTGCAGCCAGTCACCAGGGGGGCATTATTCAGGATGCATGAGGCACACTTGCGTCAAACCAACAGATCCCATTCCAGTGTTTTTCGACCACTTGGTGGCAGTAGAGACTTTGGCTTGCTTTTTGCATTTAACCGATTAGGCTGCTGAATTATAATTTAACGCAGTGGTCACCAAACTTGTTCTTGCAGGGCCGGTTACCTGCAGATTTTAGCTCCAACCCTAATCAAACACACCTGAACAAGCTAATCAAGGTCTTACTAGGTATACTTGAAACATCCAGGCAGGTGTGTTGAGGCAAGTTGGAGCTAAACCCTGAAGGGACACCGGCCCTCCAGGACCAGGATTGGTGACCCCTGATTTAACGTGTTGGTGTTCCAGTGTACCACACATGGTGCTTATTTAGATGAAAACAGCAATGCTAAGTCCAAATAAATGTGCTCTAGAATATTGCCAGGGAACTACTGTATGTTTTATACAAGGAGTACCAGGATTGTTTATTATAGTTAAAAGAAAAAAAAATAATGTAATGCAATTGCTATGGGAATAGGAAACTCCAGAATAGCAATAACATACACATGCAAACATTTGAAAAAAATAAAAATAAAACACTGTACTTGCAATGCACATTTATTTAGCAGGTGCAAATGAATGATAATACACACAAGTTTTTTTTATTAAATCCTGTTGTAAAATAAAATGTACTGTAGCTTGAGCTTCCACAAAAGCAAAACATATTTGTATAACATTCATGTATTGTACCAAATACATCAACTGACACACAAACCCACACTTTATCTATTTTTATCTAACAACAAATATACCGTACAAAATCAAATAGCACAGTAACATACAAAGACTTGCATTGTGGTCATAACTTTCATCTTTCTATGACATTTGATGACTTTTTCAGAATTATACAAGTTTCTCTAAACCTCTGAATGTTACTTGTGTGATCTGACCTGTGCGTACAGAGACTGTTCTTGTGTGACTTTAGCTCTTGCTCTTCTAAAAGTAATGGATGCGTAATTCAGGCCATCTTCATCCTAATATCAAGAGAAAATATAAAAGAAACTCCAATTAAGTGAGGAAATCTATGTAATAAGACTTAATAGACATCAAAAATCTAACAGTTTGAGAAGTTCTAGTATTTAATACAGTATGTCAGTAGCTTACTTCAGTTGCTTGAGCAGCAGATGCTTAAAATAAAAAAAAAACAGTCTAGTTATTAAATAGTGTGTTATTTTAAATTGTACAATTGCTTTTTATTAAGAAAATAATTGTATTCGTAAAGTCTTACGTTTAATCTGACTTCTACAGAGTTTTATTCCCAGAAAAACAACAAGGGCCAAAAATATGACATTTGTAATTCCAGAAGCAAGAAGAGCAGGATTAAAATCACTTTCTGCAACAAAATTGAAATGAACATTTGTTGCGTGATCAGTTTAGTGTCATGTACTCAGTTTCAATTATGTATTTACCTTTTTAAATAACATGTTTTACATGTGAAGAATTCAGATGCAAAAGCCTCTAAATGCCATCGGAATATCATTTGTTTTGTGTAGATATTTCACTTTCTGGCAATGAATAGATTTTTAAAGTGAAATAACAGCATACTATAAACACAGAAGACTGAAAAAAAGTTTTTTATTTAAAAGCTTTTGCATTTGAACTCTATATTCATTAGATCAGATCCTTATTATGTTGTATTATATGCATTAAAATTAATTAAATGATTTTCCAAAGAGGAAAGGTCAAACTAAACATTTTAACAATATAACCAGATACTCAAGTGTTTTATCTTCATCTTACCTCTAATATTCAGCTGAGTTCCTCTTCCAATCAGTATTTGTCCACATGTGGCCACAGCACAGTAGTAAATGCCAGAATCAGAGCGACTGATGTTGTTCTTGTGGAGACTGTAGACACAGCTCTGCGTTTGAGACTCAGTGCTGTCCTTACAGCGGCCATTTCTCTCTCCTTTGGTGTAAAGCACTCCTTCAGAGTCTCCTGAGCTTTGCTTGAACCAGTAGATGCTGTGATCTCCTTCGCAGCTCTCAGTGAAGATGCTGCACTGCAAATTCACTGAATCTCCTGGATCAACAGTGTCTATCAAAGACTGATGAAGAGTTGTGTTTCTGTCTGCGGCTGTGTTTTTACAAGCAAAGGACAGAAATAACACAATAAATCAGCCACTACACACACAACAAAAATGTTTAATGTATAACTAAATCTGAAAAATAAAAGACTTACCCCTGACAAGTAAACGAGTTCCTGAACCCATTCCAAAGGTGTAAAATGTTGAGATTACACAGTAATATGTTGCAGAGTCTGACGGCTTCGTCTTTAAAATGGTCAGATTAAAATAACCGTCTCCTTTCATAACATTAAAGTGATTCTCAGAGATGTTACTCCAAACGGGCTTGCCATTTGAATATAAAGACACAATTTGTAGGGATTTTCCATCAGCCGTTTGTTTAAACCATGCTTTTGTCGCCTGCACAAGCCTTATAAATGTGCATGTAAGGTTCACCTCCTCGCCCGCTGCAGCTATTTTTACATTATTCTCCTGAACAACTTCCAAACCAGAAGAGCAAACTGCAAAATAAAACACAAAAAATATCTTTAGAACTAAAAGTGTTATATGGTAAAGTCTTAGATAAATTTTAATTTTAGTCTTTAATTTATTTGGAAAGGCATAACAATATTTACATATTGTTGAGGACAGCAAGATAATTAGGTAATATCTCATAATTCAGCTTCCAAAATGATCTCTTTACTTCTAATTCCCTGCAAAAGGCAAATAAAAATGAACATATTATCAAGTTAAATGCACATACTGAAGCATTAGAATAAAAAAAGCGTCCTCACCATGTGTCCATCAGCCTTTACTTCAAACAACTGAGCCTCCTATGCACTTTCACCTTAACTTTTATGCTTTCACACTACGTACCACAGCAGAATGACTAGAAAAATCTAACTCAATCATCTTTCCATTACTCTAAAACAAACAAACAAACAAGCAAGTTTACATATTTTAAATACTACCATATATTTAACAGGTGCACTAAAGCTGGCGTTTTTCAAAATCTATTCTAATTAGCACGTTATTTATACTACTATTACCATATTTATACTACTAAATACCTTGTGGTTTACCATTGGAAAGAAAGCAGGAAATAAGTTGTTCCAAAGAATTATTTAAACACACAAACTTTTTAAGGGGCCCAATTTTCCTCTTTTAGAAGATGGGTATTTAAGATGTAAAGTGCGATGACTAACAACTAGCTCATTTATTTAAAAGGCGGGGCTTATTCCACCGTATTGAAGCATAAACCATTGCTCATTCGTTAGTAATGTGTATGCTATCCTAAACAGCATGCTTTCTGCTTGTTCAAAAATACACAATTGGGGTCTTGGCTACTTGAGATTAAGTGCACAATACTGCCCCAAGTCTTTAAAAAAATGACCCCCAGTTTCACAGTCAAGGCTTAAGGCTTATCCTAGACTTAATTTCATTTTTGAGCTGTCTTAGCTAAAAGTAACTTGTGTGAGCACATCTTAAGACAAAACAATTACATTGACATATTTTAATATGCATTTGTTTGTTAGACCTTATTAATCCCAAAGGGGAATTCACATACTAAAAATAGCTAAAATAAGTTACATATGTATAAAAACAATAATAAAATTACATTTATACTGCACACCTTAGTTTCAAACAACAAGTAAACAGTTGTCCATATCTAATAACTATTACAATTAAGCATAAATGATCTAATATAATTTTGGTTATACAATCTGATCACTGATGGTAAAAATTATTTCCTGTATCTTCTATGTAATACCGGGGTTGAATTAATCTTGCACTAAAAGAGCTTGCACACGCCTGGACTGTATCAAAAAAAAAAAGGGATGATTATCATGGTTCATCATACTGACAAATTAAATACTGTTTAAAATACTGACAAGTTAAGCCACTCTATGAAAACACAGCACATTTTTAACTTTAATTGTGTCCCATCAGGTAATCCAAATGTCTACACACAATTGCTGTCTTAACAACTACTTGAACACTTCTTCAAATATACTGTAACAGATACATATACTTTATTAACAACTGTAACCCAGGTTACTAGTGGGTAGTATACAGCAATAGAGCAAATAGAAATATAAGGAAAAAACATTGGCAGAATACTCGAATAAATAATATACATTAAAATTATTTACTTATATAAATAATTTATAATAGAGTATTATACAGCATTCAAGGGAATAGTGCTTTAGAATGACATCATCGTGCCTTACACTATAGCAGCAGATCAGCTTTCCAAACAATAACAAATCTCGCTTGTCTGTTAGCTTGTGTTTACCGTTGCTATTGTGATTCAGTGTTCACAAGGGAAAGCAGAGATGTAAGTTGTTATATTAATAACAGTAATATAACTATTAGATTGATCTTTTAATGTTTTAATGCGTAGTAACTGTGAAAATTGACAATTAATAAGATGCTGACATGATTTCAATCATATATTTTTAATGAAGGATTGAGAGAGAAAAAAACAAGATTTGTCTCTGAGAGTGAAATCTGCACACGAGTGCCACCTGGAGTTTTCCTGTTTGTTTCATTTTGATTTTGAATGATTTCCTTGGTGAGTTCGTTTTTTTAAAAATTATTATTGTTTTCATTATAACATGATTAAAACTAGTGTCGAAAAATGTGTTTTATTAATTAACCATTTGTTTGGTCTAGTAAAAACTCAAAGTATAATACAGAGTATTATACAAGTGATTGTGTAAAGTTTAAGTGAGAAAGTTTAAGTAAAATGCTGTCATTTGTAAAAAGAAAATGCCAAATAGGAGAGAGAAATAGAAAAAACACAGAAATTCAGCAGAGAGAAGCATATACATGGTTATTTACTGTTGCTGTTTATTTAGAAATGTGTTTAGCTGAGATAATGCATACACTGTAAAATGCTAATGGTTTTTTTGGCCTTGTGTTTTCAAGGCCAGGTTTTTTTTTTGTTTGTTTGGTTTTGTTCGTTTGTGCATCTTCTGGTTTTTCATCGGTGAGATGTTCTATTGACGTCAGTTGCTGGATGTGATCTGCTCTGGATTCGAATTAATTGAAGTTTGAACTCTTTTCTGGATTTGGATTGTCTCAACTTCCATCGGCGTGTCTCATTGTGGAGTTGGACTGGCAAACCTACCATTAAGTGGATTCTTTGGAAACACCTGTTGGAAAGATACAAAGTAAAACCTATTCAGCGTCATGGTAGGAGTGTAAATTTACAACACACTCACAAGTGCAAGGTCCTGGATCTCTGGAACTGAATTTGCAACCTAGTTGTTTTGCAAAAGAATCTTTTTGAAAGTTTATCACCTTTACTGGACTTTTGGAACATTTTGAAATGTTTTAAGTGAATGTTTTATTTTCATTTTTATTTTATTTGTACATTGTTCCTTTAGAGTGTTCATTCGTTGAAATTTTTGAAGCTTTATAGAGAGAAGTTAATTGTTTTAAGAAGGGAAATCTTGATTATATGTTTAATAATAATACAATTTTAATATTGTATTATTACCTTACACTTATAAACCTTTATTATAGTATTGTTATTAATATATTAGTATTATATTATTGTTATAATAGTAACCAAAATATAATATTAGCCCTTAACAATAGAAAAACAGAAAAAATAACATAATATTAACTTACCTTATTAGTGATATAGCCATAAAACCCTGTGAAGAAAGAGAAGTGTTATTAGAGAGTGTAAATAAGACTGAGGTCATTAGATAGGTGTGAAAAAAAACCTAGAATTTGTTTTATTTATTTTTATTTATTTATTTATTTTATATTTCTGTGAACATTTTACAATACAATCTTTTAATATTCTTACCTCTGTGTCCGAGTCCTTCACTGTTGTTGTATCTTCTCTCTCTTTGGAGGAATTTAGACTTCTGAGCATCTGGTCCATTGATTAAATCTTATAATACATTTGTGTACCTAGGGTTACACAACCAAGTAGATAAGTGCAAAGATTGCACACCATTATATGATATCATGTGCACTTGAGTCTTGTGAATTTACAACAGCCATTACTTGTTTGTCTATTAAGTGGCGTTATATCAACGTCATCTTTCTATATTTTACAGCGGTTGGCATTAGGGCTGCATGATTCTGGCAAAAACGTGAATCACAGTTTTTATTTGCTTAAAATTAAGATCATGATTCTTTCTCACGATTCTGTAAATGTAAAATAAAGGTTAATATGATTAGGATATTATAATTGTTAATTCTCAAACATATGGTAAAACAACTTATGTGTTATACCTAAGTGTAGGTATACTGTTGCTTAAAGTGCAAAATTTTGTATAGTCATTATGTTGGACTTGAACAGACTTTCAATATGTCCAATATGTTTTCAATATGTTTCTGTTTCTATAAAACTGTTTACCAAGCATTAAAGATTAAATTTAACATGTAGAATCACAAATTAATTCAATAAATGATTTTGTAATTAAATAGCTGAAGAGTTAAATCAACTCGTCCCTTTGAGTGGCTCTGGATGGATTAAATGTGGTGTACTGTCAACAGTAATGGACAAAAGAGTGCCGGGTCTAAGATGTTTAATGTTGCTTTTTTGTTTATGTTTGTGTGGCAGTTGTCCATGATCACTTTGCATTATTTATTGTGTTGAATGTCAATTGAGAAGAGCCCCAATTGTTGCGCTACAATTGTTTCTTTGCCTTTTGCTTTGATCTATTTTGTTTGATTAATTTTTGCTGGTGTGCTTTGTTTGCTATGTAATACTGAAACGTTTTTAGTTTCAAACTCCGAGAACTAGGGCTGTGCAATTAATCGAAAATCCGATTTCGATTTTGGCTTCTAACGATTATGAAAAACCATTAATCGAGATGAACGATTATTGCATCATAAACCGCCCTCTTTCCAGTTGTAGATGTTTTGCTCTTAAAAACGCGATTCTGTGCGTGTGTGTGGCGCGCAATAGATTCTGACATAACGCGGTGTTTGGTGATTATTTATTTTAGCCCTCATTTGTGTAATGAACAAACGAGTTGAGAATCAAAAGACACGGGAAAGAGAAACCATTAAAGAGACAGCGCGCGATAATCCCTCTTCCGCCTGTTTTTATGATTATTAATCAAACAATAAATGGAGAACATGCCTCTCTGCTCTTGACAGAAGGACTGCTGCAGCTAAAGTGTTTTTCTTACTGTAAGGATGCTTAAAACACAGTTTGTTTCATATTTTTATTCTATTCCTTTGCAGGGAGGAAAATAACTGTGCAGTTGAAGTCAGAATTATTAGTCCTCCTGAATATTAGCAGCCCTTTTCTCCCAAATTTCTGTTTAATGAAAAGATTTCTGAACATAAAAGTTTCATAACTAATTTCTAATAACTGATTTATTTTATCTTTGCTATGATGACAGCACATAATATTTGACTAGATATTTTTCAAAATACAAGTATTCAGATTCAAAGTGCGATTTAAAGGCTTAATTAGTGTAATTAGGCAAGTCATTGTAGAACAGTAGTTTCTTCTGCAGACAATCAAAAAATATATATTGCTTAAAGGGGCTAATATTATAGACTTTAAAATGGGTTTCAAAATATTTAAACCTCCTTTTATTCTTGCCAAAAAAAAAAAAAAAAAAACTTTCTCCAGAAAAATAAAATATTAGAGAAAATACTGTTAAAATTCCTTGCTCTGTTAAACATAATTTGGGAAATATTTATTTAAAAAAGAAATTCTCAGGAGCGCTAATAATCTTTTACTTCAGTTATCGTTTTGAATAATTGTGATTACAATTATGACCAAAATAATCGTTATTATGATTTTTCCCAAAATCGAGCAGCCCTATCGAGAACTGGAATATGAACATCATATCTGTGTATTATTCTAGATGGAGGAGAGGGAATAGAGAATCTATGTCATGTGATATACATGCCACACACGCAGGATTATTTTAGTTATGCACACTAGGTTAGGATTTGTGCAACACTTGTAAGTATTGCTTTGGTAGTAGAGTAGATACGACATCTCAGATGTGGAAGGTTTACTTTTTTTTGTTGTATTTTGTAGTTATGGGGAAGAGTTTAATGGGCTAGTTAGTTGATTTTTGTTTTATTTTTTTTATTTTGTTTGGCACAGACCCTTTCCCTTTGTCCTCCTTATGTCAGTTAAACTTGGTTAAATGTTTTTTGTAAAGTCGTTGTCTTATTTCTTTAACTACTTTTGTGTGAAACTTGGAAAAACGTGTGCGGTGCAAATGTACAAAACTGCCGATTAAAGTGTTGATTAAAGTGTCAGAGATGAAAGTGTCTATTCTACAGGTAGTTTGTCAAACCCACTCACCTGTATCAGGCACACCCAGTTAGGGGTTGTTGTTTGGTGAGGTGAGGGATAGAAGAGGGGGTCACAAAGTTTTCGCATAGTTCTTCTGTTTTCTGTAGTTTTCTCTTCTATATTTCCAGACTGTAATAAGTCAGGATTTAGCATTGTATATAGATGTTATACTTTGTTTCAGTATTTTATTTCATAACTGACTTTGGGCCAAGGGAAGACTCTGCATGTGGAGAGAGTACAGTTTAAAATGCAATTTTTAATTAACTTAGTAATCCTAAAATAAGTTTATTTTTAGAATTAAATTAAATTGTAAGAAGAGGTTAATCTTTATTCTAGTAAAATATAAAATATATGTTTTAATACATTTTCCTTGACAAATGTGCTTATTTTGAAAGTCTCTTTTTAAAATTGTGTGATTGCTAACCGTTAACAATTGCAAACATATTACTCAGTAATGATTACCATCACTTTGAGCAATTGTCACTTTATTTTTGAGCACTAATTTGTTTAATGCACAGATTAACTGTACAGGCGGAATTACCATTTACCCTAAATATCTTTCCTAATATAATTTAAAACTGTAGCCCCTCCTTGTTTTTTTGTATCAATATGCTCTAGATATATAACTTCATTTATAAGTAAGTTTTTTTCTACTTTTTAAAATCAATTTCAACTAATGTCACTGTAATTTAATTCAAAAGTTTGACCACCTCCATAGACCCTGAAAAGTGATTGACATGCTTAAACTTTCTTCCACCAGTGAAAAGTAAAACCAAAATTCCTTAGTGTGAGTGTGGCTATACCTATCCATCTCAGACTTAACCACAAACATACAACAAGTGCACCATATCCCGTTTTAATGACATCATATAACTAAATACTGTAAAAGCTAACTTATTTGAGCAATGTACACAAGGAATTAAAAGTAAAAAAAAAAAATTGAAGTTGCAGAAGCCATTTCTTGACGATATTAAAGTGTAATTCAATTGCTTTTGATGTGCCAAATGTTTACAGTACACGGAGAGAGCAAGGTTTATGACCTCTGCTGCAGCCAGTCACTGGGGGCGCTCAAAATATTTTGGCTTCACTGTTCAGGATTCGTGAGGCACACTTTCGTCAAACCAACACACCCCATTCTAGTGTTCTTGACCACTTGGTGGCAGTAGAGACTTTGGCTTGAATTTAGCATTTAACCGATTACGCTGCTGAATTGTCATTAATTTTATTAGCGTTCCAGTATACCACACAAGTGCTTTAGATGAATACAGCAATGCTAAGTCCAAATATGTTTTATACCAGGAGTACCAGGATTTATCATTAGTTTAAAGAATAAAAACAAGGTAATGCATTTTAATGAGCATTGTTATGGGAAACTCCGCAATAACATACACATGCAAACATTTGAAAAATTTAGTATATTCAATGTACATCTATTTAGCATATGCAAATGAATGACACTACACACAAGCTTTCCTTTAAGACTTGCAAATTGAAATGTAAAATAGCTTGGTGTTCCAAAAAGCAATTCAGTCCAATAACATTCAAGCATTGTGCCCAATATATTAACTGACACACAAACCCACACGTTTATTTTTATAGTTTAGCAAATTAAAATATCTAATGTACATGTATACAGTACAAAATCAAATCACACAGTAACATACAAAGACTTACAAAATGGCCATAACTTTGACCTTGCAATGACATTTGATGACTTTTCAGCATTATAGCATAATCTCACTGGTGTGATCTGACATGTGCATACAGAGACTGATCTTGAGTGACGTTTGCTCTGGCTTTTCTAGTGTTCAGAGGTTTCTGCCTAAAATTAATGGAGGCGTAATTCAGGCTGTCTTCATTCTAATATCAAGAGAAAATATGAAAGAAACCAGTTATGAAAGGAAACCTATGTGATATGACTTTAGGAAAAGTTCGAGAAGTTCTAGTATTCAATATATCATTGATAAAACAGCAAAGTGAAGTACTTACTTGAGTTGTTTGAGCAGCGGATGCTTAAAAAAATCAAGAGAAAGTCTAGTTATTATAAATAGCAGTCATGTGTTATTATAAATCTTACAATTGCTTTACATTAATTAATTCATTCATTAATTGTATTCTTAAGGTCTTACTTTTAATCTGACTTCTACAAAGTTTGATTCCCAGAAAAACAACAAGGGCCAAAAATATAATATTTAAAATTCCAGAAGCAAGAAGAGCAGGATTAAAATCACAACTTTCTGTAAGAAAATATAAATGAATTTTAATTTCTGAACATTTGTTATGTGACCAGTTCGGTATCTACTCAGTTTCAATTATGAATATACCTTTTTACATAACGTGTTTACATGTGAAGAGTTCAGATGCAAAAACCTCTAAATGCCATCAGAAAAAAATTCATTATGTTGTAGAATTAAATGAATTAAAATATTTTCCAGAGAGGACTAAAACTAAACATTTCAAAATTATAACCAGATACTTGTGTTTTGCCTTCATCTTACCTCTAATATTCAGCTGAGTTCCTCTTCCAAGCAGTATTTGTCCACATGCGGCCACAGCACAGTAGTAAATGCCAGAATCAGAGCGACTGATGTTGTTCTTGTGGAGACTGTAGACACAGCTCTGCGTTTGAGACTCAGTGCTGTTCTTACAGCGGCCATTTCTCTCTCCTTTGGTGTAAAGCACTCCTTCAGAGTCTCCTGAGCTTTGCTTGAACCAGTAGATGCTGTGATCTCCTGCACAGCTCTCAGTGAAGATGCTGCACTGCAAGTTCACTGCATCTCCTGGATCAACAGCGTCTATTAAAGACTGATGAAGAGTTGAGTTTCTGTCTGTGGCTGAGTATTTACAAGCACAGATATAGTCAGGACAATAAATAAATAAAAATCAGCCACCACAGACCAAACAAAACCTAAAAAAACCCATAAACATACCTCCAACAAGTAATCGAGTTCCGGAGCCCATTCCAATAGTTTGATATGCTGAGATTACGCAGTAATATGTTGCAGAGTCTGAAGACTTTGTCTTAAAAATGGTCAGATTAAAATAACCATTTTCATTGGCAACATTAAAACGATTTGTTTTCACAAAGTTGTGATTCCAGCTAGGCTGTTGATTTAAATATGAAGAAACTATTTGTAGGGATTTGCCATCAGTTGTCTGTTTAAACCATGTGTTTATCGACTGTACCAGCTCTGGAAATTTGCAGGTAAAGTTCACATCCTTGCCAGCTTCAACTATTTTTACATTATCTTCCTGAACAACATCAAAACCAGTGGAGCAGACTGCAAATAAAGCACAAAAGAGTTGAAAAGAGTTGAAGTTGTTATATAATGTTAAATGTATTTTAATAAATATTTAAAAAGACATCTAGGTATTTACATATAGTTGAGGAAAGCCACAAAATGAAGTAATTTCTCATTATCAGTCGTCCTCTAAAATGATTCTTCTCCAATAAATTCTCCTGTAAAAAGTGAACAAATGATCATGCTATCAATCCATTTAGTCATGCCTGAAAATAAGAGTAGATGAATGTGTCCTCACCATGTGTCCATCAGCCTCTTCTTCAGACAACTGAGGCTCTTATGCACTTTCACCTTAACTTTTATGCTTTCACACCACATACCACAGCAGAATGACTAGAAAAAATCTGAACCAACTATCCGTCCATTACGCTTAACAAAACCCTTTCTCATTTATTAATGCGTGTATTATTATTGAACACTTTGTTAACCTTAAAATGGCCACTCTCAAAAACTATAATTGATGTTATTTCAGTGCTTCAAAAATACATTGTGTGGTTTACCACTGGAAAAAGCAGGAAATAAGAGCCTCAAATTTCCTGTTTTTGATCATATGCATTAAATAAATGAATCTTTCTAGTTTCAGTAAGGGGGTTTTACAGAAGTGTTTTGAATTGATATATCCATGGTATGTATAGAACGTTTACATGGTTTTCACTTTCCAAAATATCAATATTTATAGGCAATAAAAAGCTTTATTTTACCTTGGTTTTGAGGCTCAGAGCATGAGTGGAATTAAACTGTAAAGTTTTCCTAATATTTGTGTATAACCACAATAACAACAAAACATCTAAAGAAAACAGCTGTTTTGTCTCCTTGACTCATTAATGTGGAGTGCTTCACAGAAAATATAGCCTACAATATAGGCTTGATCTGACCTTGTGCTGTGTGAATCAGTGGGTGGAGCTATAGAGTCATGCATTGATTTTCTTTGGTGGAAGCCGTGTTTAATCATAGATAGGTACTTTGCTCTATCGGCCTGTTGCCTATAAAAGTTACAAGAGATACTTACAAGAGATTCTTTTAATGCAAAGAATCTTTTGCTAATCACAAACCAAAGTAAAAGTTTATTTCGTTTAGTGTTAGTACATTAATACATGTTAATGGTAATACTTATAGCGTCAGGGCTTTATGTTATGCTTTCTCGTGGTTGTTTTATGGAAAAGTAAATATTTCATATATTTGTTCGAGTATAAAATTTCTGTTAATTTGAGCAAAGAGTTGTTTATTATTGGATGAGCTTTTATGCCTTATTTGTTAGCAAAGTGTAAGTACAGCATCAGGAGTGGATTTTTAATACATAAATGCATCTAAATGTATAATAATTCAATGTGACAAACAGTTCTTCTGTTTTTGTTAAGACAGCTGTCGGCTTTCAAATACATTCATTCATTCATTTTATTTTCGGCTTAGTCCCTTTATTTATCCGGGGTCGCCACAGCAGAATGAACCGGCAACTTATCCAGCACATTTTTATTCAGTGGATGCCCTTCCTGCTGCAATCCATGTCTGGGAAACATCCACACACACTTATTCACACTTATACACTACGGATAATTTAGCCTACCCAATTCACCTGTACCACATGTCTTTGGAATGTGGGGGATACCCACATGAATGCAGGGAGAACTTGCAAACTTCACACAGAAACGCCAACTGACCCAGCCGAGGCTCGAATCACGACCTTCTTGCTGTGAGGTGACAACACTGACTACTGCGCCACTGCGTCGCCCTTTCAAATTCATATACACACTCTCAGAAGAAAAGGTACAAAATTGTACCTTTTAGGGTACAAATGGCGCGTCACTGGGGTGGTACCCTTAAGGGTACAATTTTGTACCTTTATTTAGAGGTACAAAATTGTACCCTCTACATTTGTACCATTTAAGGAACAATTTTGTAGCCCCAAGGAACTAAATTGTAGACACTGAAGGTACAAATATGTACCCTTATTATATTATATAGCATTTTCAGGGTACTGACCCAGGCATTTCTTTGATCCTTTGGTGACTGCATGCACAAATAAATAAATAAAATATTTTGGTTTACAGATGTACATTTTTATTTAGAGATGTAGAAATATTTCATTACAACTCACAACTGAATGCGTCAAGCACAGCAAGTACAAAGCAGACATGTAAAACAGTAAAAAGAACAATTTAGATAACAAATAAAAAATAGTTTGCTCACTGTATAGTAAATAATCTACACTTAATACAAACAAGAATACTGTTTAAAATCTATAAATGCATTACACAGGCTACATCAAGTCCTGCACTTTATAAAGTCCAAAGTGTTTGTCTTTAGTCAGAATAGTCAGTCATAATAAATAATTTGTCATCAACATTTTCTCTGTATTTCAGAATGAAGGCAGAGTTTCTCTATAAATTGCTTCAACAGTGTAGAAAACCAAAAACATCAGTAGCCTCTTCCTCAGCATCAGTAGATTACTCATCATCATCCTCAAGTGGAGATGTAATTTGTTGTAACACAATATATTTTTTCTTTTGGTAAACAAAACACGTAAGGCACTCATAACTGAAAAATGTTCTTTTATAGTCAATAATTATTAGGACCAAAAATTTGTTTCATCCATGAATGAGAGCAGTGTGCTGGATTAACTTGATGATTCGAAATTATTATTCAAGAGCATGTAGAAAAACAAAAAACAAGGTTGATCACTCTGGTAACTGGAATAGGTCAAGGCTTTTCATAATCCAAAGTTCATACAAAACATTCCACTGCAGAAACATCAAGGTGTTCTTCAAATGAAATGGATATGTCAAAAATGTATATTCGTCCACACCATTAACCCGGCCGATCGCAATCCCATCAACTCTGAAGACTGCCGTCACTCGTCTTGTTAACACAGTTGTCCAGTCAGTGGCTTCCTCCTGTACTTGAACTATTGGATGTGGTAAAAATTGGTTTACTGTAAATGACAAAGCAATAATTACAGTCATATCAGTCACTCCATCTCTGATGAAGAGAAAATCAACATGCAAAGAATTTAATTCAAGAATTTCGTTCATTTTGGCTTAGTCCCTTTAATAATCAGGGGTCGCCATAGTGGAATGAATCACCAACTTATCCAGCATATGTTTTACATAGTGGAAGCCCTTCCAGCTGCAACTCAGTACTGGGAAATATGCATACACACTCATTTACATACAGTACACTACGAACAAATTAGCAAATTAGCTTACCCAATTCCCCTTTGGCCCATGTCTTTGGACTTGTGGGGAAACTGGAGCACTTGGAGGGAACCCACAGGAACACGGGGAGAACATGCAAACTCCACACAGAAATGCCATTTGACTTAGCCGAGGCTCAAACCAGCGACCTTCTTGTGACAGCACTACCCACTGCGCCACCCTAATATAAATTTAAGAATTATGAAATCCATTTATCAGAGCATATACAAAACAGAAAACAACATACGCACCTGAGCACAACGAAATGTTGAAGTTTCTCGCTAAACAAGGCTGGCAACATGAGAAGTGTTGCTGTAAAATCAGTTCCTGGAACATAAGATGGGACATACAAACAAATATGAAGGAATCCATCCAAAGCTAGAATTTAACAAAATTAATCAAGTGGAGAAAGTTTAAGAGTCTTAAAAATAAAGTAAAATAAAAAAAAAGAGTACCTCAGAGTCAGGTCCTTAGCATTCTTTAGTTGATCTCTCATCTTTCGATGAACAGCTAGAAAATAATTGTAAACATATAGTTGTACATTTATTGTTGTTTGTAAGTAAAAACCTACAGATGTAAAATTGTATGTAAGCCATTAAAATCATGGTATAGATATGAGAAATACTTGCATCTTGTAACTGAGCCATGCTTTCATATGACATGCCTTCATTGGTCTGATGCTGTTATTCTGCATTCTGTTGTTCAAACGTGTCCTGAAAGTCAAATAGAAACTTCAAAAACTTCAGGAAAGCAAAAAGAGAAAGTAATATTTATTTATTCATTTTTTAGGTATTTATAAAAAAGTTAAAATACTGTAAGGTACCAGTTTCAGAACAGATGGGACAAATTATTAAGTTAAAGAACAAAACATTACTTAAAATGTTGATTTGTACAACAGTGGTACGTTATTAATTTTACATTAACGTAAGCATGAACGATAGTAATGGATATGAGTTTGTGACACTCCATAACTCCAATGTAGACACTGAAACGAAGATACATACATATGAAGAGTGCGGTTAAGCTGGTTTTGTTTTCAATATTCCTGACACATTCAGTAATAGACGGCAATAACTCAAAAACATCTTACCCTAAAAAGATCTAAACTGTTTTAAAATCCTTTTTTTACGAGTAAGGGTAAAAGGAGAGGTTCTGAAACTTCCCATATGCAACCGTGTATGACAAGTAATTTTTACCAAAAAACAAAAAATAATAATAATAATTAAAAAAAAGAAAAAAAGAAGCACTTTTCCAACGCTCCCTTACTAAGCGCTCAGCGCGAGCTCTCCCGGCTAAACACATATGGCGAGCTCGTAATGTCCAGTGAAAAAAAAGAAAAAGGCAGCTGTGAAACATAACCTGCTTTGTCTGTTTGTAGGAAACACACTTTAGATCTTTTTAGGGTAAGAGGTTTTTAAGGTATTGTCGTCTATTACTGAATGTGTTAGGAATATTGAAAACAAAACCAACTTAACCCTGCTCATACGAAGAGACAGGCATAACGTTACACACGCCACGTTTGTAACTAGACACTTTTACATAATCACTCGCTTTGCAGGTGACAAAATTGTGCTTTTTATTAACAAAATTATAAATATATAACCATGGCATGGATTTACTAATGCCTTTGACAACCCTCAGAGGTCTAAAATAACATTTCTGCGGTCAACCACAGCTAGAAATGGCCTCAAGATATAAAAAAGCAGTAACGTAAGATATGTGAGGCGCGAATACATTAACGTTAAGTGAAAGGCGATACAGGGTGTTTTTACACCGAGAAAACTAACATATAATTACTCACCTTCAATATGTCCCTCTCCTTTTCTGTGTCTTCGATACCATATTGTATTAACTTCTTTAATAAGCTGTAGACATTTTAGCAAACTCCATCCTGCAGGCCAACGCACAAAAAGCAGTCTGACCGGAGCACTTTTTCGCAGGAGAAAGCCGAGACCCGAGTGTCAGACAAAATCAACAGAACATGGCTTCACATGTAAAAGTAAGACTGACAATATATCATGAATATATATTTACCTGAATGTGTGGACTCCAAGACTTTTCCTTAAAAATCGTGCAAAGTTCTGTGTAAACAGCCAGCATACTTGACCACCTCAGTAACAAACACTACTAAGTAACGTCTCAACAAGCCGAATTCTTAAAGAGACAGCAACATCACTACTTAAATGATGAAGTTGCCACTCTGCATGGTCCTTATTCTAAATCTCATTTAGGGTCTTAAACAACTAGTTAGCAAGGTTTTTAATTAAAATTACATTCAATTATACATTCAATTATACATATTTTTTGAGGAATTATTAAATTTAAATACATGAAAAAAATAAAATTATTAAAATATCTTATTCAAACAATTTATTAACTTTACATTTTGAAATTATGTGTTTTAGTTATGTTTATTTAATGTTTAAATCAATGTTTATTATTAATAAATTTAAATTAGTGTCTTAATCTTATCATGAGCAGTGGGTACAATTTTGTTCCTATAGAGGAACAAAATATATATTGAACCTTTTGAAGCTGCCAAATTGGTCCTTTACAGTACAATTTTGTACCTAAATGTGCTATAAAAGGTACAAAAATGTACCTTTCAAACCGAAATCTCAACATTTGTACCTTTATAGCCCATTTGGGTACAAAATTGTACCCTGAAGACCAATTTGGCACCTTTTAAGGTACAATTATATATTTTGTTCCCTCTAAGAGCAAAATTGTACCCTCATTGTACCTTTTTTCCTGACAGTGCAGGGTAAAAGTTACTTTTAAACTTCACTTAAAAATTCTAATATTTTGAAAAAACAGTAGACTGGCGCTTCAGGCCAATAATTGTTTGCACAAAATCAAGAAAAGAAAGAGCATGAAATACAATCAATAGTAAAAACTTTATAAGCTTTATTGCAAGTTTTTTTGTTAAATGTGCTAATATTTTAAATGTTGCATATTTGCTAAATGTGAAATTATGAACAAAAAAGACATGCAGTATTGAATAAGAGATACAGCAGCAATAACAGACAAACCAGTTACATTTGGCTCTTATTTGAGCAAAAGAATTGTGAAGCCAAAGAGTTGAACACACCAAATAACACATGAAAACAAGTTCAAAATGACATTTCAGATTATATTAAAAGACATTAATCTGACATTATTTTCTGCAAACATCATAAAAATGAACTAAGCCACATTTAGACTTAAGTTGAACTTCTTATGGCCTAAAGCGTTTTGTAGGCATTTTTTGAGTGATCATGCTGTACTTTACAAATGAATGTTCTTCAGAAAAGTTCATGTTGAGTCCTTCTGCACTCAAGTCATTTTGGGCAGCAATGATCAGAATGTCTTCACCCTACAATAATCAGGGGAAATAATCAACATTTTTATTTTTGCACTTGATAAGATTGCCTGTATTATTCAAACTATTATTATACTATTCAACCTTTTGAAATCTCAAACTAAAATCTATACTACATGTAAAATATAAAGATTTTAAATAATTGTAAAATTTACTGTTTTATAATTTTAAGGACTTACTTGATGATCTTGATTTGTGGATTGTGGATGAAGAAAAACAAATTTAATTATTTAAAAGGCAATTAAACATAATAAGTTGTATTGTGGGTCTTAAAGGGGCAATGAAAAATATATAAATAACAAATATCTAAACATCTTTAAGACATTTTGCTTTAGAAGTTAAACAAGTGGCATTATTATAATATATTTTAGCAGTGTGATCATAAGTTAAAGGAAATATGACTTTTATAGTATTTAATGTTTTTCTCTCTAGGTCCAAAAAAGTTATTGATAAATGTACCTTGATAAAACCCACAGAAGCCATTTTATTTATGTAGTGGAATTATGCAATTACAAATACATGTTAGCAGTAAGTGTCCCAATAAATATCTTACCTTTCTTACATTGTTTTATGGTCACAAAAACAGCGTACACCAAAAATAAGACGTTTAAAATCCCAAGAGCAATCAGAGTTTGATTTACAGCATCACTTTCTGAAATGACAAAACTTTCAATATGTGATTGTGTGCTGATTGTAGATCAGTTCATATTTCCAGCAACATCTGAATCAAATATTCCTCCTGAATGACAAGCTTTAAATATTTCTCTAAAAACCTTTATATATATAATATAAATACCTCTAATATTCAGTTGAGTTCCTCTTCCAAACAGTATTTCTCCACATGAGGCCACAGCACAGTAGTAAATGCCAGAATCAGAGCGACTGATGTTGTTCTTGTGGAGACTGTAGACACAGCTCTGTGTTTGAGACTTGGTGCTTTTATTACAGTGGCCATTTCTCTCTCCTTTGGTGTAAAGCAATCCTTCAGAGTCTCCTGAGCTTTGCTTGAACCAGTAGACGCTGTGATCTCCTGCACAGCTCTCAGTGAAGATGCTGCACTGCAAATTCACTGAATCTCCTGGATCAACAGTGTCTATCAAAGACTGATGAAGAGTTCTGTTTCTGTCTGCGGTTGCGTCTTCATGAGCACAGAAAAGGACAAAAAAAGCTCAATCAATCAGCCACTTCACACATACAAAAATAATTATTATATACAATAAAAACCTTACCTCTGACAAGTAATCGAGTTCCTGAACCCATTCCAATGTTGTAAGCAGTTGAGATTACACAGTAATATGTTGCAGAGTCTGACTGCTTTGTCTTTAAAATGGTCAGATTAAAATAACCGTCTTCTTTCATGATATTAAAACGATTCTCAGAGTTGTTACTCCAATTGGGTATTTGATCTAGATATAAAGACACAATTTGTAGGGATTTTCCATCAGCTGTTTGTTTAAACCATGCTTTTGTCGCCTGCAGAAACCTTGAAAATGTACAAGGAAGGTTCACATCCTCTCCCACTGCAGCTATTTTTACATTATTCTCCTGAACAACTTCCAAACCAAAGGAGCAAACTGCAAAATAAAAGTGTAGTATTACATTGTGATAAAGGCTTTTGAATTTAAAATAAAGCATATAAAAGTATATTCACCTATGGTTGAGCAGAAAAAACAGATTAAAAAATACTTCATGGCCGTTGGTCTTAAAGAAATATCCATCAGTTGTAATTTGTCCTATAAAATCAGCCCAAAACTAACTCTTGACACTAGAGTTAAGTGATAGAGATCAGTAGACTGTTTACCCCACACTTCAAACTCTACTTAGATAAATGAGACGCTTACGCACTATTATCTTATTTATTCTGTTTTCTAAGAGTTGATTGGCCACTTAGAAAGGGGTTTGAACTGAGCTGAAACCTCTTCTGCCAATTCAGCCAATCAGCGTGGTGTTGTGGTTAAGTTTGCATTATTATTATTATTATTTTTAATTAATTTAAGCATTATAATTATAAATAATTACAATATACATAATTATATATTTATAATTATAAAAAATTGTAAAATAAATAATTAAAAAATATAAAATGAATTATAAATAATTATAATAAAATGATAAATTATAATAAAATTGCAACTACAATATTGTTTATCTTACAACAAGTAAAAAAACACTTGTTTCAAAACTAATTTTTGAAAACTAATAACTGCGTGCAAGTACAGATTTTGTGCACTTAAATCATAAATCAAATCATAAATGCTTAATACATTTTAATTTGAATTTAAATGTTATTTTTCATTTTAAGAGAATGGCACTCTTTAAATGTTAGTGAGCATTTGTCTGTTTAGCTTTAGTAGAGAATGACCTCTGAGTCTATTTTCACACCTCTAGCTGCATCAACACCACAACTTGTGAAACCTCAGCTATTCTTCCATTGCTAGAAAAAAGCCTCATCAGTGCCCTGCAGACAGACAACTATTAACACACTATTAAAATACTCTCTGATACTTGATAATCCGCCTTAAACTAAAGTCTATAAGACACAGATTTGTCATTTCAGCACCAAGGACAGAGATATAAATAATTTCTGCATTGCAAAAATGATCTAACATACCATATATACTGTATATATTCTTGCAGAAAAACAAACAGAGCTTTTATGAGCACAATTTCAATAAGATTATTGAAATAAAACGAATGCAAACTAACAAAATCTGACAAATCTTACAATCAGTAAACTAGAATTGCTATGAAACATTTAATTCAGAAGCGTTTAATATGCCATGTTTAATGTTGTTAAACTTTAATAAGCAAATGGATTCTTCCCCTACACAATAGGTGATTTTAGGTCTCAAACTGATCAAACGTAAAAAGGACATTTGAGTTTCTTAATCATAAATATAAACAACATCACATCATTGAAGTCTGGACAGAACACAGAGAAGGAACAACATGATAAAAGCATGTGCAGCACACAGCCAAATGCATTTCCTTTATATTTTTATTTATGAGAGTGATGGTCATTTTCGACTTAACTACTATGATCAAAACGTGAACCTCAGATTCAGACCCAGTCCATATAAGGAGAGCATGTGACTGAGGATCTTACTGAAGTCAGAAGGCAGAGACGAGTTTCATCATTTCCTGCTAAAAAAGACAGGAAGAAGCTGTTTATTATAGAACAAGAGGTGCTGGAGTGAATGTCAGCCGACAGCTTTCAGAGTCTCTCACCTTATTTTAACTTTGAAGATGTCACATTTGTGGTTAGACATTTAAAAAATTCAGAACGAGAAAAGACAATCGTTATTAATGAACAATTCATATATTATGAAGTTATTTTAAAAAGTAACTTTGTTTGATTAAATAGTGGTATGCAATTCCATTTTTCATCACTTTCAATAAAGCACGCAAAAACAGTATAAACATCAACTAATTGGTAATATTCTGAGAATCAGATTCATGAAGGTTTTTTGTTCATGCTTATATGAAACATATACATCACCAATCTTCCTCTGTCTGTTCTCCCTCCCCCTCACTTTTTTATACCACACATTACATTGAAACCACAGAAGTAACTTCCTCAATGAACAGCTTTTACTACTATTGCACTTTGTTTTTTAATGTCAGAGAAAGGGTAAAAGTTATAGTTATGAGATAATGAAGTGGTAAAATACAATATCATATTGTGTTAACCATTTGACCTTATTTGAACGTTTTTTTCTTTTAATAAATTCAGTTTTATCTGTTTGCAGACTTGCAGATGCATGCAGGCAGACACATGCGCTTAACAGAACTGGTGGAATCACTGTAAAGTGTAGTGTTAGAGGCAGAGTATACACTTTAAAAGAATGCGCAGCCAGACCCTTCTCACTAGTTCTTTTCTTTTTCTTTTTCAGGTGTAGAGTGTTAGAGTGAATAATTTGTGTTGCAACTAAGGGTGTAACAATATACATTTATATGTGTACATGTCATACTTTTTTTTTTTTTTTTTTTACCTCATTCTCCAACTGTCAACACATTGTATAAATACAGAACACTTAAGACCTCATATGAAAAAGCCACATGAAAACTGTTTTTTATTTTATTATTTTTTTCACGCACAAACATCTCTGATTTCTGCTGCGATATTCAGATGGTAGGGTCCGGATTTGCAACAAAGCATGGATCTATCCTTGTATTAACAGTTCAGGCTGGTGTTAGTGGTGTAATGGTGTAGGTCGGAGATATTTTCTTGGCACACTTTGCGCCCATTATTACCAATTGAGCATCGTGTCAACCCCACAGTACCGAAGTATTGTTGCTGACCATGTTCATCCCTTTATGACCACAGTGTACCCATCTTCTGATGGCTGCTTCCAGCAGGATAACGCACCATGTTATAAAATGTCTAAATTAGTTTTGAGGGACATTAATTTCCATACTGACAGCGATCACAGATAGTTTACTTCAGATTTTGAAAATTAAATTACTAGCACACATACATATGCAAGACTTTCTATCTTTTCGCTTAGCTTTTGGTTTGGACTTTAAAATAGTTTGTCTGTGGAATCTTGCCACAGCATGTGTTGTTAAGACATGGTGTAAATGCTATTGTAAACTGATGAGCCAAAAATGATCACCAAATTTTTTAAATCTTAGTAATGACTTGTATCAAAGTTTATACTTCTAACAGTATTTCCAGTGCCAAGTCCCACCATTAATGTCTAACTACTAATAATTTAGAAGCAGTTAAACCTTTGATTTTTCCTTTAATTGTAAACATAAGTTATTCTATATTTTAGTTAAGCCTAAAATATACAGCATAATATTTTAATATTTCTTTTTTGTTGTTGGGAAATATGCTAAATTAGAATATTTATTTTTAACTTGAGTGCTGACCATTACTGAATAATACTATTCAGTAATGATGGCCATCGCTTTGAGCTATTCTGACACTTATTTTTGAACACTGATGAGTTTATAATAAACCAATTTAGTGTAAACTAAATATAGCATCCCTAATGTGTTTAATACTAATAATAATAATTTTATAATCTAATTTCCATCATCAATGTAATTATACATGAATTACAAACTCCACAAGAACATTTACATCCCTAACACTGAAATGAAATAAATACATTACATTAAAAAATATATTAGCCAGCCTCCTGTGAAATTTTTATTCTTTTTCAAATATTTCCCAAGTGCTGTTTTAAAACAAGTACATTTTCACAGTATTTTCTATAATAATTTTTTTTTCTGGAGAGTCTTATTCCTTTTAGTTTGGCAGTAATAAAAGCAGTTTTTATTAAAAAAAAGCAAACAAAAACTAAACAACAATTTTAAGGTCAGTAATATACAGTATGTCTCCATAAGAAAACTGCAAAATTCTAGTATCTTTAATCCGAATACTAGTATCTTGCAAAATAAGTAGAAAAATATGATTTACTTTCATCATGCAGGGCAAAGGCAAACAAAATTAGTTGTTAAAACAAATATTTTTAAAAATGTGTTGAAAATGATCTCTTCATTAAACAACACTTGGGAAATATTTTTTATAATAATTACAATTCCCCTGTGCTATATGCAATGCACGTGTTTACAGTATTTAGCAGGTGCAAATAAAGGATAACACACACAAGCTTTTTATTGCGATGTTTTGTAAAATGAATAGCTTTATAATTATTCCAAAGTTTCTGCCAAAAAGTAACAGTCAAATTACATTCATGCATCTACAAATACTGTATATCAACTGGCTCACAAACCCACACTTTAGCATGGTTTTAGCATATTCAAATATCTAAGAACAAGTTTACAGACAGTACAAGATCAAATAAAACAATAGCATAAAAATACTTAGCCATACTTTTTTTTTTGTCTTGCAATGACATTTGATGACAAAAACTTTTCAGCATTATAGATGTTTCTCTAAACTTTTGAATGTTACTGATGTAATCTGACCTGTGCGTACAGAGATCAGTCTTTTTGCTGGAATTTGTGAATTTTTGCTCTGGCTCTTCTAGTGTTCAGAGGTTTCTGACTAAAAGCAATGGCTGCATAATTCAGGCTGTCTTCATCCTAATATCAAGAGAAAATATAACTTCTGTTAAGAGAGGAAGCCTATGTGATATGATTTAATAAACATCAAACACAAAGATTTTAAGAAAAGTTTGGGAAATTCTAGTATTCAATATGTTGATAAAACAACACAGAGAACACAGTACTTACTTGAGTTGTTTGAGCAGCGTACACTTAAAAAACATCAAGAAACAGTCTAGTTAGTCATGGGTTTTTTTTAATCTGACTGTTTTGCTTTACTCTAAAAAAATATTTTATTCATAAAGTCTTACTTTTATTCTGACTTCTGAAGATTTTAATTCCCATAAATACAACAAGGGCCAAAAATATGATATTTGAAATTCCCAAAGCAAGAAGAGCAGGATTGAAATCACTTTCTGTAATAAAAATGAAATGAAATTTAATTTCGGAACATTTTAACATGAGTTCAGTATCACGTTTAGATATGAATGCAAGTTTTCATAACATTTAATACATCAGTTTGCCTTTTCATTTGAATAGAATTCTTTATATATTCTTTATTTATATTAGATAGCGTTTTGTACATTTGTTAGGTCAGTTAGGTATTATGTAATAGTTCATGAATCAAATGCTTTTTCACAAGTATTTGTTTCGCCTTCACCTTACCTCCAATACTCAGTTGAGTTCCTCTTCCAAACAGTATTTCTCCACATGCGGCAACAGCACAGTAGTAAATGCCAGTATCAGAGCGACTGATGTTGTTCTTGTGGAGACTGTAGACACAGCTCTGTGTTTGAGACTCAGTGTTGTTCTTACAGCGGCCATTTCTCTCTCCTTTGGTGTAAAGCACTCCTTCAGAGTCTCCTGAGCTTTGCTTGAACCAGTAGACGCTGTGATCTCCTGCACAGCTCTCAGTGAAGATGCTGCACTGCAAATTCACTGAATCTCCTGGATAAACAGTGTCTATCAAAGACTGATGAACAGTTGTGTTTCTGTCTGTGGCTGCTTTTTCACAAGCACAGAAAAGTACATAAATGGTCAGGTTTAAATAGCTACCACAAGCAAACAGAGCAAAATTAATAAAAATAAATTACCTCTGACAAGTAATCGAGTTCCTGAACCCATTCCAGTGGCCTGATATGATGAAACTACACAGTAATATGTTGCAGAGTCTGACAGGTTTGTCTTTAAAATCGTCAGATTAAAGAAATTATCTCCTTTGTCAGCATTAAAGCGATTTGTATTCTCAAACTTAGGATTCCAGCTTGGTTTTTGACTTCCATATATAGACACAATTTGTTGGGATTTTCCATTATTCGTATGTTTAATCCATGCTTTTGTTAATTGTGTATGCCATGAAAATGTGCAGGTAAATTTTACATCCTTGCCAGCTTCAACTATTTTTACATTATCTTCCTGAACAACATCAAAATCAGTCGAGCAGACTGGAAAATAAAGCACAAAAGAGTTGAAAAGAGTTTAACTTGTTTTATAGTGTTAAATGGATTAATATTTTATAAGACATTTAGATATTTACATATTGTTGAGGAAAGCAACAAAATGAAGTAGCATGTCACTATCAGTTGTCTTCCAAAATTATTCTTGTGCTTTGAATTCTCCTATAAAAAAAGAGAACAACTGATCAAGCTATTAATCCGTATACACATGCTAAAAATGTAAATGAATGTGTCTTTCCTCACCATGTGCTCATCGGCCTCTGCTTCAGACAACTGAGGCTTTTATGCACTCTCACCTTAACTTTTATCACATCACATGCCACATCAAAATGACTAGAAAAACATTCTAACCCAAACATCTTTCCATTACTCCCTCTCTCATATGTTAAAACATGTCATAAACATTTCAGCTTAAACTGCCCACTCAAACCTTTACACAATGTTGTGTCAGTTCTTAAAAGTACAGTGTTGTTTACCAGAAAAAAGCAGGAAATAAGATGAAATGGTGAGTAGATCAATCTCAAGAGCCTCAAAGCTGCTGTCTTTGAGTTTGCAAGATATTAATCTGTACAGCTTGAATAAGGACATTTGATCATGGCTAAGCATAAAGTTTCATATTTGTCTGTTTTCTTAGTATTTTTGGTTAACCCCATTTGCGTTGAAGTGTTAAAACATGAACACATCAAGATTAAAAAAAAAGCTTTTTTTTTTCTCCTTAGAAGTACATGCTTCATTCATTATTGTAATATGTTTATATTCTGTTTATATTCTAGCAGAAAAGAATCGGAGGACGTGGAAAGCTGAATATTCCTACAAGCTTTTTAGTCTGCTAAAATTAATATATATACTGAATAATAATAATTCTGTCGTGTTTGATATACTGTCCAAATACGTTTAACATGTGAATTAGTATGGTAGTTTAAATGAAAATCAGATTCTGGATCCGGCATGCTGTTAGTATCACACATCCTACCAGCATCATTTGTGTTTCTTTACCTCGTTCACAAATAAATAAATAAATAAATAAATAAATAAATATATATATATATATATATATATATATATTAGGGCTGTCAAATTATTTTAAAAAATTATGTAATTAATCACGAAACATAATCATGATTAATCACGAAACACTGTACACTGTATTTATTACTGAAATAAAATCACAGGCATTGAAATGCCATTTAAATTTCAAAACAATCATTGCCAATAACAAACAAAAATTATTTCCATCTTGGATTTTAAGTGAACTACAAACACACACACAGACAACGTGCGCAGTAAAGTGGACCTGGTGAGTGGTGAAAATATGAAGGAGACTGAACTGCTGAACTGCAGTTAAAGTCTAAGCATTAAAAATGAAATACCCGAAATAGCATAAAACTCTGGTGGAAATACTGGATAGCCTGGTGATGCGACAGCAGGGCCAGAGCAAGCTGAATTGGCCCTCTAGGCAAACGGCAATCATGCCGCCCTCAACCCGAAAGTGACCGGTTCGCAGATGAAAGTTAAGACTCGGGGTTCGCTCACTATTCTGCTGCCCAGGGTGGCCGCCTAGGTCGCCTCTATGCATGCGCCATCCCTGAACACACGTCCGCCACAACAGGAAATTTAAAAAAACTGCTACTGTGTTTTTTGCGTATTTTTTATGCGTTAAATATAAAAAATTAGTCACGTGTGTTAACGCGCTAATTTTGACAGCCCATATATATATATATATATATATATATATATATATATATATATATATATATATATATATATATGATTAGTAGGGATGCACCGATACAAATATTGGGTTTTGGGTCAATAATTGGTTAATATTTTAACTCGAATTAAACATGAAATTCGGATACCACGCACTGATACCACTCAACAGTAACGCAGTCAAACCAAATTGTGGCCAGCTTTACCTATTAAACACACCCTTGCCTGAACTCGACATGAGGGAAAATAAAGGCTAAAAATGTTGACTTACATGTATATTAATAATAAAGTGAATAGGCCTGTATGACAGGTTTGTAATTATGGTGCATTGACTAAATTTTTATTTTTCAAATTCATCCATCACACCTGTCAGTATCAGTTTCAAATCAATATTCGCAGCACTGAAAGCATTCCCAGATTACCTTGTAAGAACAAACTCTGTAGGAAGGATGAGAAAACATTTTTTTTGTCAACAATTTTTTTTTTGTCGACAACACGAGCGTTGTCAACATAACTCACTGGAAATCCAAAATACTTCCACACTGGCGACTTCATTGAAAAAGGAGAGGGTTTAATCTCTGTCGACGGGTCTCCTGCATCTGCAGTTTAACAAGCACTTCAACAAGCCTTTTTATTTTCCCGCTTGGCAAGCCAAGCTGACGTGACATGGGAGCGTGGCAGCATCGACGATTCTATTTTTTGATTTGATAATCAAAATTGAGCATTTAAAATCGCAATCGTGACACCCTTATTGATTATGTAATGTGAAGTCGTGGACATGTGTCAGTGCAAGAATTATCCTTTTAAATGTACATGCCTTATTAGTAATCAATCAGGTTGTTTTACAGGGTTATCAACAAGGTGTGTATATTTTTGACTTGAATAACCTTCTGTTAAAGATTTTTGTGGTCATCCTTGCGACAGGCAAAAAAATAAAACCTCATTTCATATTAACTGCACTTTCATTGAAACCAAATCTAAGTATCGGAATTGTAACTCTGTATTGGCAAGTACACAAAGTAAAATACACTTGTGTCGGTTTGTAAAGAAGTGGTATCGTTTCATCCCTAATAATTAGTTTTTGTACTGTATTGAAAAATCATTATCACTTATTCCTTATAGACCATCCATAATGATATTCCAATCTTACACTTTCTCTCACTTCTTTGGGAATCTCACTAAAGATGATAAAACACCAGTTGAGGTCCAGTTGCTTTATATTTGGTTCCCTCTGTTTGAAATTGCATTTGTTAAACTCATTGTATAAAAGTAGCCCAATTCTTTGGGAAAACCATGGACTTGGCAACACTTATCAATTAATTAGGTATGACATGCATAATTGCATTGCATTACAGAATGATAAATCTGACAATAACAGCCACCACAGTTGCAAATTAAACTATTTGATTGGTTAATGAATCTTACAATCTGAAACAAGCTTGGGCACAATTTGTGTACAGCAAGGGGGTTATTTATGACTGAATGAAATTGGCAAAGTTGTAAATGAATACAAATAAATAATTAAAGAATCAAAAGGGATTTTATTTATTTTTTGAAAGCTGATTGTATTCAAATGCATACAGTACACTGTTTATGCCAATATTTTCTATATACAGTTGAAGTCAGAATTATTAGCCCCACTGAATTATTAGATCACTTGTTTATTTTTTCCCTATTTTCTGCTTAACAGAGAGAAGATTTCTTCAACACTTTTCTAAACACAATAGTTTTAATAACACATTTCTAATAACTGATTTATCTTTGCCATGATGACAGTAAATAATATTTGACTAGACACTTCTATACAGCTTAAAGTGACATTTAAAGGCTTAACTAGGTTAATTAGGTTTACTAGGCAGGTTAGGATAATTAAGCAAGTTATTGTATAGCAGTGATTTGTTCTGTAGATTATAGAGAAAAATATAGCTCAAAGAGGCTAATAATTTTGTCCCTAAAATGTTGATTAAAAAATAAAAAAAATGCTTTTATTCTAGCCGAAATAAAACTAATAAGACTTTTTCCAGAAGAAAAAATATTATCAGTCATACTGTGAAAATTTCTTTGCTCTGTTACATATCATTTGGGTAATATTTAAAAAAAATAATAATTTGAAGGGGGCTAATAATTCTGACTTCAACTATACGTGGTGAACAAAACTTTAATCTGTTCAAATCTAAATTGTGTGCAAAAGTAGGATTTGCCTACTGTTTTGGTTGTTCACATATGATTCCTCACACATAGACATGTTTGTTACATGTACTGTATCAATAACATCATATATAGACAATAAAGCTGCAAGTTAGTTGTCAGTTGTAATATTTTGAGAAAAAAAAGCAGTGGAGTAGTTTTTCAAAGTATTTTAAGAAAAAATATGTTTATGCTAGCACACATAAAAAAATCACAAATCAGAAAATACAATCAATACTAAACAGTTTAGTAGCTTTAATAACTGAATATGTTTTTGTTAAATGTCTTAATTTTAAATGTTGCATTTTTGCTAAAAGGCATGCAGTAATAAATAAAAGATACAGAAACAATAATAGACTATAAACAGTTACATTTGACTATTTATTTGAGCAAAAGAATTGTGAAGCCACACTGAATTTTGTTTTCATTTCTAAGCTGAAGATTAATGACATGTATTTATGTAGAGATCACAGAGCACACATCATTCTACATGTAACTCTGATTATGCAAAATTATTAAAAGTACATTATACTTTGCAAAATTATACAGAGCATATGCATGAAACAAAAGAGAGCGTTTATTTTAATCAAATTATCTTATTTCTGATATCGAGGGCCAAAAACACAACGGTTAAACAAAACAAGCATATATGGTCTTATCTCTGATCTCACATGTTAAAATTACACAACAGACAATATATTAAAAAGAAAATCTAAAATAATTTTCTGCAAAAACATGACGAATGTTATCTAAGCTGCATTTAGACTTGTTGAACTATGGCCTAAAGCGTTTTGTAGGCAGTTTTTGAGTGATTATGCTGTACTTTACAAATGAATGTTCTTCAGAAAACTTCACATCAAGTTTTTCTGCAGTCAAATCATTTTGAGCAGCACATATCAGAGTGTCTTCACCCTACAATTATCAGAAAAAAAAACAATCAAACTTTAAAGACATCCACCATTAGACTTTTTTTTTCAATTGATTGGTCATGTTATTGCAATTCCACCTTGAACTAAATGTAACATCAAGAAAGACTTAGATATTGTAAAAGTTTTTGCAAAATTTTTAAAGTTTTTCAACTTTGAAAATAAATATTGAACTTACTTGATTGTCTTGAGATTTGTGGGTGAGGCAGAAAAAAAAAACATGATTAAAAAACAATTAAACATTTTGTAAGTTGTCTTTAAGGTCTTAAAAAGGAATAATGTGTTAATGTGTTGTTCCACATTTTAAAAGACCTTAAACATTTTTTTTTCATGTCTGTAAAAAAGCTAAACCTATTTTTTCCCTCATAAAATATCTAATCTTTCAAATTGAAAAAAATGTCATGTGTCGCTTTAGATAATAAAAATGATGAACAAAGATGAATGCAAAAAAAATTATAATAATTAAAAACACGTAATAATAATAATAATAATTAAAAAAAATTATAATAATAGTAATATATACTCAAAAAATTTGTTTTAAAGGAATGATTTAAAAAAATACTCTGTGATTCTGCATTGTGAATATCAGAGGGTAAAGAGTTCCTCAATTTAGTTGCCAATGAAGAGAATGCCCGGCCTCCCATAGATTTTAACCACATTGACTGAGCAAGACCAGCATCAGGTGAGCATAAAGCACTATGTTCTAGGAGTGTATGAGATCAAAGGCTTAGATAAATATTGCGGATGCTAAATAGGATTGGATTGTACGCAACCTTGAGGAATTATAATCAATTTGAAAACTGACAGAAAGCCAGTGCAGTTTATGTGCTCTCTTGAACTGATCCTAGTCAGAATCTAGCTGATTAATTATGTACTAATTGCAACTTGCTTAAGGGAGCTTTGGAATAAATGCATTTCCTCTGGATTCTGAGGCCATGCAGAAGGCTATTTATTTATTTATTTATTTATTTTCACAGAATGATCAGAAAGTACACCCACAAAAAATATTTAGAAGGAATTCACTCCAGCACTTCTTGCTGGAAAGAAATGACTTACTTAATGTTGTTTTGTTGGGACAGCTTAATTGCTTTGCTCAATCCGCTTGAATTTATAAAAATAAGTAAATTAACTTAATCGATTCATGTTGGGACAACAGGAAGAAATTTTTTACTGTGTACGGTACTTTACTGAGTCTCCTGAGCTTTGCTTGAACCAGTAGACGCTATGATCCCCTGCACAGCTCTCAGTGAAGATGCTGCACTGCAAATTCACTGAATCTCCTGGATCAACAGAGTCTATCAAAGACTGATGAAGAGTTGTGTTTCTGTCTGTGGCTGAGTCTTCAGAAAAGTACAGAAATGGTCAGGATTAAAATTTGCTACAACAGGCAAACAGAGCAAAAATAATAGACATAACTTACCTCTGACAAGTAATCGAGTTCCTGAAACCAATCCAGTGGCCTGATATGATGAAACTACACAGTAATATGTTGCAGAGTCTGACAGGGTTGTCTTTAAAATCGTCAGATTAAAGAAATTATCTCCTTTGTCAGCATTAAAGCGATTTGTATTCTCAAACTTAGGATTCCAGCTTGGTTTTTGACTTCCATATAAAGACACAATTTGTTGGGATTTTCCATCAGTTGTATGTTTAATCCATGCTTTTGTCAATTGTATTTGCCATGAAAATGTGCAGGTAAATTTTACATCCCAGCCAGCTTTAACTATTTTTACATTATCTTCCTGAACAACATCAAAATCAGTCGAGCAGACTGCAAAATAAAGCACAAAAGAGTTGAAGAGTTGGAAGTGTTATATAGTCTTAAATGGATTAATATTTTATAAGACATTTAGATATTTACATATTTTTGAGGAAAGCAACACAATGAAGTAGCATGTCATGATCAGTCGTCTTCCAAAACTACTCTTGTGCTTTGAATTTTTCTATAAAAAGAGAACAAATGATCAAGCTATCAATCAATTTACATGTGCTAAAAATGTAGATGAATGTGTCCTCACCATGTGTTCATCAGCTTCTTCTTCAGACAACTGACGCTTTTATGCACTTTCACCTTGACTTGTATGCTTTTATCACATCATATACCACATCAAAATGACTAGAGAAACATTCTAACATAAACATCTTTCCTCTCTCTCACATTATTACATGCCTTTACAAAATGTTGTTTCTGTTCTTTAAAATGCATTGTTTACCAGAGAAAAAAGCCGGAAATAAAATAACCAGTATAAACGCTCTCAAGAGCCTCAAAGTTCCTGTTTTTTGCAAGTTTTTAAGATATGAATCTTTACAGCTTAATTTTCTTTTTTCTGCTGAACACAAAAAGAGCTGTTTTAAAGAATGATGGAGATGGATAATCTGTTGGTAACAGTAGTTAAGATAGAATTTTTATTTTTGGACGAACAAGCCCTTTAAAAGTTTCAAAATAAATGTCTGCATGACGTTTCACATACAAATAAACATAATACTAGATGTGTTTTTATTATTTAAAAGCTGCATTTTAATATCTCATCTCACATACTTCACACCTATAAACATCCACATCAAAATCACAGCTGGGACTAATTAAATCAATCATCTCTTGTTTCTTCTATGCCTAACACTTCCTCTCACTTCAGGTTCGGCAATCTCACTAAAGTTGATGAAACACCGTATGAAGTCTACTCCCATTAATTGTGTTTTTATTTTTGGTTTCCTCTGTTTGAAATAGCATTTCTTTCCCATTAATTGAAGTTCTGATTCCAACTTGGGCTTTGATTAAAATATGAAGACACTATTTTTTGGGATTTCCTATCAGTTGTCTGTTTAAAACATGCTTTAATTGTAGATGGTACAAGCCCTAAATATGTGAAAGTTTACATTCCGGCCAGCTTGAAGTGCTTTTACATTATCTTCCTGACCAAAATCAAACAAGATCAAAATCAGTGGAGAAGACTGCAAAATAAAGAATAAAAATAAGACATAAGGAGTGTTGAACTCTACCCATTTTAACAAAATTGTATTTAGCTGTTCTTGAGCAAAACAAAAATATTAAATAATTTCTCATGATCATGGATCTTACAAATATATATTTTTAGTTAAAATTCCCCCGGGGTAAATCCAGCCAGAACAAAGCACTTTACACCAGGTGAACAGAATGATAGGAATTAGTAAACTGTTTACCCCACAAATCTTTCAAGCTCCACTTCAGACAAATTAGATGCCTACACACTTATGTTATTTATTCTGTTTTCTAAGAGTTGATTGGCCACTCGTAGAGTGGTTTGAACTGAGCTTAAACCATTTTGACTGCAGCCAATAAGATGGGTGTTGTGGTCAAGTTTGCTTTTTTTACATGCTGTTTTATGCTTTAAAAAATTTTAAGTAAAATAAGTGAGAACATGATAAAAATTCTAAAATCCACACTTGAAAGTTATAACTAAAATATAAGTGTTGGTTAGCAAGTCTCTATTTAGTTTCTTCAAAGAATGAACTTTGACTCAGTTTTCACACCTCTGTCTGCATACACTAACATGTGAAACCTCAACTATTTTTCCAGTACTAAGAAAAAAAAGCCTTATCTATGACCTGCAGACAGATCTGCATACAGCGATTAAGAAATTCTTTGACACTTGATATAAACTAGGCCTTAAAGTGAACTGTAAAAGATACAGATTTAGAATGTCAGCACAAGGATAAACAAATAATTTTTGCACTGCAAAAAAAAAAAAAAAAAAAAAAATATATATATATATATATATATATATATATATATATATATATATATATATTAGGGGTGTAACGATACACCAAAGGCACGGTTTTACTTTCACTTTTCACATAATCACTTTTGTACATTAAATCACTTTTGTTGGCAGTTTTGTTGCTTACACCCTCACTTTGTGAAATTACCACACTTTTTAAACGTTTTTCCTTATAAGTAAGTTTTGTGAAACAGTTAAGACAGACAGGCGTGCGCTTTCGATACACCAAAGGCACGGTTCGGTACGGTTCGGTTTCTGTTTGCTGTGGGGTTAGTGTTGATGTCATGTTAACAGCAATGCTAAGGGACAATTCACTTAATAACAAGAACATCTTAACTTTTTCTTTATTAACTTTGTCATCACATTTTTTGTAGCCTACAGTCAGGATACCCGAGTAAACAACTAAAATTAAATAAAAACCTCCAATATAGACTAGTCAGAAAAAAAACTATTGTCTTTAGTGCAGCCATCTTAACTAAGTAAACTAAAATTAAATAAATAACTGCAGTGTAGTGCAAGATCTTCTTCAAAAACACTATAATATCCACATTCTGAGGTGAGAGGCTTGATCTCTGTGCAGACACAGACACTCATTTTTGATCATCTATGGTTTTAGTTAGATAGATAGGTTTCCGTTTAAATTAATGAAAAAATATACATATACTGTGCTTGTAAAGTGTTTTTACATGACATATTCACCAGTAAAATACATTGCAGTTGTGTCTGAAACTAATGTTAGGGTTGTAGCCGGCTTTATGTTTGCCTCCCGATCTCTCTCTCTCTCTCTCTCTCTCTCTCTCTCTCTCTCTCTCTCTCTCTCTCTCTCTCTCTCTCTCTCTCTCTCTCTCTCTCTCTCTCTCTCTCTCTCTCTCTCCCGCTTCCTCTATGCCGGTCATTTATGTAGGTCTGCCTTCACGACAGCTGATGCCTGTCATTTCTGTAGGGTAGCCTTCATGACTGCAGATTGGTCAAGAGGCCGATCTATTATCATTTGTCGACGTTGCGCGGGAACATCATTTGGAGACGCAGCGCGGGAATTAAAAATGCATGTCAGGAAGAGCGGGAGAGAGCGCTTTTTCCTTTGATCTCGTTTTTCGTGTATTTTTCTGACATGATTATGATTTTCGTTGTTTTTGCTTAACTTTCGTTTGGGCAAAATTATTTTGCATTACTTTTGCCCACTTTAAGAAGTTTTGTAAGGTTTGTACATTTGTATTTTAATTGATTTGTAAATTATTTTTTGGCTCTGCTCCTTCCTGACAATATTAAGCTATAACTCCCCAAGTTCATTCTTTTCTCAGTGTAAAGTGGATAGTGAAAATTTCATACGATTTGTATTTTGCAAACACGTAGAAAATGTATTGTTAAAGACATCAGGTAGAAGGTGAAGGTCATCTTTGTATCTATTTTATTCTACAGTTCAGAATAGGAAAGAATGCGGCGCTCAGCGCTGAAGGACTTTTTTTCTTTTCATCAGTTTTTAGTGAGGTAAGAGGGGTTATTCATTAGTTAGAATTGTTTTGTTATATTTCTTTCTTTTTGTTTAACTTCACTATCGTCCCTTTGCTCCAGTTTAACTAATTTTTGTTGGAATTTGTTACTTTATTATATTATTTTTATTAGTGTAAATATTTCTCTTTTTGTGTATATTTGGGCATTATTCTGCTTTCACTTTTGTACAATAAATCACTTTTGTTGGCAGTTTTGTTGCTTACACCCTCACTTTGTGAAATTACCACACTTTTTAAACGTTTTTCCTTATAAGTAAGTTTTGTGAAACAGTTAAGACAGACAGGCGTGCGCTTTGTCTACAACACAAATTCCATTCCTGTACTCTACTGGAAAACCCAAATGTTTCCACACAGATGACTTAAATGTGTCTGGAGGATCTGCAATCTCAGTACTATATGAAGCAGCCATCCTGCGTTCAGTATTAACGAGTGTGATCACTCACTCAAGTCACATGACATGACATGCACTAAAATACTAACTTTAGAATATAATATTTAGAACAAAACCTCATCATTACTAAAATAATTTAATCAAATGTGATAAAAAAGATGTGTTTAAATTGGTTCAATTAGTTAGAGACAAGTTACGTCAACCTCAACAATGGGCAGCAGGGGGCGTGAGAGTACCGCGGTACGTCACGAGAGTTTCGCGATAAATATCGTGGTTGGTGTATCGCGATTGTAATATCGTTACACCCCTAATATATATATATATATATATATATATATATATATATATATATATATATATATATATATATATATATATATATATATATATATATATATATGTACATATATATATATATATTTTTTTTTACTGGTGCAGAAAAAAGACAAGCACTTTAATTGTAGCATACTGTAATAGTAATTGTAGTATCACTGAGTTAATATTGCACAGCATATTAGATAAATATGTAATAAAAAATGTCATGATGTTTTGTTCTAATGTTGCTTAACTTTAAGTAGCAAACTTATTCTTTTGTTCTAAACAATCATTGACATCTTTCAAGCTGATCTTGTGTAAAATGACTTTGTCTTGACTCTTAATGGCGAACATACACAAGCATCACATCATTAAAGACCACACACAACATAGAGAAGACACTAAACCAAAAAAAGTATGTGTAGTATACAGACAAATTTAGGATTTTATTCATAAGTGATGATTGCCTTTGACTGTACTCCTTTGATCAAAACCTAAACCTCAGATTCAGACCCAGTCCAAATAAGGAAAGGCTGTGACTGTGGCTCTTACTGAAGTCAGAAGGCAGAGACGAGTTTCATCATTTCATGCTAAAAGACAGGAAGAAACTTTATTATAGAACAAGGGGTGCCGGAATAAACTTCAGCGGACAGCTTTCAGCAAACTGTCTCAAATGATTAGAATTGTATGTAAAAAAGTTAAAAGTTTATTGAACATTATTGATTATTATTAATGTAAACACTGTATTATGCAGTTATTAATAAAATTCAATTACAACTTATTCAGTGTCTGAAAGTGTAAAAAAAAAAAGAGGTAAACATCTTGTTAATAAATAATATTTTAATATGATTCATGAAGGTTTGTACGCGTTAGTACTTTATTTGTACTAACAATATAGCTGAATGGAAAACCACTGAGAGCTTTGGGAAACCTGCATGTACTCACCTCTGTCTGTGTCCCCTCTCCACCTCTGTTCAACCCTACCACACACACATATTTTCACACCACACTTTGAATTAAAACCAACTTCATCAACACTCAGCTTTTACAACTGTTGCACTTTGCTTTTCAATGACAGAGTAAAAGTTATTCTGTAATTATGAGATATTATAATGTAGTAAAATACACAATCTTATCTTATTCCTTTGACTTGAACTTTTGAGTGCTATCTTTTTGTGAATTATCAAATACTTTGTGCTACCCATGTTAAAAGGATAGTTCCCCAAAACTGCTTTACTCCCAGGCCATGCAACATTCAGCTTTTCATAATTTGATATGTAATTAAGAGACAAAAGCTTATGTTTAATAATTTTGATATTATTTAATATTCCTGCATGGATTGATGATTTTGCGACATGAAATTTTCCATTTTTTAGTTAATATTTAGCTGAATATTTAGCTTTTATTTGTATTAACAACCTTCTTTTGCACTCGAAATAAAGCTTCATTTTTCTTTTTTTTGGTCATAACGAAGTTCCGGCATCTGACCTCTGTTAAGACAAACTAGACACACTATTAATTTTCAAGCATAGTTCTTTTTATTTTATTTTATTTGTTTTAAATAAAAGATTCCATATTCAAGATGAGAAAAAAAGGTAAAGTACTGTATGTATAAGCATAAACATAAATGTAATCAAAAAGTAAAACCAAAGACAAGACATCTTCCATGTTTTTTCCTATAACAGATGAGATTAAAAAGCAAGAAATGCAACTTAAGCTTGTGTATTTGGTTCTTGGTTTTGTTGTTAAAGTTTTTATATGTTTGTATGTATATATGTATATTGGATGTATTTATGTGGATTTAATAAAAAAAAAAGATTTGTTTTAAATGCTTTCTTTTTTGCATTACATTTGTAATTGTGTGAAAGCTGCTAAAATGAAATGCACATAATTGTGAGATCAAACAATTCATTTGTGTGGCCTTTAAGGGCAGATTCAGACAGCCCCAACAAATAGAGACAATAAATATTTCACCTAATTTCTCAGATATTCTATAATTCAACAAGTGTTGATTCAACAGGTTTAATCTGTGAAAGCAATGTCTAAAAAATGCTAGCAGACACTGAGAGAAGTTACAAACACTGATCAGACAAAACACAATTATACTGTATGTCTGCTGCTATCAACCATATAAGTATGCCTTCGGTGAAGCAATAGATATCTATAAGAGACTTCAAAACAAAATGTATTAAGCACAGAACAAACAAACTTTCATGTCAAACGTCTCATGTCTCATTTATGCAGTTTTATTTTTAGTACCTTCTAAATCTTAAAGACGATTGTGGTACATTGTGTAACTGACAGTAGTAGTGGCATCAGTCTGCAACAAAACCAATGATGTTCATAATAAATTTAAAAGCAAATAGGGATAATAAATGTAAAGGTGTTATACATATTATACACTTGTGAATAAAGTGAACTTACTGTAACATTAAGTTGTAACAAAAGCAAGCAAACTAAAAAATATGTACAAAACGTCTTACCATTGATTGATCAAGCACATTATAGGGAATCCCATCTAAACAAACAGTAATTATTGTTACAAACACATACTGACAGACATATTGATTTGTGACTGTAAATCTTACCTTTTTGTTGATGATTATACAACTGTATACCCAGAAGTAGGATCACAATCACACACAAAATGTTTGAACTTGTTAAAACAAGGGCTATTATACTCCATGGTGTTTCTGCAAAAATGAGAAAGATGGTTTTTAACAACACCTCACATCCATATAAGTTACATTAAAAAAAATTCTTCTGTGCAAATACAGGGCAAATGTATGTACCTGGTCCTCGCAAACAAAATTTTCTGCCATCTCCGAACAGTATTTGTCCACAAGCAGCCACAGCGCAGTAGTAGATGGCGGGGTCTTCATCAGTCTTGGGCAGGCTGTAGATGCATTTGTGTGCAGTAGAGTTGGGATCAGAGCTGTTCTCACACTGAGCGCTTCTGCTGTCCTGAGTGTAGATCACTCCTGGAGGAGATTCTCCAGAGCGCTGTCTGAACCAGTAGACCCTGTGTTCTTCTGCACAGCTCTGAGAGATGATGCTGCACTGCAGATCCTCTGATGGAGACTCTGATGCTGATCTCTCATGCTCAGACTCGATGTTCACTCCACCAGCTGAAAAAAGAATTAATAAACAATGACGGTATATTGCTAATTAATGCAATTTAGAAGAGTAAGTGAATAATCTGCTTACCTTTAACTATGAGGTCTGTGCTGTTTCCAAATGTGAAATGATATGCATATGTTATACAATAGTAAGTTGCAGAGTCAGACACTTCTGTGTTTGTGATGCTCAGATTAAAACTGACATCATCCTTTGTTACAAAAAAGCGGTTTTGTTTGTTAAAGTCATTTTCAAATCTGTGATCTACAATTTGAAATGATGAAACGACTGGAAGAGGTTTCTTTCCAACACTTTGTTTAATCCAAACCACACTGCTTCTTATTTCATTTGATAAACTACAAGTGAAGTTAACAGTGTCTCCAGCCTGAACAATTTTCAGATAATTCTGAGTGTCTGTAGTTTCTGAGCTGCCTAAAATTGAAATAAATGAGAGTTAGTGTTGTCTGCTGTAGCCACAATGAACATATAAAAGGTCTCACTTTCATTCTATTTAATTCTAGGATTTTATAATAAAAAACTTACACTTTAAAAGGTAAGCCAATATTATAAATAAATGCAGGATCATTTTCTCACATTAGCAGACAGCTTAAATCATCTACACTGAAAAAAAAAATGCAAAATTATTAATTAGTGTTGCATAGAATACTTTTCAAATCATATATACAATTCTAGTTTATGAAAGAATAAAAAGCATTTTAATCATACGTTTCATTCATTTGCACACACACACACACACAAACTTGCATATGTACTTACAGATTTTTGTGATGATCATGTGGTAAAGATCGGGATTATTAAATCTTCTCTTCTTTCTGTTGGATGATAGAACAATATATTTATACTTATCAGCATATTATATATTATAACATGTCTTATAACAGAATAATATTAACAAAATTCTTTAATTCAGATGAAAAAAAGACCATCTCACTATGTGGTACTATCATACTGTACCAAATTATCTTGTCGATGCAACTGCTCAGTTTCTGATCACAAAGCATCTGAAGCGTGCAATAAACACACACACACACACACACACACACGCATACACGCACACACACACACACACGCAAACCACATGTAACTCACCAGCAGGTTTTTCATCAAAACATAGACAGACACACACACACAAACCACAGGTAATTCACCAGCAGGTTTTTTTTAAATCAAAATTGTAGACACACACACACACACACACACACACACACACACACACACACACACACACACACACACACACACACACACACACACACACACACACACACACAGTGTATTCCAGTCTTTAACACTGTTATCAGATTTTGTAATTGAGATAGTAATGTAACCATGTGGCACATTTAAGCACATACACTGAAGAAATTAATAGATATAAATAAAATAAAAAGCAAATAATAAAAGTTGGTTACACTTTAGAATATCTATCCGTTATAACTAGTTAATAGATAATTAATAAACTGTTAGTTAATGGGTTATTAATGATTCAGTTGTTCATAGTTTGTTAACCATCCACTAATACCAGTGAAACATTTGTCGAACTTTTCTAATAAAAGAAAATTTTATTTATTTTGTTTTCATGTTTAATACAAAAAGTGCTCAAACCTCATGGGTTTGTATTCTTGTATACTGCTGTTCTGCCATGTGATAGCTCAGTATGTGTGTTTCTATTCATTAAACACAATGTTCAACATTTCATCTGTGGAGTTTCTTTGGTAAAATACAGCGCACAGAAAAGTCTGAGTGGAACAAGGTTGATGTACAAAAATTTTATATTTTAAATATCACATCAATTTTCAACTTGTTCCATCCATTTGCTGTTCTACAAAGTTTCACTGGTATTAGTGGATGGTTAACAAACTATGAACAACGGATCTGTAATGTGTGAGTTAATATAATAGTTGTGTTAGTCATTAGCTTATGTATGTTATTGGGGAGTTATTCTAGTTGCAACTATTCCTCATTTACTAGCAGTTAATAAATAAATAATAGTTGCAACTTTAGAATATAGTCTCATTAACATATATAAACTATTAACTGATACTTAACAAGTCTTTAAGTACTTTACTAACAGCTTGTTCATGATCTATTACTAATTTATTAGATATAGTTATAAATCATTAAAATACAGTTAACAAGTCATTTATAACTTGTTAACTAACAGTTTGTAAGTTATCTATTGGCTATCTATAAGGCACAGTTATAAATAATTAATAAACTATTAAGTTTAATTTTACAAGTCATTTGTAACCCATTAACTAACAGTTTATTAATTATCTGTTAACTAATTATAACGGATAGGTATTCTAAAGTGTTACCAAAATTTTGCATTTATGTTTGTGGGCATATTAACAGCTAAATGAAAATTTAAGTGGGTCTTTTTATGTTATTTTAATGTTTTTCACTTTAAGTAATCTAGTGCGCTTATAAATATTGTGCTATTAAAAACGTGAATCAATAACCTAATATACACTGCTTACTCAAGCCTCTGCGCAATGTTTTCAAATGAGTATGTTATTTCCACTAAAAAACACTGATTGCTCCTTAAGGTCAGCATTTGTCAGAAGAGAAGACCAACAAATCAGAGGGCAGAGACAAAATGCATAATTTCCTGTAGACTGACAGAGAGGAAGTAGCTGCTCAGTACAGACTAAGAACTGATGTGGTAAACGGCAGCGGATAAACATTTCTCAAACATACAGTATTAGACATTACTAACAGCACACAACATATTCAAATAATTAAGTCATGAACATAATAAAAATATAAAGTGTCTCTTTGGAAATACAGTACTATATTTGTATAATATGTAATGACTTTTTATTACTTTTAGGTGATTTAGATTCATGAAAAATTTAGATTTGTAGAATTGTGTTATTTTTATAAACTGCACGCTCTGTTTGTAGTGTTTTGCATGTTTGTTAACAGATTAAATAAACACTTCAAGTTTTATGCTCAGATGTGTTTGTGCACCTTTGTGCTTTTGCATGCATCACTTGCATGCATGCCCTTTGTGCACGGTGCGGTTTGAGAATTTTCCAACCACAGGACTGACCAGCTAGTGTGTTCACACCTTTCTCAAAGTCAACGTCACACACACCCACACACACCACTCACTACATTAGTCAAATAAATTACTGCTTGGTAAAAGTTTATTCTTGCATCTTAAACAACACCCTATTCACTCAGGTGAGCTAACTGGTTAAAAATGCATTTAACTAAACAGATGTTTAATTTTAAGTAACTGTATATATGCAGTAACTTTAAATGGATGTGCTTTTTTTTTTTTTTTTTTTTTACATGTTTTTAATTAGTAAAATTGATGCAATCAGAAAATTAATTACAGACTTTATCCATAATATATTACAAAGTATATATTAGTAAAATGTGTTATTTTTGAATGCAGTCTATTATTATTGCTACAGGCCAGGGGTGGACTGGGACAAAAATTCAGCCCTGGCCCTGTAGCCACACCAGCCCACATTACCTCACCAACACAGACATGCACATTTACTACTTATATTGGTGTACAGATGGTGAAATAATATAGGTAGTACCATATTATATGTAACAGATATTTAAACATTTAATGTATGTGACTGGAACAAAAACAACCCGTTTATAACAAATTTATACATAATAAAAAACAATCTGTGAATCTTGTAGAGTCCATGTGCTGTCCCTTTTTACCAATGCCCTCTATAGAAAGTCTAAATTTATTATAGTAACGGACCACTTGTTCAATAAAATGCCAAATTCTAGGGACCTTCCTAGCACAACAAATAAACAAAAATTTGTCATGACTTGTCACTCAAAAGCATCTTGCTACTTACTTTATAATGTAGCCAAATGAGATTTCTTGAAACCTTTCTTGCTGTATAAGCTGTTTATTTTGACATTCTTTTAACATTTATAGGCTCATTGTTGATTATACAGGTTTATACTTTTAATGCAGCCTATTAAGTAATGAGCTGTTTATCTGTGATTCTGACCATCTTTTTGTAAAAACAGTGATGTTTCAGTTGCATCCACTCCCACATAAAAAAATACTGTAGTAATTTATAGCAATACTTTAGTGTTGATGCCTATTAATGGCTATTTAAATTCTATAGTTGCTATGGTTTTTACAATAATAAACATAACCCAATACTGAAAAAAAATGTTCAAGAACACTATAATATTTACTATAAATTACCATAGTAATTTTTTCATGAGGTCATCCACCTGTGATTTAAAAAAAAAAAAAAAAAAACGTGACCACAATCTCCAGCAAAACAGCGAGATTCGGGAAGTGTCTGACCGACTTTTGATGTATTTTTTGAGCTCTCCTCTTACTGCAGCCGCCTGCTCATCTACAACGCAGTCAAGGCAAGGCGAATCTCAAAAAAGCCTATTCTAGCCAGATATTGATTATGTCCACGTAACCCCTGATTGGGTCAGCGCATCTTGAAAACAGCCGGCCATCACCGATTGGGCCAAATGCTAAACATTCACGCACGTGCACACATAGGGCTCAACCTGTGCAGTGCACATGCCCTTTTTAGTCTTGGATAGAAAGTGCCCTTCCAAAATGATCAAAAGTGCCCCCGCGACACGGCACATCTTTGGTCCCGCCCTTCAGTAGGCGCATGACAACACAGCTGATCAGTACGCGCGCGATAACACCGCTTTTCAGTACACGCGCGATAACACCGCTTTTCAGTACACGCGCATCCACTCTGCAGATCTGCAGCACCCTCCAACCTGCCCCCCCCCACGACCCCCCCCCCCATCCAAAAATTTATCCTGCACATGCCCTTTGGACGGTCTCTGCACGGGCCTGTAACATTTATTATTAATATAATTACTATTATTATTTTCATCATCATCATAATATTCGCATCTTGCAAGCAATAAAAGCTGTCTTTATGTAAAAAAAAAAATACATAAAAAATAATAAAATAACATTTTTAAACGGATCGACCCACATTTAAAAAATGGTTCGGTCCTTCTAGTATTTGCCAGAATTGTCAGATGGCCAGTCTGCCCCTGCTAGGCCCTCCACTATTTATGGTCTTATTATGGAGTTTTTGCAGAATTTCTCCACTAGAGGGTCTCATAAACCACTTAATAATACTGGGCTTCACCTCTCAAATATGCAGGCTCTCTAGAAAAACATGAAGCAGTCTAATGATGTACCACAATTCATTAGTCTCTTAAATTAACTGAAGACATATGACTGACAAAATACAGAGAGCTGTCGATGGTGGCAAATATTGTGGAACGGTGCTGCTGGACCTTCAGATGGCTTTCGACACTAAACCATCAAATTTTGCTATATAAATTAAAGGCAATTGGATTTTTTTCTTTTCTTCTTTGGGTCTCGGCGAAGGCGGTCGCTCTTCTTCCCTCTCCGTCCCATATCTCTCCTTGCTAGCACCTCTTGTTTTGTCAAACGCCTTTGTGTGCTTTTACCCACGTGGGGCGTGGGCGGGACTGTGACTTGCGCCGGAAATGGCTGCTGGACCAGTTGGCTGCCCGCACTCAACGGACTTTTTTCCATTACCCCTGTTCCCATCCCCTCTGTCTATGTTGTGTCTTGCCGGTGTGCTTATGCTAAGATAGGGCTGTTTATCTCCCTTTTCTCACTTTGTCCTAATCAAGGGAAAGCTGAGGGGGTGTTTTTTAGCCTAACTGTCCAAATGTATCTTTCTTCGTTTCTAAATGCTGCCTCCTATGATCTGTCTCCCCTGAAAAGTTGTTTGTGATGTTTTGTGTATGGTCTGGGGGGTCCAATTTCGCTATACGAAAGTGTAGTGACAAATAAAGGCTTGCTTGATTGATTGCTTGATTTGATAAAGTGTCTTTAAAGTGGATTTAGTCCTATCTACTTGATAGAAACCAGAGAGTTGACATAAAGGGTATATTATCTGCTCCCTTATTAATCAATTGTGGAGTTCCTAAAGGAAGTATTTTAGGTCCATCATTTTTTCTTTTATATATATATATATATATATATATATATATATATATATATATATATATATATATATTGAATTAAAAATAGCATGTTCAGAGGAGCTCTATCTTTATGCTGATGATGCAGCAATATTAGTATCTCATCAAGAAAAAAGGGCCCTGGAAGAAATTATGAGTTCACAGTTAAAAAGTGTTTACAATTGGTTTTTAGACAACAAACTTTCTTTACACATGGGTAAAACAGAGGCTATTTTATTTGCTTCGGGAATGAAATTAAAGAATGATGATAATTTTGTACTTAGGATTAATGATTGGAAAATTCTGTCAAAAATGTTGTAAATTATTTGGGTTGTTTAATAGATAATAAATGATCAGGAGATGCTATGGCAAAAAAAAAAAAGTTTTTACGAAGATTTGTGTAAAAATTAGGTTTTTAGCAAGGCAAGCTGATCTGTTGGATGGTCATTCTTTAAAATTCTTTAAAAGGAGCTTTAATTCAACCCCATTTTGATTATGCTACTTCATTTTGGTACAGTAGCTGCTCACAGACTTTGAAGGGGAAATTGCAAAATGCACAAAATAAATTACGAATCATTTTAAAAATGCATCCTAGAGCACATTTACACAAACAGTGTTTTAATAAATTAGGTATGTTAACTGTTAGTAATAGAGTGTGTTTTTTTAAAACTGGGAATGGTACGTAAAATGTTTAATAATGTGGTTCCTAGTTATTTGATGAACTATTTTCAAATGGTGAGGCAACAGCACTCAAACAGTACTAGGGGTTGGGATTTTAATATTTGTTTATTCAAATTTAGAAGTTTAGTGGGGAAAAATATGTTTTTATATACAAGTGCAATCATGTGGAACAAACTACCAAAATCAATCAAGGAAATAAAAGATTTAAGGTTGTTCAAAAAAGCTATCAAAAGGTGGTTGTTTGATGAGGATAATTAGTTTGCGTGGTGGACGAGGAGGTTTTATTTTATGTTACTTGAGTGTGAATAAGGTTGCGTCTGGAAGGCCATTAGCTGTGTGGAACATATGCTGGATAAGTTGACTGTTCATACCACTGTGGCGACTGTTTGTTTTATGCATCATTGGTATTTTGAAGCCATACATTGTTTTTATTTAACAGAGGACCACAATGGAAATAAGCCCAGGGCTTTATTGTGTTTTTATCCTTGACAGTTTTTTTTTTTAACAAAGTGTATGGAATACTTTTTGTACAATTTGTCTAAAATCTGTCAAATAAAATTCTAATTCAAACCTTACATTTGAGTGTATCAGTAATGAAATGGATATTAATAACAAACCTTACTAATAATGGGAAGCAGTGATTTGCGAAGTTTAGTTTCTATTATATTTTTGGTCTTTTTTTATTTTAATTTTTTTTACATTTATATCATATTTATTTAGTCATGGATTACAAGGTGTTGCTCCATTGGGCTAGACACTAAATTCGTCAATATTTAATAATACACATATAAATTATCTCTTTTCAATATATGAAAGTTATTTACTGACTTCTTAATTGATGTAGGGGTCAATAATAAAATTCAACAGTGTGTTTGTACAGTAGCACACTTAAATTTAGTTAATATGACTGCAAAATATTAAACAAAATGGTCTTTTAATGTGGTATTTCAGTACCATGGACAGAGATTTCATTCTAGTCTTCAGACATTTACAGCAAAGCAGTTGATCTAAAATTTGTCACTCCAGTATGCTTTTGAAATTTGTACAATCGTTTTTGTCCAAATCTAATGACAATCATAATAATTGAAAAATGTAGCAAAAGAAATGAATGCAATTATTATATTATATTTAGAAAATGCAAGTGCTTGTGTGAGTCTAGACATACATGATCAGTTTATTAATATTCTGATTATCTTTGTAAAAAAATCATATTAATTTTGGCATAAATTCAGTATTAATGAAGTCATGCTTACTAAAAATATCTCTCGAGATTTTAAAACAATTTTTGCACATTGTTATTGTGATGTCACCTGCAAATAAGTTTTCAAACAAATGCCTAAATAGATACTACTATATTAGCAAAGCCAGTCAATTCATGCTACATTTGTTGACGTCTTGTACAGTATGTGCATACTGACGTATCTTGTAAGTTTCTTTCCACTGATCTTCTAATCATGGAGGGATTTTGTTGGAAGCTCAAAGCAGCATAATTCAAACATCAGCTTGATCCACCTGACACAGAACAGAAATTAATATTGCTACATTTTTTACAAAATAATATATATTTTAAGCTTGCTGTATTCATTTTACTCTGTAATACTTAACCCTGCTTTATATAAGAGAGAGAAGAGAGAGAGAGAGAGAGAGAGAGTGAGTGAGTGAGTGAGTGAGTGAGTGAGTGAGTGAGTGAGTGAGTGTTTCTACACGTGGTTTGTCAAGCCCACTCTTCTGTGTAAAGCACACTTTGAAATGCACAGTATATTTATTTATTTCTTTGTAAGAATGTGTCTGGTGCAAATGTGCAACTGGCGATTAATGTCAAAGAGATGATGTGTAAAAGAGTGTATAAAACAGGTGGTTTGTCAAGCCCACTCACCAGTGTGAGGCACACTCAGTTTGGTGTTGTTGGGGTGGGAGAGAGAAGAGGGGGTCCTGGTTTGTACACAGGGGTTCAGGTTTTTCTATGTTTTATGTAGTTTTTCTTTTTCTTTTTTCTTCTCAGTTTACGGGTTGTGGTAAGTTAGGATTTTGCGTTGCATAAGTTTTATACTTTATTGTCCCATTATTTTATTTCATGTCTTGATTTTAAGTCTTGATTTTAGGTCTTCTGATGTCATAATTGCATTTTAGGCCAAAGTACAATGTATTACAATTTTAGTTTCACAGTAATTATGAAATCAATTCATGTTTTGCATTATTGTAAACAGATGCTTTTCTTTATTCTAGTGAAACTTAAAATAAATACGGTTTTAATAAATTTTCTTTGACAAATGTACTAAATTAGAAAGTCTCGTTGTAAATTTGTGTGAATGCAAACCATTGACAATTGCCAACATATTCAGTAATGATTACCATCACTTTGAGCAATTCTGACATTTATTTTTTGAGCAATAATTAGTTTTTATTGCAAAGATTACCTCTAACCACAGAAATACCACTCACCCCAAGTATCTTCCTTGAAATGATTTTTGGCTGTAGCTTTCTGCTCTAGATATATTGACCTTATTCTAAAATGCGGAAGTGCGCCTGTTTTCAAGATTGTTTTGGAACTTCCGATTCAGTCGCCTATGCGAGAAATGACTAGGAATAATAAACGGCAGAAAATGGTCAAACTACTTGCTCTACAAACAAATGTTTGCATGACTATACAGACCAAGTAGAATAATATAATAAGAAAATATCAGTTTGCAACATCAAGCAGCGTAACGAGCAATTTTTAACATCTAAAAAAGAATGGAAGTGAATGAGACCAGAAGTCTCGAGCCAAAAAGATTCAAATGGCTGCGCCCACTCTTCGGCAAAGAATAAGGTGAATAAATTTGTTTATAACTCTGTCTTCTCTAATTTTAAAATCATTATCAGCTAAATAAAAACCAGCTTAAATAATACTGAGACTGTAACTTACTTCAAAAGTAGGAAGGGTGGTCAAATCATGGACTCAAAAAAAAAAAAAAAAAAGTGAATGACATGCTTATTTTTCTCTGCTGCTGTAGTAAAGTGAAACCAAAATTCCCCAACCAGGACTCTATCATCATTTGTATATAAAAAACCCAAGTCAGCACAGAAGTGATCACAAGCAGCCTGGGAGAGTGTCTGAACAGCATATATCTGAACCTAACCACAAATGTACAATAAATGCACCATATGCTGTTTTTATGACATTTGACATTTAAAAACAAAATGTACACTTGAACGTACACCAATATGTGAAGGAGTTAAAATTAACAAAACTAAAATTACAAAAATTTCTTAGAAACATCAATTAAAGTGTAATTTAAGTTTTTTTTATGTGCCAAATGTTCACGGTACAGAGAGAGGACAGAATTTATGATCTGCTGCAGCCAGAATATTTTGGCTTCACTATTCAGGATACTTTATACAAACCAACAGATCCCATTCCAGTGTTCTTGACCACTTGATGGCAGTAGAAGCTTTGGGTTGAATTTAGGATTTAACTGATTACGCTGCTGATTTATCAATAAACGTGTTGGTGGTCCAGTGTTCCATGGTGCCTATTTAGATGAATACAGCAATGCTAAGTCCAAGTAAAGGTGCTCTAGAATGTTGCTGGGAACTGTATATTTTATACCAGGGGTCATTAGAGTTTAAAGAATAAAAACAATGTACTGTAATGCAATTTTCATCGTCATTATTATTGGAATAGGAAACTCCACAATAACATACACATGCACACACTTGAACAAATAAAATAAACACTTGCAATGCACATGTATTTAGCAGGTGCAAATTAATGATAATACACACAAGCTTTCCATTAAAACTTGTTGTAAAATGCGATGTACTGTAGCTTGATATTCTAAAAAGCAATACAAATACACACAAACACACTTTAAATTATTATAATTTTTTTTAGCAAATTCAGATATCTAACAACAAATATACAGTACAAAATCAAATAGCACAGTTACTTAAAAAACTTACAAAATGGCCATAATTTTTAACATTTGATGACTTTTTTAGCATTATAGAAGTTTCTCTAAACCGCTAAATGTTACTGGTGTGATCTGACCTGTGCATACAGAGACTGATCTTGAGTGACTTTTGCTGTGGCTCTTCTAGTGTTCAAAGATTTCTGCCTAAAAGCAATGGCTGCATAATTCAGGCTGTCTTCATTCTTATATCAAGAGAAAACAGAAAATAAACTTCAGTTAAGAGAGGAAGCATATGTGATATGACTCAATAGACATCAAAACTTAAAGATTTCAAGAAGATTTTAAGCACAGTGAAAGCACAGTGAAACTTACTTGAGTTGTTTGAGTAGTGGTCGCTTAAAAAATCAAAAAACTGTTTAGTTATTATAAATAGCAGTCATGTGTTACTTTAAATCTTACATTAAATTAGTTTAATACATTAATTGTATTCATAAAGTCTTACCTTGATTTTGATTTCTACAGAGTTTGATTCCCAGAAAAACAACAAGGGCCAAAAATATGATATTTGAAATTCCCAAAGCAAGAAGAGCAGGAATAAAATCATAATTTTCTGTAAGAAATTTGTATTAAATTGATTTTAAAACATTTTGTTATGTTCAGTTATGATCAGTTTAGTGTCATATACTCCGTTTACCTTTTTACAGGTTTTACATGTGAAGAGTTCAAATGCAAAAGCCTCTAAATGCCTTTCACTTTTTCGCAATTAATAGGTTTTAAAATAAAATAACAGCAAACTATAAACGCAGGAGGCTGACAAAAATGTTAATTTTTAAGACTTTTGCATTTAAACTCTCCATTTACTAAATCAGATCATTATTATGTTGTATTATACTAATTAAAATGAATTAAATTATTTTTCAGAGAAAGATCAAACATTTCAACATTATAACCAGATATTTGTGTTTCGCCTTCATACCTCTAATATTCAGTTGAGTTCCTCTTCCAAACAGTATTTGTCCACATGCGGCCACAGCACAATAGTAAATGCCAGAATCAGAGCCACTGAAGTTGTTCTTGTGGAGACTGTAGACACAGCTCTGTGTTTGAGACTCAGTGCTGTTCTTACATCGGCCATTTCTCTCTCCTTTGGTGTAAAGCACTCCTTCAGAGTCTCCTAAGCTTTGCTTGAACCAGTAGACGCTGTGATCTCCTGCACAGCTCTCAGTGAAGATGCTGCACTGCAAATTCACTGAATCTCCTGGATCAACAGTGTCTATCAAAGACTGATGAAGAGTTGTGTTTCTGTTTGCGTCTTCATAAGCACAAAGTACAAAAAATAAATAAAAATCAGACCAAACAAAACCTTATAAACAACAATAATAAAAAAGTACCTTTGACAAGTAATCGAGTTTCTGAACTTATTCCAATGGTGTTATATGCTGTGATCAAGCAGTAATATGAGGCAGAGTCTGAAGGCTTTGTCTTTAAAATGGTCAGATTAAAATAACCATCTCCTTTGGCAACATTTAAGCGATTTGTTTTCTCAAATTTGGTATCCCAACTTTGCTGTTGATTTGAATTTAAGGACTCTATTTGTATGAGTTTTCCGTAAGCCCTCTGTTTAAACCATGAGTGTTTTATTGATTGTTCATGCCCTGGAAATGGACAGGTAAAGTTCACATCCTCGCCAGCTTCAACAATTTTTACATTATCTTTCTGAACAACATCAGAATCAGAGGAGCAGACTGCAAATAAAGCACAAAAGAGTTTAAAAGAGTTGAACTAATTATATAATGTTAGCTCTAATTAATATTTAAAAAGACGTTTAGGTATTTACATATAGTTGAGGAAAGCAACACAATGAAGTAATTTCTCATTATCAGTCGTCCTTTAAAATGATCCTTGTTCTCTGAATTCCCCTATGACAATTAAACAAATGAGCATGCTTTCAGTCCATTTACTCATGCTAGAAAATAAGAGTAGATGAATGTGTCCTCACCATGTGTCTATCAGCCTGTTCTTCAGACAACTGAGGCTCTTATGCACTTTCACCTTAACTTCTATGCTTTCTCACCACATACCACAGCAGAATGAGTAGAAAAAATCTAAACCAACTGTTCTTCTATTACTTAACCTAAACCCTCTCTCATTTATTAATGCATGTATTATTATTGAACACTTAGTTAACAGTTTACCTTAAAATGACAACTCTCAAAACCAAGTAATTGATGTTGCTTCAGTGGTTCAAAAATAAATTGTGTGTTTTACCACTGGAAAGAAGCGGAAATAAGAGCCTCAAATTTCCTGTTTTTGTTGAGAAGCATTAAATAGATGAATTTTTGCAGTTTAAGTAAGGGGGTTTACAGAAGTATTTTGAATTGATGATTGTATGGTATGCACACAGTCAAGTATATAAATATTTGGACATTGACACAATTCTAACATTTTTGTCTCTATACACCAACACAATGGATTTAAAATGAAACGAGATGTGCTTAAACTGCATACTGTCAGCTTTAAATTATTTACATCCATAATCAGGGTGAACGGTGTAGGAATTACAACAGTTTGCATATGTGCCTCACACTTGTTAAGGGATCAAAAGTAATGGGACAATTGGCTTCTCAGCTGTTCCAGACTGGAAAAAGTGCAACACATTCACATAGGCCTTTCTTTGTGTTTACACCATATTAATGATCTTCAATCGCTTGTTCATTGCTCATCTGTGGCTGTATCCAACCTTGTCCTGCGTGAATCAGTGGGTGGAGCTACAGAATCAGTGCATTGATTTTCATTGGTGGAGGTCGTGTTTAATCTACCTTAGACATCATAGATAGGTCCTGCAGTTTATTGGCCTGTTGTCAATAAAAGTTTTAAGTACAATTTCACAATGGACAATTTTAGATCTGAAACTTACAATAAATTCCTTTTGTTCATTGATCTTATAAATCCAAAGTAAAAGTTTATAGCCTACAGTATAAAAATTTAATATATATTGCATTTAAATATTAATACGTGTCGTGTCTATAAGGGCTTTTCTGTTAAGTGTTTTGCACAAGCAAATATTTCATATATATGTTTGAGTATAAAATTTTAGTTATTTGAGTAAAGAGTTGTTTGTGATTGGATGAACTTTTCTGCATTATTGTTAGCAAAGTATTAGTGCAGGAGCTAATTTTCGTTAAATAAATGTATATCTAAATGTATAAGAATTCAATGGGACAAAAAGTTCTGCATTTTAAATGCATATGTACACAGGGTAAAAGGTACTTCATACTGCATTCAGAAATTCACATATTTTGAAAAAGAGTGGACTGGATTTTTTAAATGGCTTTAAAAATGTTAGCATAATCAAGAAAATAAAGAGCATGCAATACAATCCATAGTAAAAAAAAAAAACAAAAAACATTAGTAGCTTTATTGGCCGTTTTTTTGTTAAATGTGTAAATATTTTTAATGCTGTATATTTGCTAAATATGAAGTATTAACAAAAAGACATACAGTAATGAATAACAGATACAGTAGCAATGACGCAACAGAGTTACATTTTGTCTTTTTTTTAACAAAAGAATTGTGAAGCCAGCATTTCAAATCCCAAGAGCAATCAGAGTTGGATTTACATCTTTTTCTGAAATTACCAAATAATCTAAATGTTATTTTGAATATTGGTAACAGATTAGTTCATATAATATTTCCAGCAATATTTGAATTAAATCCTGCTGAATGACAAGCTTTATATATTTCTCTAAAAACTATATATCTAATATTCAGTTGAGTTCTTCTTCTAAGCACTATTTGTCCACATGCATCTACAGCACAGTAGTAAATTCCAGTATTAGAGTGACTGATGTTGTTTCTGTGAAGACTGTAGACACAGCTCTGCGTTTAAGACTCAGTGCTGTTCTTACAGCGATCATTTCTCTCTCCTTTGGTGTAAAGCACTCCTTCAGGGTGTCCTGACCTTTGCTTGAACAAGTAGATGCTGTGATCTCCTGCACATCTTTCAGTTAATGAAAATGTGCAGGTAAAGTTTACATCCCTGCCAGCTTCAACTATTTAAACTTTTTTTCTCTCCTTTTTTTGCAGTCGACTTAACTGATTTCGATGTTGTTCAGGAAGATAATGTAAAAAAAACATCGAAATCAGTTGAGCAGACTGCAAAAAAACAAAACAAAAAAAAAAACACGTTTAAATAATGTAGTGTAAATTGCATTGCTTACTATTTTTAAAGATATATAGTTGAGGCAAGAAAATGAAGAAAAAAAGACCAATTCAGAAAATACATTCAATATTAAGTGCTTTAGTAGCTTTAATGACAAAATATTCTTTTGTTAATTACTAATATTTTTAATGTTGCATGCTGCTAAAGTAATGATTAGAAGATACAGAAACAATATAAGACTATAATATAGACTATAAACAGAGTTACATTTTAACTATTTATTTGAGCTAAAGAATTGTAAAGCCACACTGAATTTAGTTTTTATTGTTAGGCTGAGGATTTATTACATGGAGTATGGTACATGGTGTATTTTTGGAGCACACATCATATACAAGTAACTCTGATTATGCAAAATTACCTGAAAGTATATATGTATGCAAAACTATACAGAGAATATGTAAAATAATAACAACATTTATTTTAATCAAATGATCTTATTTTTGATATCAACAGTTGAACACAACAAACTTATTTGATCTGATTTCTAACCTGTTAATACCCATATGTGCAAGCAATGAAGTATATTCAGAATAAAACATGTTAAAAATAAAAAGACAATAATCTGAAAATATTTGCTGCAAACATCTTAAAAATGAACTAAGCAGCATTTAGACTTGAGTTGACCTTCTTATGGCCTAAAGCGTTTTGTAGGCATTTTTTGAGTGATCATGCTGTACTTTACAAATGAGTGTTCTTCAGAAAACTTCATGTTGAGTTTTTCTGCAATCAAATAATATCAGAATGTCTTCACCCTACAATAATCAGAAAAAAATAAATTAAATAATCTTTTTAAATAAATAAAACAAAAGGATCCACCAGCAGTTGTTAACATTTGATAGGCAATGTTATTGCAATTGACAAATGTATGATTTGAACCATTTAAATATTTAATATTATTCTACCTTAATCTAAATGTAAAAATGAGTAGAATAATTTAAATATTGTAAAATGTAATCCATTAAAGTTTTTCAACTTTGAAAATAAATATTGAACTTACTTGATTGTCTTGAGGTTTGTGGGTAAGGAAGAAAAACAACATGATTAAAAAGACAATTAAACATTCTGTAAGTTGTATTTTTAGGTCCTAAAAGTTAATGTGTTGATGTGTCCTTTTACACTCTAAAAGACCTTAAAAAACTTAGAGTTGAAAGTTACATTTTACATGTATAATGGCTCCTCCAAGCAGCATTTGTCCACATGTGGCCACAGCACAGTAGTAAATGCCAGAATCAGAGCGACTGATGTTGTTCTTGTGGAGACTGTAGACACAGCTCTGTGTTTGAGACTCTGTGCTGTTCTTACAGCGGCCATTTCTCTCTCCTTTGGTGTAAAGCACTCCTTCAGGATCTTCTGAGCTTTGCTTGAACCAGTAGACACTGTGATCTCCTGCGCAGCTCTCAGTGAAGATGCTGCACTGCAAATTCACTGAATCTCCTGGATCAACAGTGTCTTTCAAAGACTGATGAAGAGTTGTGTCTCTGCCTGCTACTGTGTCTTCACAAGCACAGAAAAGAAATAGCACAATAAATCAGCCTCTACACACACCAAAACCCTGAATAAATAGAAAAAATAAAAGGCTTACCTCTGACAAGTAATCGAGTTCCTGAACCCATTCCAAAGGTGTAAAATGTTGAGATTACATAGTAATATGTTGCAGAGTTTGACGGCTTCGTCTTTCAAATGGTCAGATTAAAATAACCGTCTCCTCTCATAACATTACAATGATTCTCAGAGATGTTACTCCAAATGGGGTTGTCATTTAAATATAAAGACAGAATTTGTAGGGATTTTTCATCAGCCGTTTGTTTAAACAATACTTTTGTCACCTGCACAAGCCTTAAAAATGTGCTAGTAAGGTTCACCTTCTCTCCCGCTGCAGCTATTTGTACATCATTCTCCTGAACAACGTCCAAACCAGAGGAGCAAACTGCAAACTAAAAGTGTAGTATTACATTGTGATAAAGGCTGTTGAATTGTTAAAGCATATAAAACATATACTTATTGTTGAGTTGAATAAAAAGATTAAATAATACTTCATGATCACCCTCTTTAAAAATATCCTTTAGTTTTAATTTGCCCTGTAAAAATCAGCCAAAAACTAAATCTTGACACCAGAATGAAGTAATAGCGATCAGTTTACCCCACACTTCAAACTCTACTTAGACAAGTGAGACGCTTACGCACTTATCTTATTTATTCTGTTTTCTAAGAGTTGATTGGCCGCTTAGAAAGGGGTTTGGACTGAGCTGAAACCTCTTCTGTGACTGCAGCCAATCAACACAGTGTTGTGGTCGAGTTTGCATTACCACTTTTTTAGAATCACTGTAAGGTAAATATCGACATTATAAAAATTGCAATTACAATATTGTTTATTTTACATCAAGTACGAAATATATTAAAACAGATGAGAACTACTAACAGTGCACGATAATTAGAATTTCATACAATCTTATGGGAATATCATTAATGCTAAATACATTTTTATTTTAATTTAAATGTTGTTTATATTTTAGGAAAATTGCACTCTTTAAATGTTAGTGAGTTAATGTCACAGTTTAGTTTCTTCAGAGAATGACCTCTGTGTCTGTTTTCACACCTCTAGCTGCATCAACACTACAACATGTGAAACCGCTATTCTTCCATTGTTAGAAAAAAAAGCCTCTTCTGTGCCCTGCAGACACACAAATGTTAACAGAACTATTAACACTTAACTATTGACACAGACACTCGATAATCAACCTTAAAGTAAAATCTATAAGACAAATTTGTCATTTCAGCACCAAGGACAGAGATATAACTAACTTTTGAATTGGAAAAATGATCTAACATAGCTTCATACATATTCACGCAGAAAAAAAACTAACAAACAAACAGACAGATTAACAGAGCTTTTGTGAGCATAAGCTCAATGAGATTATATTGAGATCAAATAAATGCAAACAAACATAACCTGACAAATCTTAAAATCAGTAAACTAATGTTGCTATGAAACAGTTAATTCACAAGAACAGATTTAGAAGCCTTTAATTTGCCATGTTTAATGTTACTTATCTTAGCAAACGTATTCTTTATTTCAAACCGATCTGATGTAAAAAGGACATTTGAGTTTCTCAATTATAAACATACACAGCATCACATTATTGAAGTCTAGACAAAACACAACATTATAAAAACCCGTGCAGTATACAGCCAAATGTATTTCCTTTGGACTTTTTATTTTGTTTATTTATTTATGAGAGGGTGATGGTCATTTTTGACTTTACAACTATGACCAAGACTTAAACCACAGATTTGGAGAAGCCTTTATGTTGTACTTTAAGCTAAACTCTATTACCTTACTAAATAAGTAGAAAAATATTATTTACAGTCACTATGGCTGTTACAAACCTCAGTTTTTAAGGCTTGTCTAGGAAAGGGGTTAGCAACGTTAAAAGACACAGAGCTCAGAAGCGTACAATTCTCTATTTATTTAGAGACCAGAAAAGTGTCCAATCAACTTAAGTTGGCAACAAAAAGGTAAATCATTAATTAAACAATATTTCTTAGTCAAACAATTACTTAAACAAAACAAAACAAACCATAAACCATAGAGAAAACATAAATAAAGTACAAATAAAGCATAGATCAAATAAATGGCAACAACACCAGCATGGCTCCTCAGCAGCGGCTGCACAAGATGCGCACAGAAGTCTCAGACCTTCATCAGGACAAGATATGGGTCATACTCTCAAGAGAGACAAGATCAGGAGGATCAGTCAGACATGCTGGAAAACAAGAGCCACCCCAACACACACTCAGCTTCCACTTATAAAGGCAACAAGCCTAATTAGCGGCAGGTGCAAGGCGGAGCCAGCCTCAAAGAAAAGAAACAGCAATTAGTAAATATCAACAACCTCCAAAGTAACACAATGAAGATATTTATAATAATAATTTTAATTAGAAAAAGAAAAAATAAAGAATAAACCGTGACAATGGCAAAGACAAAATAAACTAGTTATTAGAAAATAGTTATTTAAACTGTTTAACAATGTGCTGAAAAAATCTTTTTCATTACACAACACTTATTGTTTTTTTTAAAGTTATTTCTTAAAGAATGCACATTTATTTATTTAGCGGGCGCAAATAAAGTATAATACACAAGATTTTTAAGATGTTGTAAAATGAAAAGCTTTATAGTTTGATGTTCCAAAGTTTTCTCTAAAACACAACAGTGTGTCAAATAACATTCATGCAATGATCTCCAAATACTATTCTCCAAACATGGGCTCAAAAACCCACACTTTAGCATGTTTTTAGCAAATTCAAATATCTAACAGCAAATATATAGTACAAAATCAAATAATACAGTCACATAAAAAAACTTGCAATATGGCCATAATTTTTATCTTGCAATGACATTTGATGACTTTTTCAGCATTATAGAAGTTTCTCTAAACCTCTGAATGTTACTGGTGTGATCTGACCTGTGCGTACAGAGACTGATCTTGTGTGACTTTTGCTCTGGCTCTTTTAGTGTTACTAAAAGTAATGGCTGCATAATTCAGGTGGTCTTCATCCTAATATCAAGAGAAATTAAAAAAGAAACTTCAGAAAGTGTGATATGTGATATGACTTAATAAACATTAAATCTGAAAGATTTTAAGAAAAGTTTGAGAAGGTCTTGTAATTGATAAACAACATAGTGAAGTACTTACTTGAGTCGTTTGAGCAGCGGACGCTTAAAAAAAAAATCAAGAAACAGTCTGTTTATTATAAATAGCAGTCGTGTTATTTTACATTTTGCAATTGCTTTATATTAAGAATTTGTATTCATAAAGTCTTACTTTTAATCTGACTTCTACCGAGTTTGATTCCCAGAAGAACAACAAGGGCCAAAAATATTATATTTGTAATTCCAGAAGCAAGAAGAGCAGAATTAAAATCACATCTTTCTGTAACAAAATTTAAATTAATTTTAATTTCTAAACGTTCTTACATGACGAGTTTAGTATTACATGTTCAGATATGAATGCAAGTTTTCATAACATTTTTACATTTATTCTATTATTTATCCATTTGTCTACATATTCCTTTTTATTTGGATATAGTTCTTTAGATATCTTTTTGTACATTTGTTAGGTCAGTTCCGTATCATGTCATAGTTTATGAATCAAATGTTTTTTCACGTATATTTGTTTCATCTTCATCTTACCTTTAATATTCAGTTGAGTTCCTCTTCCAAGCATTATTTCTCCACATGTGGCCACAGCACAGTAGTAAATGCCAGTATCAGAGCGACTGATGTTGTTCTTGTGGAGACTGTAGACACAACTCTGTGTTTGAGACTCAGTGCTGTTCTTACAGCGGCCATTTCTCTCTCCTTTGGTGTAAAGCACTCCTTCAGAGTCTCCTGAGCTTTGCTTGAACCAGTAGACGCTGTGATCTCCTGCACAGCTCTCAGTGAAGATGCTGCACTGCAAATTGACTGAATCTCCTGGATCAACAGCGTCTATTAAAGACTGATGAAGAGTTGTGTTTCTGTCTGCGGCTTCGTCTTCACAAATAAAGAAATGGTCAAGATTAAAATTAGCTACCACAAAGCAAACAGCCCGAAAATAATAGACATAACTTACCTCTGACAAGTAAACGAGTTCCTGAACCCATTCCAGTGGCCTGATATGATGAAACTACACAGTAATATGTTGCAGAGTCTGACGGCTTTGTCTTTACAATTGTCAAATTAAAATAAAAATCTCCTTTGTTAACATTAAAACGATTTGTTTTCTCAAAGTTGTGGTTCCAGCTTGGCTTTTGACTTTCATATAAAGACACAATTTGTAGGGATTTTCCATTATTCGCCTGTTTAAACCATGCTTTTGTTGATTGTACTAACCATGGGAATGTGCAGGTAAAGTTCACATCCCAGTCAGCGTTAACTATTTTTACATTATCTTCCTGAACAACATCAACATCAGTCGAGCAGACTGCAAAGCACAAAAAAGTTGAAATTGTTATATAGTTTAAATTGGATTGATTAATATTTTATAAGACATTTAGATATTTACATATAGTTGAGGAAAGCAACAAAAAAAAGTAATATCTCATTATCAGTCGTCTTCCAAAACTATCCTTTGAATTCACCTAGAAAAATAGAGAACAAATAATCAAGCTTTCAATCCATTTACACCTGCCGAACAAGGAAGATGATTGTGTCCTTCCTTACCATGTGTTCATCAGCTCCTTCTTCAGTCAACTGACACTCTAATGCAGTTTCACCTTAACTTTCATGCTTTTATCACACCACATACCACATCAGAATGACTAAAAAACATTCTAACACAAACATCTTTCCATTACTCTCTTTCACATATATTAAGACAAAGTGTAAACATTGCAGCTTAAACTGTCCACTCTCAAACCTTTACACAATGTTGTGTCAGTTCTTCAAAGTAAAATGTTGCTTACCAGAAAAAAGCAGGAAATAAGATGAATATAACCAATAGAAACTCTCTCTAGAGCCTCAAAGTTCCTGTCTTTGATGAGTTTGCAAGATATCTTTACATCTTAAATAAGGATATTTGTTGTTGGCTGAGCATGAAGTTGAGTATCTGTCTAATCTTGAAAAGGCACTAATCTGTTTTTTTTTTGTAGTCTTAGTTAACCCCATTTGCTTTCAAGTGTTAAAGCACAAACGCATCAAGATGAAATTTTTTTTCTTTAAATCTAGAGGTTTGCATCATTATTTTGATATTTAATATGCTTGTATATTCATAGCAGAAAATATTTTGAGGGCCATCAGTTTATTCACAATTCTTACAGCTTTTTAAATTAAATGTTTGTGTATATAGTGATCTAGTGAAAATTAGTTTGTCTGACATCAGATACTTTCTGAGTTCTTCATGATCCAGAAATGTTTATTCATAGAGTATGAAGTAATATGGTAGTTTAATTGAAAATCAGATACTACATCTGGTAGGTTGTTAGTATCACACGTCCTACCAGTGCCAGTTGTGTCCCTTCTCTTTGTTCACAAATGATCTCCTGTGGCCTAATGGGATAGTAAAGTGGATCTGTCTTTGCTGTGTCCTGTGCACTGCAATATGTGACCTCATTTAGAGCTTACGACTCTATGCAGCTCCTTTTCTGTTATGATTGGCAGATGGGAACTGCTATGCTATGGGTGGAAATGCTATGTTCCTTCGCCACAGTGATTGCATCTTAGCTGACAGCTATAGTTTGGCTTCTTCAGCTAGAAACGTTGCTTTGTGATGCTTAGAGGGCATTCTTATTCACACTGATTGTGATAGCAGCTAGCTGTGTGCATTGGTGCTACCCATTCATTGGCATTTCATTGGCCCATTTTATTTCTCTTCTTGAGGGTTACATAGTAACCGTTTCATTCACATCTTAGCCAGCTTGAACTACTTCTACCTTATCCAAACAACATCAAAATCCGTTGAGCAGACTGCAAAATAAATTGAGACAGTCAGACATAGACAAATTATAATAAACATTGTTGATTTATATTCCTAATACATACTTCTAAGCAGATCTTCTGTAAATCACAAACCCAGACACGTTTTATGTTTTAGCAGTAATATCATATGCTAAAGAAATTTAATTTTGATTAAAATCTCCTTTGTTTTTCAATGAAAAGGTATATACTTATAAAGTCACAGTTTAGAGAATCAACTTTGTCTCAGTTTTCACACCTCTGTCTGCATAGTCTAACATGTGACAACTTTCCCTCAGTACTAAAGTACAAGAAAGGAAAGCCTTATCTATGAACTGCAGACAGATCTACATTAGGGCTGGGCAATATTTCAATATCAATATATATCGCAATATAATTCTTTTCAATAACGTTGATGAGTTTTAAACTCAATTCTGGTATTTTGCTATAAATTTGCATATATATATATATATATATATATATATATATATATATATATATATATATATATATATATATATATATATATATATTATTATTATTATTATTATTATTATTTGTAAAAATTACATATTTCATGCTTTGTTTATTCTCCACAAATAAACCTGTTGCAAATTATAATAATAATCTAGATTAACTTGCACGCATATCTACATTAATAATCTGTAACAAATTATAATGTAGATTAAAGTGCTCGCATATCTACACCATTATTACTGTAAAAATTAGCTTAAGGTTATTCTTCCCATGCGTTTCCCGCCGTTATAATGTTGCAAGTTATGATTTAGATTTCAATGCTCGCGTACCTTTCTGGACCATTATATAGCGGACTAGCTTAGCTGGAGGAAGATTCATTTGAACGGGGCTTTAAATGAATCGACTCTTTAGATCCGAACAAACGAATCGTCCAGCAATGCTATCAAAATAAAAACCCATAAAGTTTAAGCAGGGTAGCAAGATCAAAGTTTAAGACATTAGATTCATTAATATACACAGGCACCTTTCTTTATACAAAATTAAACTTTATTGACTAATCTAACAGAAACTAACACCTAACACAAACACACATTCATACAAGCATAGGGAAGAGTAACTAACATGAAGTTAGAGGTTGAGAGGATATAATGATGGGAAGACCTCGGATTTTGTAAGAACAAACCAAGCAAACCAAACATAAACAAATTCAATATAACCCTTCTATTGTCTCTTTAGGGTTGAGTTTAGCTCACACCAGTTTAGATGTTGGAAGAGAGGTGATACTTGCGGTCTGTCCGTGAGGTCATAGCTTCGATTGTTGAGCATGTGGTTCGGCTGTTGTTCTTTGTTCTCGCGAGGGTTGTAGTGGGAGAGTCTGTGTTTCAAGCTGAAGCGGCCAAAGGATTCTTGATTATGAAATGTCCGAGCTCAGTGCGATTAACCCTTTCCGTCTGGGTTTCCGAGGAAGCTACCGAGAGTTTGAAGAAAGTTCAAAACGGCGTGTTTCAGAGCAGAGAGGGGGGGGGGGGGGGTTGCTCTGAAGACGGGAGAAAGAGAGAGAGAGAGAGTTGCTTCCTTTTGAGCCGGGAGAGAGAGAGGTTGAACAGAGAGGGGTGCGAAGAGCTCCCAGGCAGCGTGTTTCAGGGCAGAGAGAAGTTTTTAACAGAGAGAGGCATTGCTTTCGGTCCCACGCTCTTTGTCCGAGGCAGAAGAATTTGCATAGGCAAATTTTATACAAATTGGGACAGAAATGTTAAATCTCTTAAAATGTTAATATGTTGCACTCTTATTAAAATAAAATTTCAACGATCAATTAGTACAGCGAGTGAGCTTTTCGGAAAGTCCAAACTTGAACCGCTTATGAGTTCGTTTGGCTTTGGTGGAGTCAGACATATGACTCCAAAACACATGATTAAACATAAAGAGAGTAAAGTTTATATGAAAACATCAGTCTTAGACAAGCAGCTTAAAGAGTCCTGTTCATTCTTTGTTTAATGCCGCATGGCACATTCCTTTTGGGTCGTAAATACGTTGAAATCAGGTTTTGAGTCTTCTTTGGGCAAAGTTGGCTTGGTTGTGAAATAAAAAGCAAAATAGTTATGTGTCTGGTCAGCCATATTCGTTACATATCATTATTATTATTATATTTGTAAGATCTTGTACATTGTATCATTTGTTACTGAGTGACCGTCAGAAAGAGCGTGATGTACGTCATCACGCAAGTGACATCACAGACACGTTGCCAGCGCTCGGCACAGCAGTTGTTTAGGTCCGTCGCAGAAAGTTTGCCCTGAAGTGTGCCCTGAATACAGATGAACAAGCTTCCACAAGTAAGAATGCAGATGAAGTGGTTGATGAGAGAGGAAACACCAATGCAGTGGTGTGAAAGTGGTTCGGCTTTTTAAGTTCTGATAAACATTTATAGTTTCGGTGCTCTGCAAAATGTACGGGAGAGGTGCCCACTAGCATCGGGAACACATCAAATCTTTTCCACCTGATAGCACATACTGAGAGTCACAAGCAATGACAGAAGATGAGGCATCATAAACGTTTAAGCTAACCTGTCGCCTCACCCCCTTCCACCTAACCCTAACCCTAACACCAAAATCAGCGGTCAGAAGAGAAGGCTATGAAGCAAACAAATGGCTATGATGCACCGTGTAGGATTTAAATCGAACTTCGCTTATCAACACACGCATATACACCTATAAATTACTCCCATATAAACTTATACTATTGAATGTTCAAAACAAGTATGAAACTTGTGCATATACATCTAAACTTGATGCATGCATATTGCGTACATCCACATACACACGCACATACATAACTTGATCTGTGCATAAACTCCCACATTAACATACGCACATACATTTCTTGTTTGTAAAGGCTAATACAAATAAAAAGTGAACATGTATTTTTTGTATTGTTTTTATTTAAAAAAAAAAAAACAAAGTTATAAGAGCCTGGAGGTATTATTGACTTTGCATATTCAGTTTGCAGAGATCTGTAGGTACAGACATCTATTATATGCGTTCTTGGCAGTTTTTCCTGTGTTTTTAATATTGTCCATATCGATATCGGAATTATATTGTGAAAGTGAACTTAAGTATACAGATTGAGAATTTCAACAGAGGGGTAACACACTGATCTCACTAAACACAATGAAGTGTCTGTTGTTGTCTACAATATAAATTGGCCTTCAAAACAAAAATATTCAAAACAAACAGAACAAATTTCCAATCTCAGAATGATGAGGTGAACATCAAACTTTTTATGTCTCGCTTGTGAGGTAGTTTTATTTTTGGTACCTTGTGGTACGCTTTTGGTGCATTGTGTAACTGACATTAGTAGTGGTGTCAGCCTGAAACAAAACAATGATAAATTTAATAAAATGTTCATAATCATTCAGTCATTCATTTTCTTGTTGGCTTAGTCCCTTTATTAATCCAGGGTCGCCACAGCGAAATGAACCGCCAACTTATCCAGCAAGTTTTTACGCAGCGGATTCCCTTCCAGCCGCAACCCATCTCTGGGAAACATCCACACATACATTCATACACACTCATACATTAAGGACAATTTAGCCTACCCAATTCACCTGTACCACATGTCTTTGGACTGTGGGGGAAACCGGAGCACCCGGAGCAAACCCACGCGAAGCCAGGGAGAACATGCAAACTCCGCACAGAAATGC